TTAAAGAACCCTCGATAATACGGCCACCCCGTTAATACGTTCAAATTTTTTTGGCCCATCGGTGACCGTGTTAACGGGGTTCCCCTGTAATTTAAATATTTACAATTCGATTTGAATATATATTTTTTTCGGGGTTATATGCTTCTGATTTATTTGAATGTTTCTGTTTCATCAGTGCTTGATTTCAACCATATGTGCTTAAACCAAAGCATCGAAATTGAGGGATCCTCTCATATTATAACTTATGACTGACCTTGCGGTTCAAACAAAGTTGAACTTGCGACAAAATTTAAAATGGAAACATGGAATATTAATTCTCGGTGACAAACTTCAGTATTCCCACTAAAATTCACGCACTACCAAAATAAGAAGATTAAAAGTACAAAAGGACACTTTAATATGATTACAGTTACTGTACATTTTGGTTCAAGAGGATTTTTTAACCTTAAAAGGTTGATTTGCTTACACTGATTGGAATGTGTAGTGACTTTTCGGCCTTCGTTTTATAAAATACAGTCAACCCTCTTTAAGACAGACACCGGCACTATTGTAAGTGTCCGTCTTAGAGAGATGTCCATCTTATAGAGAGTCAAGAAAGAGTAGAAAAGTAGTAATGAAAGGTAAGAGAGAGTCGACTGTACCAAGAGATCATATTATGATCTCTTGACTGTATCTATAAATTCATCCACTTACTGTCAATAAAACATTTACGTTAATTATTTTGTAGTTTTAAAGCCAGTACCTTATTAACTTAATGAGTTTATTCTCCTTCCCTCTTCTATTCAATCCTAGCTATAAAGTCCACTCTCTTTTAACGGACACCTTGGTAAAACAGACACCTAGAATTGGTCCTTACTTTTCTTTTCTCCCTTTATTTGACTCTCTATAAGACAGTGGACATCTCTGTAAGACGGACACTTAATTAGTGCCGTTCCCAAAGAGGAAGTTGACTGTATTTACAGCTGTTTCAAGAAAGGTTGTAGGAAAAAACGTGCACCCGACCGACGGTCGTAAGGTAATATAAGATATGATCAATACACTGTTCCTGACACTGTCTCAGTCGAACCTACTTTTGTTGCTTTCCTTTCGCACTCGCAAACATATACATCCATGCAGGAGCCCATAACCCAAAGAGAGCCAATTCCATGCGCTAGTGTTACGGCGTTTTCAAGGACCAGTTTATTTTTAGAACAGTTTTGGCGCCAATTCTGAATACCTTTTAAATTCCACAAACCAGTCAGCAAAACGTACAGACCTAACAATGATATGTTTTGCCTTTTAATAGCGTTTGGTTTTCCTTTTTTGATATCTTGTACTTCGAACGCGTTCACAGACATGGTGGAGAATCTATTTTCGCGGGAAAAAGTGCCCTAAAATGTGTCTAAAAATAAACTGGTCCGTAAAAACACCGTAACATAGGCCTAGTATGGGAGTTGCTCGCTCCGGGCTCCTGATCTATGGCTTCTCGTGCCATTCTTTCAAATTTCTTTGAAAAACAGTGAACTCAAAACCACCCACAATACCTTTCGGGATTGTCACGTGCACTTTTTCCGACAACCTTTCTCGAAATAGCTGTATTTTGTAACTTTTAATTTTCATTCCTTCTAACCTTGATTTTTTTTCTTGACACTACGTTTTCCATAAAAAAATGTAAGATTTCCACAGACCTCTACATAAAGCCAACTGACACCCATCAATACCTCCCGAGTTCATCTTGTCATCCATAGTAACTACACAAAAAGATCCATCCCCTATAGCCTTGGACAGGTCAGTACGCCCTCATCGCATCTGCCTATACGATACTACATTCAAAAAACACTGTGTGAACTAAGCGAACAATTACAAAACTACAAGCAATCACAAGTACAACGCGAAATCACCAAAGCACAACGTGTTCCACACTTTCTCAGCTGACAAGACTAAGCCGCCCTTACAACCCAGCCACTTACAACAAAAACGTAGCCATGGCATCCCATTCGTAGTAACCTACAATCCAGCTTCTCCATACCTTAACATGACCATCACGAAACACCTGCCCATACATCAATCTTCTTTAATCATCACAGGAACACGAGTTAGCTTATATTCTCTATGTAATTCACATGGAAATTTCAATAGCTTAATTCATACTATAATTCGTATTTTACGACAGCTGGTACTGTTTGTAAAATATTTCTTTTCTTCCTTCCCTTTCTTTGAATTTGTGTGTTTCTTCCCCCGCCTCGATTTAACCTGCGAACAAGCTCTCAATTTGGGGGATATCGTGAAAAGTAGACTCGCCAGAGGTACGCGAGAGGAGACACGAAAGCGGGTAGAGAGGGTGGAGAAAGGAGATTTCTCCTTTCCTCGGTCCCTCGCGGCTTCGCCGCTCGCTCGCGCGTTCTCTCGCGGCTCGCTTCGCTCGCCCAAATAGGAGAGCTTGCTCGCAGGCTAGCCTCGATTAGGCTCTTTTTTACGCAGGTGGAAGCTCTCGTGAGATTGTAAATTGTATGTATGAATGAATGTATAAGTTGAAAATATGCTGCAAAGACTGAGCCTTTTCTGAACGTCCCTTTATCGCATACAGACGCCCACGAAACCAGCGTGACCTCCTTGTTAAGGCCAAGCTGAAACAAACAAAAACACCAACTTCCAACCACACCTTTCATAAAGAAATGCAACTCCATCAGATGCAAAACCTGTCCGTTCATTTAAGATGGTGTATCATCATGTACATTGTTCAAAAACACTGGCCAAACTCACTTCATCAAGCAGACGATCGGGCATGGGCATCTAAAAACAGGGGCACCCAACGACAATTTTCGGAAAATTATCTGTTTGGAAGACGATTTGAGGTCTAGAATTTTCGGATCATTTTCTGAAAAATTTCTTGCTTGCCTGCCTCTCCTAGGATTTTCGAACTTTGCCCTAAAAAGGTCACCTAGAATTTTCGGGAGCCTTTTTTCTGGCTGAAATTTTCGAAAATGTAAATTTTGATCCCTATAATTTTCGGATCACTACACTTTCAGCAGGGAAATCCGAACAGATGAAAAATTTTTAGGGGATAAAAATAAGCCTTCATCTACCGTTTAAATACTAAAGTACGTTGAACAATGCTACGTTATGTGGTTTTGAACTATATTCTCGTTGGGTGCCCCTGTAAAAATCTCATTCATATGATACAATATCGCAAGTGTAAAAGCACCCTAAACACACCAGCGGAATACATCGGACAGCTGACTGAACGAGCCTTAAGAGACAGATTTGGAGAACACCGCAGAGCGATACAAAACAGCACTTCAATCAAACGGACACAAAATTACAGACATCGAAGTTATCCCACTTGAACTTTTCAACGCCTCTGAAAAGAGAATCCATACGTAGAGTCACGAACGTTTTTACATTGAAAAGACACAAACTATGCAGCCACAAGGAATAAACAGAGAGGACGACCCTTAAATCATTTATTTACTTATTGACTTCATTATTATCATATAACTGTTTTAATTTATTTATTATTGTTATTATTACTAATTTATTAATTTATTTTTATTTTTGACTTACTTTTATTTAATTTTATTTAGTTAACAATTTTTAATAATTATAATAATTATTAAACATTGGCCCATTTAGTTTTTGAATATTACCCTGTATTAAATTTCCAACTGCTAAGACGGCTTGTCCGTCTGAAATATCTGGAAACCTCAAGCACAGGCGGCCCAAACTCACGTTGCGAGGGAAGGGTGTAATGTAATTTACATAACATATGTGACGCGCGCCGGTGTCGCGTTGCAGGCGACCGTTGAAAATATAAGAGACTTTGTATGGGAAATATATCACTGAGATCTGCGAACGCCAAATAACGCTAAACCTTACTTTTTCTTAAATGAAATGAATAAAAAAGTCTTACCTGCAATCTATTCCGCTGCGGTTTGGTGTCTGTTTGTCGTTTTACTGTTTTTTTGGCTTTATTGCGTAACCACTGTTACTCCTTTCATAGAACGAAGTGAAGGCTGGTCACTTCCATCTGTAGGGGTCCTGGACCAGTCGCAAAAAAAATGCCGTTTTTTTCGCCGAAATTCAAATCCGCTGCAAATTTTTCAGCTCCAGCCCAAGAAGGAAACCTCTTCTTCCTCTCTGAGAGATCGGCTCGAAAAAAAATCCATAATTTCCCCATCAAATCGAGCCATTTGTGCCGGACTTCGAGGCAAGTCTGGCTTTCGTGCAGTGCCTGTGACCACTGTCGCGCTTACCAAGGTTTCCAATTTCAAATGCAAATTAGTTGCTAGGGTGACAATTAGCACTTACGCGACGGGTGTAAGGGCAGAAATGACCCGTTAACTAGGCTCCTCGCCCCACCACGCCAAGGGAGTAATATGACGCTCGCGCTATGTGAGGGATCGCGTGTCCAGGTAGGCAACGAAAGGATCATAATAACGGGAGTATGTTTCAGCGAGATGATGAATGGAGTGTATTATTCGATGCACAACACCAAGCTTTGAATAGGTTATTCCTTTTTCTATTAGTGAGGAATCATTCCGTCGAAAAAATCCAAAGGGAATACCATGCCTAGATTTCTTGAAGGGAATTACATCGGTATCGTCACCAGATCTCAACCTCTTCAAAGTAGATAGCATAATGGAATATAAGAAAAACTACATTTTCCGTTGTAAACTCTTGTTATCAACCGTTACATGTACCGCAATTCGAAAATAGAATCGTTGCCTACCTGGCCTTCTTGGGCTGGAGCAGAAAAATTTGCAGCGGATTTGAATTTCGGCGAAAAAAACGGCATTTTTTTAGCGACTGGTCCAGGACCCCGACAGATGGAAGTGACCAGCCTTCACTTCGTTCTATGAAAGGAGTAACAGTGGTTACGCAATAAAGCCAAAAAAACAGTAAAACGACAAACAGACACCAAACCGCAGCGGAATAGATTGCAGGTAAGACTTTTTTATTCATTTCATTTAAGAAAAAGTAAGGTTTAGCGTTATTTGGCGTTCGCAGATCTCAGTGACATATTTCCCATACAAAGTCTCTTATATTTTCAACGGTCGCCTGTAACACGACACCGGCGCGCGTCACATATGTTATGTAAATTACATTACACCCTTCCCTCGCAACGTGAGTTTGGGCCGCCTGTGCCTCAAGTCGCTTTTTATCTCTACTGTTTTGTTATCAATGTTGATATTTTTGTCGTGGATAAAAGTCATAAAACAGCAGGATTTGGTTGTCATCATTTTAAATTCTTTTTGCCTGGAATGTAGTGATTTGATGTTTCATACAAAATAGAGAAAATTACTCGAGGAAATGCTTTTGAACAGAAGAATAAGGAAACCAGATTTGAACACAGGCGGCCCAAGCTCATTTCATGAACGCGGACGTGACTCTTGCTTGCGAGCGGTGTTGTGTTACAAACGGTTATTTACAAAGGTTTGTATGGGATGCAAACGGTTTTTCTTAAAAGAGATAAAAAATGTTATGTTTTTAAATAAAATCGACGTACCTTATTGCCTTGTTGTATTCTTTGTTGTTTGCCCGCGTCTCAGGCCGTTTTGAAGCGTTTTCGGCGAGTTAGCGCTATTTTGGTGTCCCACTGCTAAAAGAAAGTCTTTCTTTTAGCAGTGGGACACCAAAATAGCGCTAACTCGCCGAAAACGCTTCAAAACGGCCTGAGACGCGGGCAAACAACAAAGAATACAACAAGGCAATAAGGTACGTCGATTTTATTTAAAAACATAACATTTTTTATCTCTTTTAAGAAAAACCGTTTGCATCCCATACAAACCTTTGTAAATAACCGTTTGTAACACAACACCGCTCGCAAGCAAGAGTCACGTCCGCGTTCATGAAATGAGCTTGGGCCGCCTGTGATTTGAACAGGATTTTCGAACAACTGCCATTATGGCTCTTGTCTCAGTCTCCCAAAGCTCACACGGCCCTCGATTTGAGGGAACCTGGGTAAGGGTTTGCGCGAGCATTGACTGATGGGATTTTCTTAGCGATAGAGGGGAACGCAAGAGTGGAAGAGTTTTTTCTGGTGAGTTTTAGCTTAGTTTGTCGTAATCAGCATGCTTCCAGAGGAGAAGGAAATCAAGCAGTTCACTTGACCTGTATGGTAGGTTCTCTATCTTTTTGTATCTTTATGTGGGCATTTTTATGGCCTCCTCTGTCTTGGAAGACGAAGATTTTAACAGATTATTGACAGCTGCTCGATCACAATCAAAATGAAAGCGAATTGATCCATATTTTTCTCTTAGTAAGTGCTTGCACTGTACAATTCAGTTGGTTAAACCCAATTTGTTTTATGGCTGCTGTTTCTGAGAATCAGTATGGGGAAAAACATACTTGGGGAGCAAAACGGCCAAAAAACATACCCTTTGGTTTTGGGGGTAGATCCCCCAGGGGACCTCCCTTGTTTCAAGCACCTCTCCGTCCTGTGGGCAGTGACTGTTTGTACGGGACCGTACACCGACTTGTATTTGCTATTCATATCGGATTGAAATTTCTAAGTGTTTTGAAATGTCTGCTCAACAAATGTTCATAAAAGTGTAAGTCTCTTCAATTTTTAAGGACAAAAAATTCAGTGACAATTTTTAAGGAAAAATTTATGTGGCAAGATTGAGAATTGAATACGGGTGTAGCATCCACAGTCTGCTACCTAAAACACTATACCACTGTGCGTTGGCTGCTGAGAAGTGCTTTGATTGAGTTAGGACACAGTGCGAGCCAGCGAGCCATGCGAGCCATGTGAAAGAAAAATAGAAAAAAATAGAAAAAGCAGCAATACGGAAAAGAAAAAAAAATAACCAAAAGCTAACTGTTGTAAATAACGCCAAAAAGCGCTTACCCTAATCTGTAAAAATAGTTTTTAACCTCAAGCAATTATAGTCAGAATCCCGTATGAAATGCAAATACAAGTCGATGTATTGGTCCCGCACAATAGCCACTAGGATTCTGGGTCCCATACGAATAGCCACTGAACTCTTTCTTTACCTGTCCTACATCTGCTTTATTTCTATTCAACACTTTCTTAAACACTTTGACCACTTTTGCATAAAAAAGAATACCTGTTCCCTTAACCCCTCACTCCCTTGAAATCTTGGTGTGCTGGATACTTTCGGTAAATATTTTTCACTTCAGAAACCCCCATCCCCTTGAAATTTACAATGACCCTGGGGGGCGGGGTGGGTATGCATCTTAAATGGTACAACATTATTGGCCAATTTATGGACAGAAGGGCATATCAAGCATTACTGATTGGGACTTTACAGGCAAGAAAATTAAAATGCCTCTGCAAAAGAAGGCTATGACCAGATTTAAGTTGTCTTGATATCTTGATAAGAAAGTCTTAAGAATCCCCTACTTACACTTTGCGCTCCTGTTAACTGGTAACTAAGTTGCACTGCAATCAAACACACCATTAATTTTTGGAATCACAAGATTAAAAAGTTATGCCCTCACAGTGAGCCACAGGAGATTAAGGTGGAGTATATAAGAGGGAGAGCTTGCGACAGTCACTGAAAGAAATTTCCTTTCCCCTTGGCCCAGTTAAATTTAAATACGATTTGTGGAGAAAATGAGAACCCTTTTTAAACGTGACTAGCTCGGGTCTCACAGTCTGTTTGTGTTATGCGGGACTTATTGTTGAAGCCCACAAAGAAAGATGATATTTTTGGAACTTAGAAACTTCTTAAGCTTAAAATCTTTTTGTAAATTCATAAACTCAGGTTCTCATACACCATAGACTGGAAGGTTTAAGATGGCAACAGTATTTAAGCCAATCATTCGCTGGGCGCAAAATAAAGAGTGGCTTTTTTTAACCCTGGAGCTTACTGATGTGCAATACCCAGCCATTGAGTTAACAAGTACACGCCTAGTCTTTCAAGGGTTTGGCCATGGCGCCAGAGGAGAGCAACAGTATCATGTCGACATAAATTTCTACAAGCCTGTGGATGTTTCAGCGAGTACTCACAAAGTGTTGGACCGCCATGTGAAGTTTTCCATTGCTAAGGTATCTGGCGAGCAGGAATTTTGGCCTGGCCTTTTGGGTGATGAACAGAAGCCTGCATGGTTAAAGATTGATTTTGATAGATGGCAAAGTGAAGATGCATCCGATACTGACCAGGAGGAACTACAAAATCAAGCTGAAGTGGAGAGATTTATGGCAGCAAGTGATGCAAGGGAATTGGAGCTAGAAGATGCAATAGATGGAACCAAAGAAGAAGTCTTAAGATTTGTTCGAGTATTTTATTTGATTATATACAATCTCATGCAAGCTGGCTTATTTCTGTACATTGTCTTCGTTCTTTTGTCAAGATTATTTTTTCATGGAACTGATGCTTTTGCTGATGCTTATGATGCAGTGAGTGATGTTCTAGCCTCCTGTCAATTGGCAGCCATCTTGGAAGTTATTAATCCTATATTGGGCATTGTAAAAACTGGCGTAGTGGCTCCTTTTATGCAAGTCTTTGGTAGAAACATGGTTCTTTTTCTTGTAGTGGTTGCACACAAAGAGCTTCATCAACAAGCTGTTGTTTACGGCCTCTTCCTGGTCTGGTCTCTTATTGAAGTTGCCAGGTACCCATTTTATGCTTCCCAGGTCATCAACAAGAGAATTGAACCTCTGATTTGGCTGAGATACACCATGTGGATTCCTCTTTACCCTCTTGGTATCTTCTTTGAAGGTAATGATATTAAGGAATACAGTCAAATCTCTTGTAAGTTGAATCAGAAAAATTGTCAACGTTAGAGAGGTGTTCATTAAGGAAGGCTAATATTGCAGAGTTTGCATGCTGCTGTGATCATGACTAAGTGTTTGCTCACGTAGTTTTGTGTTAGGATGTCAGGGTCAGTGCGGGTTTTGGAGAATACTGTATACCAGTCTACACTGTAGGGTTTCTTAAATTTCATCGTGAGGTACATGGTATCTTTCACCTAAAAACAAAATCAATGTTGTTCTTTTACATTTTCTTTAGGTTTGGAGAGTGTCCAGTTAATTCTTTCAAGTGGGGGCTCATATAGACTATCTGAGGGTTACCAAGACCACATGCTAATTTTTTTTGTTATATTTAACGTAATACTTATATGTCATCTGTCGGGTCAGGAAACCTTTTTTGTCCAGTCATTGACCCAAGACCCCTCTCTTATCTGTAACACTGTTTGGACACATTGAGAAAAATCAGGGTAAATTTTGAGTATATTGTTTAGATTATTTTAGTAACCCTGGCTGACCCTGAAAGATTGGACTGTAACTTGAATATCATAGGAGTAAGGGGTTCTTGGCTATTTTTTTTAAATATTATTATTGAAATAAAATTGTGATGGGAACTTTAGAGATACAGCACTAAGATTATCCAAATTAAGGTCAACCATTCAACTCACTCAAAAAAAGTTATCAAAATAATAATTCTGTCTTACATTGAAATACTAACACTAATATTTTAATGGTAATTTTTTTAAATAAACACAGTACAAAAGGTTTGTAATGGTTTTTGCTATATTTTGAAAATCTTTCAATGATATCCATAAGTCTTAAAGGAAACAAAATGATCAATACAAAAATATAGGTTATTTAAATAATAAATTAATAAAATGTATGGAATCTTTGGATTGCTATAATTTTAAGTTAACACAGACTTTAAAGTCAGTGTAATTTACATTTTTAGTCATATTTACTTAAACAATAGAACCCCAATTTCTTGAACTTTTAGCTTTCCAAAATTCCAGGATAACATGAACCAAACTTAACTTCCATTAGCAGTTAGTTACAGTACTGTGATTTTATCCCTTGATTTTTCAAACCTCCCAATAACTCGAACCAATCTTTTTTTACCAAGGTGGTTAAAAAAAAATCAGGATTCCAAGTTTGTGGGTATTCTTTCTCTGCTTGATTCTTTTCCATTGAAATTTTTAACAGGTACACTGGTTTGGAGAGCTATTCCTTTGCTGGAAAAATCAGAAAGATTTTCTATCAGGCTGCCAAATGCCTTTAACTTCAGCTTCAGTTTTGCATGGTTCCTCAGAGTTTACCTTGTACTCCTCATTGCTGGAGGATGGTACATGATGAAACACATGTATATTTTGCGGTGCCGCAGATATGGCAGAAGAAAAAGAAAGATAAGATAAACAGAGGACACTGTTTCTGTAGATAATACCAGAGGAATGTAGGATTGATGGACCTAATTTGCTTCACTCTTTGTTGTCCTTTTGGAGTCAGGAGATGATGTGATTTTGTCAAAATATTTGACCCTTTGTTTTGCATCAGTTTGTCTGTCTGTGAAAAAGAACACTTGTATTTTCAAAAAGAAAAGAAGAAAGCAAGTTAGGTCTATTTTGTATCTTGGTCAGAACAGTCACTTGAACTGTAATAATATTACGGCTGTAGTTATGGGTTTCAAGTTTCTTTTTGCCAATGAGATTCAATGGAAGAAAATAATTTCTGATGTGTAGATGAAAAATATGTGTTCAAGTATAATTTATTGTGTTTAATTTATTGTAATACAATGGTGAATTTTAAATGAGAGTGCATCATTGTGGCTGTTTGTCTTAAACTGATTCATCTAATGCAGAATTTTCCAATTAAGAAGATAGGCCTGACTCATTTTTGTACACTGAACAGCAGTGAATAAATAAAGTATTCTTTTGAATGAAGGTTGATAGTATAATGATGTTGTTGATAATATTATTGCTTGGGGGTTGGGCTTACATTTTATACCATAAACTGCCGCTTAAATGCCACCGGCCCTTCCAGTTAGCTTGTCTTATGAAATGATTTGGATTCATAATGATATTTTGACTATGAGTACAGGATTTGATTTACAGTTTTTTCGTGTATTGTCAATAAATAGACACCCTGGAATTCTTCATTGTACTTTTTTCACCAAAAAAGTTAGCACTGTTATCATTATTGAAGGAGGTTAAGACCTCTCCCGATTGTAAAGTGCTAAAACTTCTAACATTTGATGACTAGTCCCAGCCACTTCAACACTCCCGTGAAATCATAGTAAGATGATGACTGCTACCAAGTTTTCCCGCCAAAATGACACTGCCTCACGTGTGAGCACTACTATTAGTAATATTGAGAATATCTTGAACTCGTAGTCGTTCTCGTCTTAGAATCTAAAGGTCTCTAACAGTTCACATTGCACTGCTAATTTGATCAAATTTCAGCCTGGAAGTCTTATATCTACAGGTTTTTCTCTGTAGGTTTTTCCTGTACTGGTATTATAAGAATATAGTTTAATAATATTGTAATACTAAGTTGTACTTCCTTTTATTTAACAGTGCATCCAAGTAATTGACTGTTAATGACAGGATCAGCAGAAGAACAAAGCTGTTTGGTTGATTCCTTGAAGACAGCAGCAGTTAATAACATTGCATATAATAATACAAGTTGGTGTTAATTTTGAGTTACATCCTAACTTGGAAATAATTAGTTTGATAAGCAAACTGAAACATTTTGTACTCATTTCCTGAGATGAGGAGCTACAAGCTCCAAAATGAACAGTGCAGCGGACAACAACAATGACATGTAAATTGATTGGATGCTGAATGTTGAAAGAGGGATTTATTTGAAGATACAAGAATAAAATTAATAAAGAATGATGGCAGTATTTCGAAAAAAATATTTAATGTACAAGAAGAGTATTATTTTACCAATAAAAATACAGCAAGGTAAATTTGTTTTTGGTAAAATCATTTTAATCATCTGGTAATGGAGATTACCTTTACCAGGAAGTCAAACAAACTAGACACAGGCTTCTTCTTCTGAAGAGTGCTAGTTTTCTTTTAAGCTGACATCTTATGCTATTTCAGCTACAGAATTGGTCCATATTTTGGTGATGAAAGGTGTACTGTATTATTAACATTTTTATCAGCCCCGTAACAATTCACAAGCCTTTTCCACAATGTCTATAGCCTTAACACTCGTGCATGGGAATGAGTAAGTTGCAACCAGGATACCATAAGGTAGATCACACACAATGATCCCACCTCTATTTTTGTGAGTCACTGCATAAACACTGCGGAGAAAAATACCCAAGTTAATACCGCTGGCAAAAAAATTGCAACCATGATGGCAAGGACTGGACAGCAAGAGCATCAGCAATAAATAAAATCAATGGCATTGATAAGCAGAACAAGTTATCACCTTTAACTTGAGTGTTTTACATAATTTCCAGTTAGTCACTTAATGTTATAATATATATGTGCAAGAAGAACAAGTAGTGGTCACTTTAACTTGGTTAACTTTCCTATTCTCAAGTTGGAAAGCATGTTCTCATTCTTTTGGTAACTTTTAAAATAGATATTAGGTCCTTTCCTTACTCAATAAACAAAACTGGGCATAAATTTTCAGTTGGCAAGTTTGTAGTCATGCTCTGGTTTATAAATAATGTTGATGATTTCTCCCATCTAGGAACTGTTTCGGTTGATTAAGCAAATTTTCAAAAGGTGATTTAGCCTTTCTCGGAAAACATTTATTTAATGATAGAGATTTACCTACCTGCAAAAGCTTTTGCTGTAGATTATGTACTTATTCTCAGAGGCATCTTTCCCAGTTTGAAGAACAAATCCTCTTTGGCAAAGATTAGATTCTGTGGGGTAAATTTTAAAATATTATAGCACAGATATTTAAAGTAAATTTGATTTAAAAATTAAGGCAGAGAGCTAATAATAATAATAATAATAGTCTTTATTTCCACACAAGATAAAAAATACATATCTTATGTTACAATATTTGACTAAAAGTATATATATTTAAGTTATTTACAATTACAAAAAAAAAAAAAATACGCTCACATAGCTAAATTGTATTTAAAAATTAAGTGATTAATGTAAGAGTTCTTGAATGTATCTATCTGTATTAACTTTCGGATACTGACTTGTTCGATTCCTTAAATAATTATTGTAAGTAGATACTTTCTTCTTGGGTAAAACACTATTAATTATGGGTGGATAGAAACACTATTAATTAAGGGTGTTGGAATATAGAGCAGTAATTTTGTTTTAAGCAGGGGTATAGCTAAGGAATAGCTAGGTAGGCTTTTCGATAAGTCAAGGCAGCTTTTTTACTCGACTGTTATTTTAAAATTACTCCACGTCTTTGTTTTTCAGAGCAATTTAAGCTGGTGGTAAGCTCTTTTTTGGTCGGTGAAATTAGCCGGCAGTCGGCTCTTAGTGACATCCCTGTTTAAGTCTTGAGGTCTTGCAGTTTTTGTATTTTCTTTCCATCTTGGACTTTTTTCTACCAAGTATCGGTATTTTAAAACAGAGTTTTTGCAAGTCTCAGTTTTAAAAATTGACACCCCTAATATGCAATGGGCCAATGCCAGTCAGTCTTTAAACCTGAGATAAGGCTCTATTTTCATTGCACTTTATAAATGAAATTCTGGCGCGAGAGGCATAACAATTTAGTGCGACCACACAAGAGAGACTGTATGGTAGCTGCTAAATTTGGCCCCGATCTCAGGTTAGTCAGTCTTAAAAAAGCTGGTGGGAACTGGTGACGTTATCCCAAGCAGAAAACCTGGAGTTGAATAGCATCCCTGCAAAATAGGTGAAACTACAGTATGTTCCCAGTGGATAGCAATCCTAGTTGATCCTGATGACCATCTCATGTAGCTCAAGTTTGACTATTAATAATTATTTGAGTGTAGCAGTACATATAGCCAGCTTTCACAAAATGTGAAAAGTAAGCTGAATAGTATGTGTTACCACTCCATAACTTTTGCAGTTAATTAGTAAACACTGTTAAATAAATTTCTGAGAAGTATCATAATGTACCTTCGTCCTCAGATGTTATGTTGAATACTACTAAAAACTGTGAGAAGTATTTCTGCAAAATGTAAAACATGGGGTGAAACATTTAGCTAACAGTTTTCTTTGGGGAGCTAAAACACCACTCATGTAACATGGGATATGTACATTTATCTTATGAAATATAGACCTATTATTATAATTGTTCTTAATTATCACCTGACATGAAGCTCTAATCACGTTTCCTGTACCGTACTTACAGCAAGGAGCATAAAAGCGTGATCACCTGTAATGAATTCACATTCTGTCATGCCGAAATTAACCAATCAGAAGTTGAGAAAAGTTTCCAGCTGGCTTCTGATTGGATTAAATCTGCACGAAAGAATGTGAATAAATCAAAAGCTGTCACACTTTTGCACTCCCTGCTGTAATGTGTGTTCATGGACAAAAGGACTAATGATTTTAGCTTTATTGCGTGCCCCTAAGAGACTGCATGCTGGCAAATTAGCATGAAAACTCCTCCTAAATTTATAGTTTGTGTCAGATCATAATGTAGGTGTTGTTGCAGAGGGTAACAACGTAGTGTAAGGGTAGGAGAAGGACAGATTCTCATTTAAATTTGCATAGAACTAGTTTTTGGACTTGTTATTCAATTCAGTGTTTAGTTTTATTTTTTTGGATAAAAAAAATAGTTCTTCTTGAGAACAATATGATTTTTTTTACTTGGCTGTGAGTGAAATCAGTTATTAATCTGTCACTAGAATAGAAGGCTGCTCTGTTGAAAGATCTAGTATTTCAGTCTCCAATCTGAAGAGTGTTCATCTTGCATTATTGTATCCTTTCTTCACATAATTGGCCAAGCTTCTATGATAAGACATCATGATATGGTAAGACGAATTGTCCCTGATCAATACAACTTTTAAAAAATGAAATAAAATAAATGGATTAAAATGTAAGTGCATGCTTGACTATCCATTACCTCCTCAAGGTCTTTCAGTTTGCCACATGAGTAAATGGAGTCACCACGTTTTGTCAGAAGTATTAGACCATCAAGAATTTCTCCCACAAACAAGTGAGCTAAACATCAATTGAAACAGTACAGGTGAATAAAAATTATTCCAAGCAACAGCAAAGTTATCTTCGAAGACCTAGGGCCAGCTAAAAGTAAAAAGGGGTTATAGTGTCAATAAGCAAATGCTTGAATCTGATTAGTTCTAGACAGCCCTTAGTTGTTACTTAGTTGTTCCTTTCACTGCCAAAAGTTGACAAAGTCAACAGTTGCAAATTCCAAATTTTATTTCGTAAAAATTTTGCAGAAAAACAAAATTAATGGCACCATGCTAAAGTACTTCCAAAGATGTTTCAATTGAATGGTCAGTCCACAGGATTTCGTCCACAAACTCAAAAGTTAGAACCACCTTGCACTTCATAATAAACAATACCACAGGAAAGTACTGCTCAGTAGCTTTCATTTGAATGGTCACACCATAGGATTTCATCCACAGACTCAAAAGGTAGAACCACCTTGTACAGCATAATAAACAGTACCACAGGAAAGTACTGCTCAGTATCTTTCACTTGAATGGTCACACCATAGGATTTCATCCACAGACTAAAAAGTTCAAACCACCTTGTACAGGATAATAAACAGTACCACAGGAAAGTACTGCTCAGTAGCTTTCATTTGAATGGTCACACCATAGGATTTTATCCACAGACTAAAAAGTTCAAACCACCTTGTACAGGATAATAAACAGCACCACAGGAAAGTACAAATTACATGGTCACACCACAGGATGTTGTTTGAACCACCTTCCCAGACTGAGCATCATAATACCCTGGCAGGGAAAGGCTTATAATTTGCAGCACGAAAACTATTCAAAGACCTGTTATTGCAGCTCTTATCATGCAGACAGGTAAAATCGGACAATTTAATAGCCTGCAGCAATCTAACCAATGACAATCAAAAAAGAGAAAGAACTATTGTAATGAGCAGGGTCCAGCTTCAGCTTAAAAATAAAAGCAAAAATGACTGGCCTTGTTCTGTTCAGACTCAAAAACAACTTATTTTCTTGACAGCTGCAGTAACAATAACTTTAATGCTCCAAAGCGAACAAGTCTTACAGACTTCTGACCACTATTTTGTTTGAGAGTACCCAGTCCCAGGGTAACATTGTATACCTGCCAACTTTTTCCGAGTCATATGCATGGGATTTTCACCTTGTCATGACCGAGATTTCTGGAAACGTCCTGGTGACTTCCGAGGATTTCCAACGAATTTCCAAAGACTTTCAAACGTTGCTGAAAATTAAATGTCCGCAGATGTTCCGAAGATGTTTGAGCACTTCTGAAGCTACTTAGAAGTTGACACTGATTTTAGCGTGCTTTGATTTCTTTAGAACACAAAAAAGGACACAAAGTCATCATGTGTTAAGGAACAATTTGCCCGGATTTGTGATAATCTCGTACCCAGCTGATCTTCCACTGCGAGTGTAAAACAGAGTGAGCAGAGTGAGATCTGGGTACAAGATTAGATTTGTGAGTCAGGCGTGAGAAATAGACCTTGCCACAGTTTTCAACGCCATCTTGACGGCTGTTCTGAAAAAAATATCAATTGTAAACTAAAGCTTCACTCCTAAGGATTTTACTGAAAAAAATTGAGGGCGTTACATGCACTAGAAGTCCTAGAACCACTTTCTAAAATTTTCTATACATTTGTCTGTAAGAAAATCCCGGGAAAAATTACAGACAAATACATGGAAAATCTAAGGGAAGCCTCTTGAGAAATTTAAGCACAGATACGCCCCCAAAATTTTTTAGTGCAATCCTTTGCTTAGTAGCTTTAGTTTTCAATTGATAGTTTTTTCAGAACAGCCATTTTAAGGAAATTATTCAACATTAGATTCTCATACAAACACTGTAATTTCTCACACGTTTGCCTACTCGTCAAGATGGCGTCGAAAACCGTGACAAGGTCTATTGTCCTTGAGGAGTGAGATCGATGCCTTTAGTCCACAGGCGTGACACTCACGCATGGTGCGTGAAAGCTGGCAGGTTTAACAGTGTTGTATTTCAGTCTCAAACTAGGATAAATGATCGCGAGGTTTCTTAAGGATGAACTTGTTTACGTTAAAGATGCGGAATTAAACAACGATTCCTCGACAAAGTGTCTGCTTTGGCCTTTAGATCGATGAAACATGTATCCCTGTTGTTTTTTCTGAGAGCCCGCTTTGTATAGACATCCATATTTGATATTTAGGGGGGGCCCATCGAGGTAGAACGAGAAATCCGCATAAACTGTAATTAATAAAAGTAGCTAAATACCTTCCGCAAACTGACTCCAATTTTCGCTTTCCTGCATTTGTCTACTTCTAATACAAGTTCCTCATAATTTCATTACTTCTTGTGAGACCCGTGGGACGTGACGACTGAAAAAGAGAAAGAGCAAGGCGTTCCATGATTTGTACCAGTCTCCCTCTCGTTTTTCTGTATTCACACTTGATCGATCGCCACGAGGAGGCGAGGATGTATATGTTACTTTTGAGTTAGTTTGAGTTATAAAACGGTCAATATTGTCGTTTCCAGTTTATACTAGTAATAGTTGACACTACAGCTGCCCCCGCTCTGTATATAGTATTCTTGCTCTCTCGCTCCGTAGGGCGGGTAGGAGAGAACCCTGGGAACGAGGTTGGTTCACACATATTCCATACAATTCCCAGTTTTATTACTGTCTTTTGAGTCTCAAACAGTAGTTTTCTCGCTGTCGCTCTCGCCCCCCCCGCCTCTGTTCCCCCACCCCCCCGTTTTTTCGGTGCACAACTCAACTAGGCTTTTGTACATTATGCTAGCATTTTTTCGAGCATTTTAGTGAGGCAAAATCATTGAGCATTATTCGAGCATTTTAGTGGCATTTTCCCCGGAAAATTAATTTTTTGCGAGAAAATAAAATAGAAATTAACTTTTTTCAGGAGCCCAAGGCCATGGGCTCCTGCTTTGTTTTAAAATGAAAATGAAGACTAAAACTCACGAAAAAACCTAATACAGCTGAGTGGAGACTGAGGACAAGTCAGCGGTTTTACCTTTCAAGACTCAAGAGTAAATGTCATTTGACAGATCATGTAATCAGAGTGTTATAACTTCAATTTTTACTGTAAAAATTTTATTTCGCATTCAAAAGAAAAAAAAAGTATGCTGAAACAATGGCTTTTATCAATTTGACCAAAAGAGAGGACTATAACTTGAGGTAATTGCTATGAAAGTTAAAGAATACCGAAAACAGTCCGCAGACAAGCCCGGACAAAACCTGTTGAGACAGATCGCGAAAATGCCTATTTTTTCCTGTCATCCCGGCAAAAACTGAAACCGCCGCCAAATGAATGCCCGATTTCCCCCCTCCCCTTACCCAAAGTTGTTTAGGATAGCATGGCAATTATACACGTTGGTTTTTAGACCAAGGCAACTTTGAATAGGGGGTGGGGAGGGGGTTTACTTTTTGTGTTTAGGGGAGACGGGAGTAGGGCGCAAAAGTTAGAAAATAGATGGAATTGTCTCAACAGTTTTGTCCGGGGTTGTAGCTCCCCACCTACCTACTGCCGCGCTCTACCATCTGAACGCCTGGAACAGGCTAACCCTAACCCAGACCTAACCCTAACCCTAATCGCCTTTTTTTAAAAACATTCCTGGGACTTCATCTGACAGATATAAATGATCGCATGACCTTTTTAAGTCTTAATCACACAACATTCGACGTCACACTGCAGCGGCTTCAATACAAAACGAAAATCTCTTAGTGACCTAAAAGATCACCATGAAGATAATTTGTGCAGGTGTGGGAAAAACGGGTACCAAATCCATCGCCAAAGCCTTGCGTCATCTTGGATTCACTGTTTTTGACTGGGAAGAGCAAACATTTGATTTCCAAGACCACTGGGTCGATGTTTTCCAAAATGGCGCCAAGTTAGATGTGAAGAGAGTCTACCAACATGCTGACGCGATCGTGGACTCTCCCGGAAGTTTTTTCTGGGAGGAAATACTGGAAGCTTATCCTGATAGTAAAGTGATTTTAAGCGAAAGAGAAGAAGATTCTTGGTTGAAGAGTCTGGTCAATCAACTTCAAGTCATCGAGGAAGTGAAATCTCGCAGGTTTTTGTGTGTTCTCTCCCCAACTTCAAGAAAAGGGTTCTTTGTTTTGTATTCTATTATAAACGCTTTTCTTGGCACTGCAAACCCCAAGTCAGCTTGTATCTTCCGTACGCGATACCGTCAGCACAATCACCGCGTTAAGTCGCTTGTTCCACCAGAGAAGCTGTTGGTGTACAACGTGAAGCAAGGTTGGAAACCGCTCTGTGATTTCTTGGGTTGTGAGGTTCCAACAGTTGCCTTTCCACATGAAAATATTAAGGGCGAAATCGCTGAAGTTCTCTTGTCTGAGACAAGATATGGTCGGCAAGTTATTTGGGAAATACAGAGAGCTGTGATTGTGATCCTTTCTGTTATCGTAGTTATTGTAGGTTCAATTTTTGTCTTTTTGTCGTATTAACTGTGACTATTTTGCCAACCTTTCATTGCTGACGTAACGTTTTAAAGGGGATAAAATTCAAGCACTTCTGGCATCGAAAGGATCAGTAGTATCTGAGTTTCAAACACATGGAACACCAGGCGTGACAAAAATATTCAAAAATAAAATGTTGTTTGTATCATTGTCGGATGTATATGACGGGTTTAAAATTGCTTTTATATCGGCTTTACGGTGAGGTAAATACAGGTTGAAAGCATATCAGGAGCCGATTCTCCTGACCATATATACCGTGTGTGGCACGAAATTTTTGCGGGAGTTTGTTTTTGCGGATTGGCGATTTTTTTGTTTTGCGGGAACTAATTTTTGCGACTAGGACAGACTGAAGTACCCAGTACCCAGCATTGACAATATTTTCGTTTTTATTGAGTACGCAGGGGCACCCAACGAGGACATAGTTCAAAACCACTTAACATAGCATTGTTAGCTATTGTTGGACGTATTTTAGTATTCAAACGGTAGATATAGGCATATTTTAATCCCCTAAAAACTTTTCATCTGTTCGGATTTCCTAGCTGAAAGTCTAGTGATCCGAAAATTATAGGGGTAAAAACTTACCTTCCCGAAAATTTCAGCCAGGAAAAGGCTCCCGAAAATTCTAGGTGGCCTTTTTTAGGGCAAAAGTCCGTTAAAAATGAGTAATTATACCATTTTGTAGATGTTCGAAAATCCTAGGAGAGGCAGGCAAGCAAGAAATTTTACAACAAATGCTCCGAAAATTCTAGATCTCAAATCGTCTTCCGAACAGATATTTTCCCGAAAATTGCCGTTGGGTGCCCCTGAGTACGTCAAGAGTCATAATATGGCTCTTGAGTACGTCTAATAGAAATGCATATTTTAAAACAATACTACGGTGTGCGTCAGTATTTCTTTGTATATCGCTTTGTTTCTGAACGAAAAAGACAAGTTGTAAGAGAAGGTACGTTTTTTATTGGGGGGGGGCCGGGGTTTCGGAGGGGAGGGTCCTTAGTACATTTTTGACAAATTGGCGAGGGACAAACCTGTTTTATTCTCAACCGGGGGAGGGTCACAGTTTTTTTGGCCAGGAAAAAAATCACTCCATGTCGCTTCTATTTTGTATATACCAGCAAAGCTACCAGTCAAAATTAATCTAAATTATTTACGGATGTCGAAAAATTTATATGTCAAAAAACCATCTTCTCCCAACTAACATAATTGTCTCTCTCGACCCGTGTCCGCTTTCGCCCATATTTTGATGTTTCCGCGCGGGGTTCTGTGATTTATTGCTTTCAAAGCCTTGCGAACTTCCCACTGGCGCTTTCTTTCAGTCACGAAACAGTGGCGAAAGCGTTCCTTGTAGGGACAAGTGGTCCAGAAGAACAGGTACAATTTTGGCAGAATACTATTTGAGAATTCAGTATATTCACCCGTTGGGCTCGGGAACCACCCTACGTCTTCATCTTTCCACTTCTCTGGACTTGCGCTTTCACAGATTGTTCTCGCAGCCGATGTGCCACCAACAGAGTCAGAGGAGTAGCGGGCATCCTTTTTAGAATGGCGAGTCGGCAAACAGCCACAATAACCTTAGTTCTTGCCTTAGCCACAAGTTGCTCCATCTGTGCAATAGCTTTGTCGCCACGTAGTAATCGTAACGAAAGTTAAGTTTCTGAAGTTATTACTTCTTGCAACAATCTCCTTTGATTTCCTCAAATATTTAATTTCTTGTGCGGCTGTCCAATATGGCCGCTTTTACCCACGCCGTTGTGTATTCACCGAACACGTTCCATCTTACTGACAATATCCTGAGGGTGGTTGCTAAGTAAACTGCAGTATCCACTGAAGGAAAAGCTATTCTTTGATTTTCCGGTATTGCATCCCATCCTCCTCTTACCGTTTGTCTGTTATTGGCGATCAAAGTGTATTTTATGCAGTTTAGAGATAAACACGAGTAAGCGGTTTTGAGTACAAGATCGAGACTACCCCAAGAGACTCTCTAACTTACATTTTTGAGACAAAACTTTTGTTAACATTAATAGCAAAAAAAGCCATGAGAAAAGTGACTTCCCTATATTTCGGACGGACTGAGTTGTCCTTCTCTTTTCTCTTTGCTGGTTTTGTTTGTCTATATTTTGTCTTGGATAAAACAGCAGGATTTGGCTCTCGTTATTTTATATAGAAAAAACGTTTCTACATTTATAAGACTCAATCTGCCTCAAACTGAAAATGGCTTTATAATTTTCTAAATTTGTTCCGGTTTTGGAGGGCAAGGGGTCTTTTAATGTTTAAAAAACACCGTATCAATTCATTCATATACGAGTACCATTAGCTTGAAAGTTACAAATTACTATCACAAGCAAGCACTCCCAGAGAAGGGGTAAACAATCATTTATTGCGAAGCTAAAAAATTAGTTGCACCGGATAACTCCAAACCCAAGTGTTTAAAGGGGAGAAGTAGAGCGGCCGGAGTCATGGCAGCGGAGCGGCATGGAGGATTTTGAATTTGGTCGCTTCAGACAAAGTGAGCCAACGACATAAACTAAATAGGCATCACTCTTCCTGGCCTGCGTGGCAGGCCTTAAAAGGAGAAGGGGAAGGGGGAATTTGGACGCCTGCCACGCAGGCTGCTCTCTTCCAATCGCCTTGTGCTTGATAAAGGCGTTTGGAGCGTCATGGCAAAAAGCGAATGTCGCGCCTCCTCTACGAAAATTATGCGAGCAGTAGGAAGCAGGTTCGACGCCGATTGCGGAAAGCAACACTGGTTAGCCAGGATAGGCCTGTAAATAATGATCGAGGTGGTAGCTGGACACTGGCTATAATCGGCACTGGATCGCATAGGATTAAGTCATGAGATACTATCCGGCTCCTAACATTTTCTTCTTACAAACTGAATCACTTTTGCAACTTTGTTTTCGCCATAAGAGAAAATTGTTCATGGCCCTACATTTTTTATACCAAAGCCGGGTATATTTTCGACACATTCCTCTCGTAAAGGGAAAATTGCAGATCATCCAGTCAATCAGTCAATAATACAAATAACAAAACAATATAACTACAACAGCTACGATAACAGAAAGAATTACAAACAGAGCTCTTTGTATCTCCAATATTGCTTGTCGACCAGATCTTATCTCAGACAAAGGAACTTCAGCGACTTGGCCTTTGCTATTTTCATGCGGGAAGGCAACTGTTGGAACCTCGCAGCCCAAGAAATCACAGAGCGGTTTCCACCCTTGCTTTACGTTGAACACCAACAGTTTCCCTGGTGGAACGAGGGACTTAACGCGATGATTGTGGATACGATATCGCTTACGGGAAACACAAGTGGAACTGGGATTTGTAGAGCCAGAAACAGCATTAATATGAGAGTATAAAACGAAGTACATTTTTCTTGAAGTTGATTGACTGCACTTTTTATCCAAGAGTCTTCTTCTCGTTCGCTTAAAACTACTTTACTATCAGGAAAAGCTTCCAGTATTTCCTCCCAAAAGAAGTTTCCAGGAAAGTCAACGACTGCATCAGCATTTTGGTAGACTCTCTTCACATCTGGCTGGGCGCCACTTTTGAAGACATCAACCAAGTGGTCCAAGAAATCAAATGTTTGCTCTTCCCAGTCAAAGACGACGAATCCAAGGTGACGCAAAGCTTTGGTGATTGATTTGGTGCCAGTTTTTCCAAGACCTGCACAAATTATCTTCATGATCAGATCTCTTCAGTCAATGTCAGGTCGACCAAAAAAAAAATCGAGTGTTTATTTGAGCTGCCTGCTGCGTACTGAAATTTTGGGAAGCAAAGGTATGTTAATAACCATGTAGAATATGTAAACAAGTATCTAAACAAGTATGTAAATAACCGGTTATGGGCCCGCCCTTCTGGGCTCGAAAGTCCTCGTTTATCAATCGGGTTGTGTTAAAAAAGATACATTGCCAGTTACACTATATTTGATTGCTCTAATCAAGTTATATTTTTCGTTGCGTGCATGCTCCAAATCACCTTCAACCCGAATGATTAATTACCTCAAGGTCACGCGAACAAAAGGCCAGGTCACGCAAATCCAGAACCCACCTGGCTAATATAAACATCTATGAAGGTACAAAGTACGACAAACAGAATTCGGAGAATTATTAAAATGCAATTTCTATTTTACAACGTGTGGAGTCCTATGTTGTCGGGGTATTTCGTTTCCGATGACATGCCCAGTGTGAAGTAGGGCCGAGTTTCTTGAATTCAGAAAGTTTAAAATGTCCTTATTTAAAGCAAGAAACAATCTATCAACTGTGGAACTGGTCTATCAACAAATACCAAAATAGTTTGATGGTTGTGAGGATAACAATTTCTCGTTCTAAAGATCTATAAACTATTCCCATCAATGAAACTGACAAAGGACTTCTACTTTTTAACCCTAACGAGGGTGACCAGCATCAAATTTCTCCTAAAAATTTCCCTGCTTTTGTCCTTTGCCTAAAAGTCATGAGAATAAAGGAAAGGTCCGACAATTCAAAACGTTCATCACTACCATAGAAAATGTGCGAAGAACGTCATAGAGAATCTGCATGCTGGATAACGTTTGATCGAACTCCGTAACGGCATGGGCAGATTTAGGTATATATCCAGGGGACTGCGGCCCCACCCTTTTATGTGAATAACAAAAAAGAATTAAAGAATTTTGATTAAAATAAATAGTATCTATATAGCTCGCAAGTGTCCGGGCCCCTCCTTTCTAAATTTTATGGACTCGTTTAAAAAGAAAAGAACCATCCTTAAAGACTCTATTGGGGTTTACTTTGAGCAGTTTCAGGACAAGCAAGAGCCCGGGAGTGTTATATACATGTAGGTAGGTGTTGCACTTGTTTATACGGCAGAAAAGGACGGTATATACAGTACTTATGACCCCTTAACCATTAAAGAAATTCCTGAGACTTGACAGATAATTCTTAATCATATATAAGACATAAGAAAGAACAACCCCTATCAACAGCAAGTACTTTTGAAATCCATCCACAAATTGTTACTTTACATCCCTATGAACATAAAGTATTCCAATGCGCGTAACTACAACTAAATTAGACAATACAGTTGATTTCAATTCAGCATAAACTAATGAAAAAGGCAATAATTACAAAAACTTAAAATGAAACTGTACAAAACCAGTGACGGATCCAGACCTTCAGATACGAGGGGAGCCCAGCCATCCAGATCCTGAGAAAACGGGGGGGGTGGGGTGGGGCGTTCTCAAAAAAAAATGTTTCAGCCGCCCTTTGGGCCTCAGTTTGGTCTAACAATCAGGGGGGAGGGTTGGGGGGGGGGGCGGCCCCTCGCCTGGATCCATAACTGCAAAAGTTACTGTTAAAATTGAAATTGTACAAAAAGTGAAACATTCTAAAAAGTACATCTGTCTATAGTTAAGTTACAAACTTGTTTTAAAATTTAATATATTAGTATGTGCAATAACTATTATTTAACAGTTTTTTTTTCAACACAACAGGGTTTTTAATACTTAAATTACCATAATATTTAGAAACTAAAAGTGAAAAAAATAAATACTTATTTATATTTTTAAATGGCCTGTGCCATGGTGGTCTAGTTCATTTTACTTTATATTTATTACACAACCTTTATCTTTATGGAACATTAGCTAAGAAACTTTCTATTTGACAAAATTTGTAACAAACAAATAATTATGTCTTCCAAGATTAATATTCAAAGTTACAAAATCCCAATCCAATTTACAAACCTTCGTCACTTGTGTCCATTCAAACCTTCTTTTGTATTAATTGCTGTATTATTTAAACTTTCCATTGATATTTTAGTTGTTTTTTTAGCTCCTCATTGATTACTGAGGCCTAGGATGTCTGAATTTTGCTAACTAACAATACTCCTCTGACTCCTCCAAGTTCAAAAATTCATTCCAGAACAATTATTGATCCTTATGATGAAAGATATTCATTGCATTACTCATCTCTCATGCTCCTACTTTAAGAAGAGCAGCTGAAAGCTTTTCCAAGATTGAAATTGCCTTCTGAACTTTTGTAATCCCAAATCCAGGGTCTTCTAAAACTTTTTTGACAAACTCATAATCTTCTTTAGCTTTGTCATACTCTTCACTAAGGACCTTCAGCTCATTTTCAATCTTTTTTATCTTGCATTGCAGCTCCTATAGCAGAAAATAGATGAGTTTGAACGACAGAACTGAACTCAGGAGTAATAAGTAATAAACCGTTTACCCACTGAATGGCTGAATGTGGACAATAGCAGAGGGGGTACTTCCACATACCATATTTATTCGAATAAGCACCCAACCTCGAATTAGCACCCACCTCAAATAATTAAGCATCCATCCTAAAGGCAGAAAAAGTTAATAAGCGCCCAGCCTTGAATAAAGGTGCCCACCAACACCCCACACCCCTCCCCTCAAACTCAAACCAGAAAAATTGTTGGACTTATAAATTATGTTGACTGTTTGTTTTTAACATAACTATTATTAAAAGTTATTCTTCAGCTACAAAATGATATTCTTTGGTAGCGTATTTGATCTTTTCAGTCATCATGTTTAGCTGTAGGTAGAATTTGGTCGCACATGGCTACATTTTAGTTGGACATTGTCAGATAACCAACAGTTATTTGTAGCTCTGCTTAGTCTAAAAAATGGCAGCAAAATTGTGACTTCACATGGCCTTGTATATACTAAGGGTTCCAGGTCAAACTGTATCCACTTCACCAAAAACTCAAGGAGTACCCAATCACGTGGGTGTTGACCTGCCCATCACTTCAGCAGCCTACCCTCAGACCCCCTAGGACTAGACATGAGCTATGACATGTCACCTCAACCTTTGTCACTTAGTTAGTGTCTGAATATATAGACTATGAGCAGTCTCTTTTTTTCTTTCAAAGTTACTCCACATGTATAAACCCATGCACGAGCACTGTAAACCATGATGAACGAGGGTGCAAGCCCAAGGAGAAAAAAATGATAAGTGATCATAGAGGGAAATCATGATTGAAGAAATCTGACAATTTAAGGTATAAAAATCCTGCCATCTGATCAAAAGATACAAAACATGATCTTCTGCAGAGGAGCTAGTGACATGACTTGTCTCGTTTTTATATTATAAGATCTGATTAGAGCCATATCTGGGGAAGGGTGGGGTCTTTTGGTGCATGTGTGACCCCTTCTTAATAACCTGTGATCAGGCTGCAGTCCCCCTTCCCTTTTTCTTTGGAAGGCAAAAGGTAAAAGTAAATGTATCAGGTGTTCCTTTTGTTTCCCTTTGCCTGTTGCTCTTTCCCCTGCCCCTCCCCAAAAAAAGAATGCCTGAGCACAGAACTGAAAGGTATACAGTTTGTATCTGAAAAACAAACTTTAATAGACCTAGTGTAAGAGTGTATTCAAAGCGGGCAATAATAATAATAATAATAATAATAATAATAATAATAATAATAATAATAACAATATTTTTTATCATAACATAATATATAATAATAATAATAATAATAATAATAATAATAATAATAATAATAATAATAATAAATTAACATTTTTGTTTTTCAGACAAATGCAACTTTACCTGAACATTTCGTCCCCGTTTAGTTTCTGCTTCCAATGCTTCCTTCATGTCCTTCCCTACAAGTGTGCCATCAATAGCTAAAGACACAGCAGTACCTGCCCCTGGTACACACGATGCTGCCCCAGAAGCAATTTCCAGGCCTGCTCCTAACACGTCTCCCTGAGAAAGCCTCCAGAGTCCAAATCCAACACCAATAGCTGCTCCCACAAAGGGCACCGCCTTTGCTGCGACCTTGCTGCTCCCCTTGGCTGCTCCGCCCTTCAATCCAGACATTGCCGCAATTTTTGCAGCTGCCTTTGCTGCCAGCTTCGCAGCTACTTTTTTAGCTGCTTTTTCTGCTAATTCTTCTGTGATGACTTTTGCCATGGTTTTAATCAATACTTTTCCTGTTGAAGCTGATAACTTTGCTATCAGGTTTCGAGCAATTGTTTTATCCTCTTCTTCATCATAGACTTCATAAATCAGCTGTTCCAATTCCTTCTTGCAAGTTTGAATCTGTGACTCATTATTCTGCACAATTCCAAAATAATGGGCTTTTACTTCTGCCAATATGTGCTCTTCCATAAGTGCTTGGTCTTCCTCAGACATTTTGTTGATTGGGGACTTCAGATCTTCCAACAGTTGCTTATAAATGGCAAGAGCCCGCATTGTCTCTTCCTGTGTATCTATAAAATCTTGATCTTTCTCGCTCCCAAAAGCACCAAAGTGGGTGATAGTGAGGTGGTTGCCATTTTGTCTGAAGATGAGCCAGTTTGAATACACTTTTCTCCTGGATGTTTCATCAAGATACCGAGTAAGGACATTATCAGGAAGAATAGGAAATTTACGTGCATCTTTATCAAAAGCCACTAACACTTGATCTTGGCCTTCATGCATTGGATCTTTGTAACCATCTGAAATAGTTTCGCATATTTTTGTCAAAACATCATCCTCGCTGAAGTCAAGGTTGTTGTGGTCAAGGCGGTCAGTCATTTCAAAGCTGTAGGCTGTGCCATCCAAATGAAGGAAGCTGTTTCGGATAATCTTACGTCTAGGTGACATCTCAAAGCAAGACTGAAAGAAAACCAACATTTCCTCATCAGTAACAAAATTACATGTATTAAAGAAATTGTTTCCATGAGTTGGCAGCCTTCAGACACATTCTTAAATTGAATTCATCCAGTCAAGAAAGTCACCTTGTTCAGGACGTTAAATAGTGGAATTTTACATCCTGTTCAATTGTAAGACTCAAAACCGTCCATAAATCATACTATATTCAGCCTCACACGCAGTGAAACCCCACTTTATGGACTCCTGCTGAATACGGACACCTCATTATATTACAGACAGTTTACTTTGTCCATAGAAAGCCCTAACATTTTTCCTTAAATATGGTCACTTTCTATGGCGCATGCCCTCTTAGTGTCTGTGTAAACGGGATTTGACTGTATTTGTTTAGGCCAAACAAGTGCTCTCCTCAAGGGGTCTCAACTGTGGAAATGAGCGCTTTGAGTTCAACCGAAAGTTTGCTTTTGTAACTATTTACTTTCCTATAAAGCCAGGCTCAAAACAATATTAACTGTGTGGACTCGTGTTACATAGACTGAGGACTCTCAGCCTTCATTTCTCCGCCTTCAGTTGGTCGATAAATTCAAGTTAAATCACGGCTTTCCGTGTCATAACTCTCGCGATTTTAATTGAGTGATGGCCCGGGGGGGGTACTCGCAGAAAAATTGGGTAGGGGTGTGCGGCCCGCTTCCCAAAACCCTTACCCTATTTATGACCAAAATCTGCGATTTTCCCTACCCTATTTATGACCTAACCAAAAATTTGATACCCTATTTATGACCTGACCCTTAAATCAATACCCTGTTTCAGACCTGCCTTATAATTATTTCCCTAGTTCAGACCAATGTTAAAGGCAATGTTTATCTGCTTTTATTAGGTTAGGGGGACATGATAAGGAAATAGCTTCTTCTAAAAAAGTGCATTCAAGACTACAGTGCAAAAATCGTTTCCCTATTTATGACCAAAATGGCGGCAAAATAGGCAAAATCGATACCCAATTTATGACCAAAACGGCTGAAAAACCCTACCCTTTGGGGCCGCACATACCTATATAGCCCATATTAGTGAGTACCCCCCCCGGGAGTGATGGATAGACAGTGAAAGCGGAATTTCGGAAGGTTAAGCTTCCATGCAACAACATTTGACGATCAAAGGAATTGTGACAATTTTTTTGCATACATGAGAAAATCAGAGGGATTTGTATCAAAAACAAGGTCAACCTAGCCTGGCATCCGCTAAAAGGCTACGGTCGTAGGTGATCTATCGCTACAGTATGTTTTCGATTCATTGATCTCTAAAACGAGAAATATATACGCATCAACACTGCGTCAATAAAGATGAATGTTAAATTACCATGTCGACAAGCTATAAAGCAGTGTTTTGATCTTTGTCAAGATTTTGAATTCAGTATGGCTAGAACTGTTTATAAGTTAGCTCATGCTCACCTTAAATGATTTAATCCAAAGTGAAATCAAACGATAAGGAACGAAAAGAAACGTGGCAGAGAAGCCTTGATCTTACCAAAGCTGCAAAAGTTGGCTAAGATCCCGCTTCTTGAAGTTCCAAATTAACGTTACCGTCAGTAATTCTCGATGGATCTCAAGAAAATTTTCTGTGCAGGGAGAAATTGTTTATCTACATGCAGAAAATGTCGAACATGAAAAGCTACAGAACGGGGCCGGAGTGGCCTGACGTGACGTAGCAAATGAGGAAGAAATGAGGAAGTAGCGTTCCTAACTTCAGCGACGCATGCAACCGCTTATCTCGTACCCAGATCTCCCACACCTACAGAAAGCAAAAATATGAAACGGCAAACTAAGTAAACAAAAGAATAAAACAAAAAAGTATAGCAAGCTTGGACAAAAATAAATATATTTAAACAAATTGCCCAATTTGTTTAACTATATATATTTCTGTTTCATTCTTCTGTTTACTTCTCCATCGCCTTGCCGAAAGGATCAGTTTGCCATTTCATATTTTTCTACAAGTTTAATTATTGTACGGATCCAGGTCTACAACTGGGATATCCGGCACCACTCATTGGTTTGTTGCTGTCGACTTGCTGACATTTTATATATTTTGGAATCTACAGACAGCACAGCACAGAAGTCACAGAAGTATTTATAAACCCGGAGCGAGCAACTTCCCATGCACTCGTGTCACGACGTTTTCACCGACCAGTTTATTTTTTAGAACAATTTTGGGGCAAATTTAGAATTCCTTTTTGATATCTTATACTTCGAGTGCGCTAATAGACGGAGCGGAGATTCCATTTTCGCGGGAAAAGGTGGTCTAAAATGTGTCTAAAATGAAAATGCCACGACATAGGCATAGCATGGGACTTTGCTCACTCCGGGTTATGGGCTCCGATCCTATGTTTACTTAAAAGGCATGATAGCTGTGATTGGTCCTTTAAAAAAAACCACGGTTATCTGTGAATATTCTGTTAGGTTTGACCAGCCGAAATGAAAGGACTACCTCAAAATCTTGTTTCGGTTAGAATTTCTTCAAGAAATGACCTTTCCATTTGCCATTAGGATTTCGTCACGCGTTCCTTTTCCACGAACGTTCGTTGTGGAGGAATGCGTGACAAGCCAAAATTAGCGGCTATGGATCTCTTATGAAGAGAAATGTCCTGCACATTCGAAAAATAGACTTAGTCCTGTTCTTTCCACCATTGCAAAATTTCTTGCAATGGTGGAGCGCTATCTTCGCAAAAACAAAAGGAAAAACAAAGAAAGAAGAAAAAGAAAGAAGGAAAGAAAGAGAAAATCCCTGTAAAAATCAAACAAACGCGAGCTATTAGAATGGAGCAAGAAATGATATGAGCACGCGCCAGTAAGTTTACAAGCGTGCTGATATTGCACGATATGCTGATATGGCATGATAAAAAGAAGTTACAGGTGACGCAAGGTATGGCTTCTTCCATGTCGTCAGCGAGCGCGGGAAAACTGGCCTGCGTTAAGATGGGGACACAGCCGGGGGGCGGATACTTAACAGAGTTTTATACGGAGAGGCTCCGCCCCGAGGTCCAACCACGCATCCTTTTATATACCAGACAGTTTTGAAAGGAGAGGTAACCCTTTCGTAAACCTTCTGCTGACAAATGGTACCCCTGCCACATTCCAAGTTTAGAACTTTGCATCCATTTTGACTGCTGTGAATGCAAAGTGTATAAACAAGACAGGATAAAGCTCTTTTGGATAAAGATCTTTATCTTCTCTTGGTATAAAATATGAATAAATCACAAGGCCATAACGTATTACTCGACTTTTTCACAGCCATAAAATGCATCTGTTAGCTTTTTTGGGTCTTTCTACCAACCTAAATGACAGATTTCCCTACCCTTTCATAACCTTCAACTGAGGCCTGAAAAAGGTACCCCTTTAGGGGGGGCGTTCCCGTATAGGCCATTATAGGGAGTACCCTCCCCACGAGCTGGGTCATTAGGGAGGAAAAAAGCACAGAGATGGGGGAAAAGGGAGGGTGTCCGCAATTTTCGTTATCGTCCTTTTGTCCGCAACGAACTGTTACTCAAAAGAATCGTTTTTCTTTGTTTTCGGTTGGAGTAAGTTCAGAAGTGTTTTCTAAACAATAAATTATAAGGAACTCAAGAAAGGCAACCTTCGACAGCTGAGTCAAAATTGTTCTATTGCTGCTAAAAATTAGGAAAGACAAAGCTAAAAAAGTCACAATAACACCTGCAAATAGCAGTACGATGGTTTCTATAGAAACACATTAGCAAACGACATAATTTCACCTTTGTTACAAAGTAAAAGTAAGGCGCTAGTTTAGACGGCATATGGAAGAAAACGCACAGTGTGATTGGTTTGTAGCCTGATTCTAAGACGTAAGGGAGTGAAAAGCCGCGAGCGACTTGGATCGTGTGAGAATCAGGCTAATTGGCTTGTAATCAGAGAATGAATAACCAAAGCAATAAATGCTGGTCAATATTCTTAACATACCTCGCAACTTTCCCAGTGACTACGTTTCTTAGCCCTTTGGACATCAATACCTTCAAATTGAGTTCTGTCACCCAAAAACTAAATTTCTCATTAACATGCTTTTTAGCCAATCAAAAGTTTTGCTCATCGATATGAAAAAGCCCTTCGAAGTCATGAATATTATTTTCTAGATTAAATAAATATCATAAACTAAGGCGATTTTAAAAGATATATGCATGCAGAAATAACACTGGAATATAGCAGTCGTGCATAGTGCCACACGACATACAAAAGTAACGAAAGTCGAGCTAAAGCGTTAGTCAATGCCTAAAAAAGCGTAACTACCGTCGTATCTACCCTCAAGTTATCAGTTACCAGCCTCGTCCCAGTCGTCCTCGGTAAGTTCGGATGTGACGTCACCCGTCAAGCTTGTTGGGAAAACTCGCGCTTGGTTCCAAGCCTCCTCCGCTTATTCGGATAGCACGAATTGACCTGGGAACGAGGATGATCGGTTACCAGTCGTTTCGCTACACTGAAGCCACTCGATACTTTTTTAAATTGACGATTCATATACTATAAGATCTCGATTTTGAGATAAATATTAGCGATAAAAAATCACGACGTTTCGACCTCTCCGAGGTCATTTTCAAGTGTATAAGTGTTTTAACTTATTTATGCTAATTTAGAGAACTTTTATACACTTGAAAATGACCTCGGAGAGGTCGAAACGTCGTGATTTTTTATCGCTAATATTTATCTCAAAATCGATTTCTAAGAAACTACTTATTATAAGATCTCCGCGTAATTTATTCCTCACCTCAACGTTGAGATGTGAAAACGAGCCTACAATAATTCATCCGAATATGGCACAAGAAATAATCACGGTTTTCATTGTTAATTTTGTAACGAGAACACTCTGTAGCGAAACAACCTAACACCAAGAAATCCAAGTTCAGGTGTAATTTAAAAAATGTATCAAACTACCTTTGAATTTACTGTAAAATACTTCTGGATCTTTAAGGTTTCTAACCCTTTCAGCCCTTTACTTTAAGTTTGTTTTACACAAGTGCGATATCGTCTCAGTCGAAAGAGAAGGATCTTGGACATGGTAGGGAACTGGTAAACGGTTAATAACCAAGCATGGGAAACCATGCTGAAGAAGATTACTTTGGATTACTTTTTTTAAAAAAAATTGCGATAAAACCCTCAAGAATATTCATGCAATTCTTTTTTTTTCTGAATGCTACAAAGAGGCAAATTATTCTACGATACGGAATCGTGAAGAAGAAATACTGTTCGATAAATTATACGAAAATAAGTAATCACGTACGTTGCAGGATAATTCACTGAAGAAATAATAGCTGGACAGAAATGATAAGAAAACTACAACCTTTGAGAAATAAATTAAATGGCTTGGAAGGATAATTTTTACAAATCAAATACTGCATCGATATATTTTCGATAAAATTGTACAACTTCTTTATATAGTCTTTACATGGTTATTCATCTGAGGAGAATATGAGCTTGACAAAACCGTCTTCTCCTTCAAGCGGAACTGCGCAGAAAGGACAAATGGCCTGGAACGCGTCGCAACCGTGGGGAATGGGCACCTGTTGCCAGAACCTAAAACAAAGCAAAATGCTGATCGGCAAATAGCAACAACGGAACCAAAATATTGAAACGTGGCTCAATGAAATTTAGGCTAAGTTTAACTCTAGACAATGTTGACTAGCAGCCTTTTTCACGCCAGATTACCAGAAGCGTTCTAATAGCTTCGCAGGAGCCGATGAGTTTTTTATAGCTTCTCTGTTGAGGCCAGGTAGTTACGTTCTGGTTTACGCTCGTTGTTTGTACGTTTAGTGTTTTTGCTCCCTATCCTGCCCCCCTCCCCGGTACTTTATGCTAGGCTCCACTGGTTAGCAGTGTGACAGTGCCTGGCTGGATGCTACCCAGATACACTAAGGGTTGTTTAGGGTACGTTTACACTCGGCTGCAATGCGTAACCAATGTAACGAGAATCAACGCTTTTGGCACTTTGCGCCTTACTCGCAACAATTCCTGTTGAAGAGAAATAAAACATACTTTTTCCATTCTGAGACTAACTTCTAGAGAAAACAAAAAAAAAGTCGTCAAGGTCTATAATATAAATGATTATATTTTGTTTCATCTACCGACAAAGAAGGTTAAAACAAATTACGGGAAATATGAAACGCCCCGACGCACGCTACGTACGCTTATTGGAGGTTTTTCGACAAAAGATTTCATCTGTTCACCATAGTTTAATATCTTACCGCACAGTTTCCTCAGAACAAACATGGCCACACGGAACAAAGGCGTGAGTGGCTGCGGGTTCCCCTTTATAGAAAGCTGGTTCTCTTCCCAGGCTCAACGGAACGTAACTGCTGGTCTGTTAACGTTAAAGATGGAAATAGAAAGGCTCACTCATTATTGTACACTAAAGAAAAGATGCACTACAACTATAAGCTATCAATAAGTGCTGCCTTGTGCTTCGTTTAATTGTTTAAGTCAAACTAGAGTGCTGTAACAGCTACTAAGCCAGTTGAAGAGACCATCTGTAGTAAAGCTTTTAATTTTCTGGTACAAATATGTACGGAATCAGAAGGGAAATTGAATGGGAGGAGTAGGGAAACACTTTACCTTCCGAACGCGAATTCAAAGTCGGAGTCGCAATCGAACTGTTTGCTCGACAGGTTCAGAATGACGACGTTAAGAAGGCTGATTCTGTTGCTTTAGAATAAGATCTAGTGAATTACTCAGATAATATCCTATTTGTTAAATCAATTTCTTTGCAAATCAACCTGTAAACAGACGGGGCATGTCCGCTTGTCCTGAGTTGAATTCACACTGAATGTGTCGGGTGAATTCCAGGAATGCAGGCCGTGTACGTGACCACATTTCAAATACACATAAGGTACACTGCCGGAAGAGGACTGCTGCTGAAAAAGGGAAATGCAAAGATGTTATAGTGCATGAATTACAACATGTATACAACCAGAGTTCTGATGACTCACTGAACAAAAACTACATAAATCGATCGGCCTCTCTTTATCTAATAGCAACAAGAACGCTCTTACAGCACCGGTCAGTCTCGCTTGCTTGGAGATTAGATCGAGAAATGAGGAGGCGATTATTGCTACACAAAGCAGGATTTACTCGTTAAAGGTTTTTTACTTCCTACTTTAGCGACGTCGAGTATACTTCAGGATATTACTCTTTATTTGTTTCGGAACTGATTTAGTACGCGTGTTAGCAACGACCGGAAATACGGCTGCGGTCGCAGGCTATACGCGCGTATAAATACACGAAAATTCAAGGGGCCTCGATTCCAGAGAAACCACAACACTGTCAAAGATCAAAAAAGTGATTTACATGGCACGTCATTTCAATCATAACCGAAAATAAACCGCATGCTCAGCACAAGAGCCATTTGCATACCATGAAAGTTTACAACACCCGACCATCGCAGTTTTGCTAATTGAGATTCTTATTTTTTTTCGACCACTCAGTAGTGTTCACTTGTTCCAAAGTAATCAACGCTTTCAAGCGACAGAATTCGTGGACCGACACGTTTCGCAAAAGCTCCGAATTTAGGGCCTATCTACATGAAGGAGGGGGACCCCAGATAGGTGAGGTAACCCGTTTAGGTGGGGTAAAAAAATAACCCTCCTTTACATGCAATCTTACAACCCCGCCATCCCGGGGTACACTTTCTGAATGGTCGCTAAGCACGTAAACAAGAAAAATGCTGGCAAACCTCGTGTTTTGGCGATTAATGCTCTTCTACACTCACGTGCTGCTCTTGCTGCAACCCTCAGTGCTGTGGCTTTCTATTGCTACCTTTAATAATGATGCAAAGCCACCGCCGAAATGAATTTTGCGCGAATTTGATGTATTCCGAATCCCGACCCCGGCTAGGCGGGTTACCCCACCTTGAAACGTTTACATGGCAAAATTTGACCCCGGCTGAGAGGGTTACCCGGTCTGGCAGACCGGGCTACCCGCCTAGGCGGGTCACCCCACCTATCAAGTAAACGTGATCCAAGTAAAATGTAAGATTATATGGACAGGCGGGTTGCCCCACCTAAGCGGGTTACCTCACCTACCTGGGGTCCCCTAACTCCATGTAAACAGGCCCTTAATCTTTCCTAAGCTTTCTTCGCAAAACATGTGTGGCTTCTGTTACATAACCATTCTTATTCCCAGTTTCCACGGTCTCCGCTAGGAACGCCTGGCACAATGACCCCCTTTTTGTGTCATAAATACGAAGAAAAACGGGTTGCAGATTATGAGTCTCGCTGCTTTTATTTCTCCTGGGAATTACAGTCGTCCCAAGAGAAATTGAGAACAATGCTTATGCAAAATTTTGGGGGGCAAACAAGGTGCATTATGGGAGACTATGCGCAAGTGGCGAATTTTTTAAGAAAACAATTCTGTTTTAAAGAGATATTCAGTTTAATCGTAACATTGGACGCAAAATTTAACTAATCGCAAGGGAGGACGAGTAGACTTTGGTGTCATAAAAAATATCAATAATAAAAATACTCAGTAACCTGATTGCCAGTGTTACCTCAGAAAATTGGCCTGGAAATCTCAGCGTCGTCAGTCCAACAGGGCACTGGGGCCGAGAAGCATTAAGTCGTTCTCTCATTTTATCTATGGTTTCTAGGGTCTGAAAATTGAAAAACAGTAAAATTGGACGGGTTTTTTTGCAGGTACCCTAAAATTCCGAAAATAAGCCCCGGGGCTTATATATTTCAGAGACCCTTTTTGAGGGGCTTATGTTTGGAGGGGCTTATCTATGGATCCGAGGGAAATTTGCGTTTCAAAATCGATTGGGCTAGCCTTATGGTTGGAAGGAAATTTACCGTTTTTGCTTTGTTTTACTTTGTATTTGGGGGCAATTTCCAAGTACAAGCCCAGGGGGGGCTTATATTCGGAGGGGCGATTAAACGGAGCATTTTTTGCGTTACGAGTTTGGGAGGCGTATATTTGGAGGGGCTTATACATGGAGGGGCTTCTTTTCGGAATTTTACGGTATTTCGAGAAAGGTTATCGGAAAAAATGTGCACACGACAATCCCGAAAGGTAATGTGGGATATGATCAATACGCTGTTCCTGACACTGTAGCTGTCGAATCTTCTGTTGTCACTTTCTGTTAGCATTCGCAAAAATAAGTCTATGGCCTCTCGTGCCATTCTTTCAAATTTCTTTGAAGAACTGTGAACTCAAAACCACTCACAATACCTTTCGGGATGGTCGCGTTTTCCTTTTTCCGACAACCTTTCTCAAAATAGCTGTATACATATTGCTCTCAAGTTATGGTAAGGCTTCTTCCTTGACTTTGCTTGTGTTTTTTTTTACTTACATGACTGTAATTATTATAGGCTGTCAAGTTCAAAGAACATTTCTATCGCACAAATCCAAACAATAGGTAAAAGAAACAATTCTAAGAATATAACTAATATTCTAAGGTCCACCATGACATAAAATTATCAACTAACATGACTGTATTGTTAAATTAAGACTACATATGATAACCTTATTTACTGTAATGACTTTCTTTGTTTAGTATTAATGGTGATTTAATCAGTAACCTTGAAAGTATAAAAAACTTAGACATACTGCCATTTCCTTCAGACCATCAGTTGATCGCCACAGCAAAACCGCGCCACAAAGATCAATTAACGATCCATCAAGTAAAACATTGGACTCATCTTCAACCTGAGAAAACGACGAGTACGGTAAAATCAAAACAGTCAAACTGTTTCTCTCACTCCTTTCGACACACAGCACGCCCATTAAATTCTTTCACTCCTCAACCAGGTTATAAGGTGAGAGTGCCGACTTTATAGAAGACAATTATTGTATTGTTGCCCACCTATAGAATAGCTCCGCTAATTGTGGGTAACATACACCTAGCCTGCCAGCAAGCTCTCCTATTTGGGCGAGTGAAACGAGTCTCGCGAGGCACGCTTCCCTTGCCCAAATAGGAGAGCTTGCAATAAACTGTTGTTGTTGTTGTAAGATACCATTCAAATGACACCTCTTTGGTAGAACTTAAGTATAGTGGTCTTTATTTCTTTGGATTTTACAACAAGAAATTTCATTTTTCTGGTTCGCCATATCAGGAGTAAATTATCAGAATTCAAAGACCCTGCTGCTGCTGCCACCGTCACCAGTAACTACATGTAGTTAGTATATAACTTCTAAGCCTCTTCACAGAAGTGATTTTCCTTGCTTCTTTTCGGTGACATGAGTTAATCATCGAAATTGCTTTTTACCAAAGGAAGTTAATGGGAATTACCATTGGAATAAGGTGAAAGATTTATTCTTGGTTAACTTACGGTTTTTCCTTTTTCGGTTGTTGACCTTGTCTTGCGGAGTCCATACACATTTCCACACACAGATATTTCCCGCCATATTGTCGGTTGACATGTGTCACCTCCCTTGGGATTCATTAGAAGAACTCCATTGGTTGTAAGCCCATCCATCATATTCTCTTCATTTTGCCATTTTGGAGCTTTTTCCTATTAGAGTTATACCCAAGATTAGTGAGTTACTGGTGAAGGATAGGTACAATTATTAGAGTGGAACTGAATGTGTAGGCAGCCAGGGATAGCAGAGCAAGTGTAATATTCCTGTGTACGTGAAAATTACCATCCGCGAGGAAGGCGACATAAAAGGAGGGAAGAGAGAAGAGTCAAATGTCTTTGCCTGGGTACAAGAGGTTTTTTCTCACATGCGGTGGGATGTTTCGGAGTTCGCCCCAGGTACAAGAGGCGAAGCAACGAAACAAAGCTTTTCACACAGATCACTATGAAAACTTGACCAAAACCGGAAATCACCCATGAAAATCCTCTTGCACCCAGGGGGGTGCCCAAGCTGGGAACAGTCTTTAGTCCCTTGTTTTCTCTTTTTTCTCCTCTATGTATCATCTTCCTCGTGGGTGGTGATTTTCTCATGTGCATGCAAAATTAATGCACTCTGCAGTCCCTAAGGAAAATGACAGACTACTTGTAGTCTTCTGAATGCAGTCAATTAATAATTAATTGACCGCATTCAGAAGACTACAAGTAGTCCATCATTTATATTTTATTTTCACAGAGATGGTGGAGCAAGAGAAATATGCAAGTTTGCAGAAATTTTCCATCCAACAAGTGATCATTAGGTACAATCCAGGTGTAGTTATGGGAGTCTATTTTCTGCATGCTTATGTGCTATCCTAGTCTTGCCTCAAGTCATATAACATGAGTGACTGTGAACCCTATGGACATGGTCTTGAATGAAGTCTGACTAGTGTTGTCTTTGTTCTGTCTCTCAAAAACAACAGTACTTCCTTCATACCTCTAGCATTGTTCAGCCAACCAGACTATTTACAGATTGGAGAATAAGGGGACAGTCATACAGGAAAGAATACAAAATACAACTGCAGAAAAATGACATCTGATAAAAAGTAGCAAACTGATTAAAACTGGTCACTGATGACTGATTAAAGACAAAATACTCCGAAATGCACATGTTCCACTACAGTGGCAAAATCTCACTATGATAAGCTAATGGCCTTTCTTTCAGTGCTGTTACATGTGACAAGATAATTGCTGGTTGGACTACCCTGCGAGCAGAAGTTTCCCTCTTGCATGGCCTTTAGTGTTTATGAAGTCATTTGCATCGCTTGCCTGTTGGGTAGTTGGTTTGTTTTGTATGGCGTACAAAACAAACCAACTACGCAACAGACAAGCAATGCAAATGACTTCACAAATGCTAGAGGACATGCAAGTGAGACACCTCTGCTTGCAGGGTATGGTTGGACTAATTCTGTAATATAAGTATAAGCAAATTGCTCGTTCCATGCCCGGGAGGGGCACTTTACGAATGTTTGGGAGGGAATGTGCTGCTGAGACCCTGGAACCCTTAGCCAATACCAGAGCTAGTTCAGCTGAATTTTGCCACCCTACACTAGACTAGACTCCCCAAATCCCCCTATCCTAGAGTAGCTTTTAGGCTGAGTTGGGTAAATCTAAACTTGTCGATTTGATTTTTTTAATATTTTTGAATGGCAATTGTTGGTTTCCCTACTCTAGACTAAAATCTTCAACCAATTGATTGATCAGTTCCTGGAAAATGATACCCTATTCTAGACCCAAACTCTTTGATTTATATACCCTATCCCAGAGTAACCTGCTTGAAAACCATACCCTTCACAGCAGCACATGCCTATATAGCCCATACACGGCAGTACCCCAATCCCCTGGGGTTAAATACATACCCCTAAGAAGATATTACTAGATTTGTCAAACCCAGCTGCATACACCCTGGCTGTGTGAGGTGCTTCTCTGTCAACCACGATGCGGCAGGAATATCTAGAGATTGTACTCTTTTGTGTTTCCTGGTTGACTTCTGAACGCTTGTTTCCGGGAACAGTGTCCATTACGACAAAGTCGATTTTAGAATCTGCTGAACGACCAATCTGTTTGGAAAAAGAAAACGACCCGTTCAGCTTTCAAAAGGTGCAACAAAGGTGATAGCCTGGGGTTGGTGAAGAAACCCGCTGGGCTGGCATGTTCTAATATTGTGAGTTAGGCAGGCAAAATTTGCCGCGATGAAGTTAATGAAGTAAAAAAGACTGGGATTGGTGGGCCTACATGATTATTGTGGGCTAGTTAACTTCACTAACAGTCAGAAGGGCAAGCCAGTCTTAAACTTTCATCTCAACCTGATCGAGGGCTACTTGCATTAACAGGTTGTAAGACTCTTTTTCCAAAAAAATATAAAAGCTGCTCCCTTCTTTACTTCTCCTTTCCTTACTACATATCGCAAAGATGGTACAGCAGAGACGAACTATGCGGGCTCAAGTCCCAGAGACAATGCCATAATTGGGTTGAGTTTGTTGTAGGAACTCATTCTTGCCCTGAGAGGGTTTTCTCTAAACTCTCCGTTTTTCTCCTCTCCTAAAAATTTCCAAATCCCAATTTGAGTGGATGTGCTAGTCAAATTCTCCTTATCTCCTAATCAGTTTTATTGGTAATGTTCTGGAGAACAGTATGGAAAACATAAATCATTGGGGTTTAAAGAGTTAAAGAACAACAACAAAACACTGCTCAGTTGGACACCACAACTTGTGAAATATGCAGGATGTGTGCAGTGTAGAAATAAAGTACTAAACTAGAGTAGCTTTTTTTCTAGTACTGGCAGATGAGTGGGGTGCAGGGCTGTCACCAAGATTTCAAGTTGCCGGGTATATGCAATTAGCAGAAAGGGAAATGAATAGCGAGGAAGTTCTTTTGAGTCTATTTTCCTTCTGCTTCCTATGAAAGTAGCTGGGGGTTCTGACCCTTAGTGACAGCCCTGGGTGTGGCCATAAGACCACTAAAAAAGATTTAAAAAGAATGAAGCTAGAGTGTTGACAAAATCAAATTCATAAATTATTCATACCTGAAACATGTCAGTTGCGGGGTCTCTTCTGTACTCAACTACGACAGCATTTCCACGAGATAAAGTGTACGACACGCTATGGGCTTGTGATTTAACAATCTGTTTGATCAACCATTTATTAGTATTATAGAACGTAACTCTATGATTCTAATAATTCTATTCCTAAGAAAACGAATACAAAAGAAAATGTTGCAGTACATGCATGAGAAATACTGTTTCCTGTCATTTTTGGAAATTCAGGGTGCAAAGAGAATCATTTTTTCAGCTTGCCATTTGGGCAAGCTGATGCTAGCATTTACTAGCCCAAACATGATTTCTACTGGCCCCAAAAGATTTTTGATGAGCAGAATTGATTTCACAGTTCTTCTTCAATTTGAATTCCACAAAAAACATCACTTGCCTATCAGGCAAGTTAAGAACAATTCACTAGCCCAAAAGCAAAATCCACTAGCCCCAGGCTATCAGACACTACTTTCTTTGCACTCTGAAATTATACAAAGATGACCTTGACATTTTGTAATGACTCACATACCTACTAAATTATGTGGCTTATATCAAAATTTGATGTCTAGACAGTCTATGCGGTGAAATATTGATCTGGTAATATCAAGTGTGAATGGAGTCCATTCATGAGCCATTCAATAGAGCATGGAAAATTGTTAACTTCATGTACTGAATCCACACACACAAGACTAGACACTTTTTTCAGTGAGAAAGTTAGAATTAAAGGGAGTCCATCTGAATAAAAGACCTTAAAGCTTGCTGGTCTGTAAATAAACATTTATACGTACATGTGTGGATATTTTTGGCAAGGATTGTTGACATTTTGATCTCACTGCACTTTTTCTACTTCAGTTAACACATAATTTACAGTTTGGTTCACTATTCACAGGGCTGTCAATAAGGGTCGGTAGCCGGCCAAAACCACCGGCTAGTTAGCCATCCTTAGCCGGCTACTTTCATCTCCTTCTACCATAACTTCTGACAAAAAATAAGCACCATCATATAAAATTGTAGAGCATCCGTGTTCTAGTTTTGAATCACACTGAACGCATATTTAAACAGGTTCAGATCTGTGAAACGTTCGAACTGTGCGGTGTCGTGGAATACCTGCGACATTTCCATGGCATTGTGCCCAGTGTTGCGAGTATTCTGACAAAACAACATAGCATCCGAGATGGAAAATACCTCTTGAAAACCTTGGAAATGCCATGTCCGAGACTCTTAATTTCAAAATGTGCCTAGACGCCTCAGCCCTCAAGAACTTGTGCCTTTGGTGCGAGTTCCAAAGCCACCTACTATTCATTATCAGCCTGCTACTTGAAAACTTTTTGACAGCCCTGATTCAGAAAAATTAACATACTATCGTTGTAGAGGAAAAGTGGCACAAATAGCGCCTTGTAAGTAAGTTACATTGCTCTGTCCAATATACAATGTGCAAAAATTTGACATAACATTTCATGAAGTTTATATGCTTCCAGCAATTCAATATTATTCAGTGTTACAATAAATAATAGTTATTTCAGCCACTGTATAAATGTATAATATTGAAGGAACAAACAATATTTCTAATTAACAATAATATTTGCAATTGAATTGGACAAGCTTGTAACAATATATGTATAAGCATAACATATTAAATAATCAGTACTAAATATCAATTTTATTCATTACTAACCAATAACGTTTCAAACAGATTATTATTGAACTGTGCACCACGGTCTCAAAATTAGCAAAACAGACAGATTAGAAATTAAGTCTAATCATGTGTTAACTTTGTTTTTATTGACCATATCATTTAGTTTAAACTTGATGTTTTCAAGGCTGTTACATCGAAGCTGAGTCACCAAACAATAATAACAGCCAAATAGAAATAAGCAACCCATGGCATCCCTCAGGGTATAAAAATAATTATTGACAGAACTGTTTTTCAAAGCCAAGGTGAAGTCTTTTAAGTTCTAAGTGGATTATCTTGCAATTGAATATTATGACCAGTATAGAATGAAGTGAGATTTTTACTCTTTCTGCCAGACTGTTGATATGCTAGTCAAGTGCAACAATAATAATTATTATATTACATTTTAATGAGGCTGAGCAATATGTTGTTCACCAAAGATCAATGTCTCCACCACTTTTTTCTGTTTTTTATTTTTATTTCTTTTTTTATCCAAATCAAATTGTTCAGATTAATGTCCTCACATGTACATTTCCTTTAAGAATTAGATGAGAGAATTTGATAAAAGGTCAAAGCATTTTTCCCTTAGCTGCTCATTTTTTAATTCTCGCAACCATTTGTCTTGATAATGCATTGACAATATTAGGAGAAAATTGAGGTTGGTCACTCAAGAGTAACCAACATCTATTTTCTCTTCAAAATATTTATCAGTTATCAGAATCACTAGAACGATCTTCTATCAAATTCTCTCAACTAATTCTTTAAGGAAATGTATGGAGATCAGTCTGCGGAATTTGTATGTGGATATTGGGGCTTAAAGGGTTAATACACTGGAGAACTACATTGAGCAACAGGTGCAACAAGGAAACAAAAAACTGGAGTAGGGCTCATTTCAAATTGGCAAAGATTTTATATAACTGAAATATCACTGCTTAAGTGCACTTCAATCTGTTTTTATTTAATCATCTATTCAGACTCAACACTTGGTTATTGACAAAGGTTTTGAATAATTATGTTCTGAACGTCCGTCTTTTAATCAATAGTTTTCACTATTCCCAGTGCTCGCTCGCGTGACATTAGTAGTGAGAGATCTATTTCAGGCATGTGTGTGCGTTTCTCCCTGCAGATTGGCTTTCTTTATATAAATAAACACGTGTGTAAGCAAATTTGTCCAGTTGGGCTGCAAGGGCAGAAGGATTGGATCCATGTGCCGTCAAAGCCCCTTCTGGGGGTGAGGGGGGGGGGGTCTACACCCGTTTTGCTTTGGGGTTCGTTTGTTTAATCCTTCCTCCCCCCTGTTTTTTCTCTTATCTTGTTCTAGTCCTATCGCCTTCTCGCCTGCAGACTCACATGTCCTGTAACTCATCTCTTGAGTCCCAGGCCTTTGTTAAGCGAGCGTCCACTGAGAATAGATTACTGTGGTTGAGAAAACCAATCAAGAAGTCACACGGCTCGAAATTAAAAAAATCCTTAGGTCAACTTTTGGCGACCAACTGGAGAAATATAGTCGCAAGATGCAAATTTTTAGTCGCCAGTTTGCATAACGTAAATGATGCAGCCTGATAGTATGGCGCGATCCATCAGATTTGCAAATATCATGGATAGAAGTCGGTATAAATTTGGAGGTAAACTGGCTTTGTTTATGCGATTTGGCACATTTTTTATGATGAAAGCAAAGCAAGATAAGATGAAATGTTCGTTTTGACTTTACTCTTTCAATTTAAATCTAAATCATAGAGAAATCTAGTCGCCACTTTGGCAACTAAACCAGAATTTTTAGTCGCCAAGGGGAAAATGTTAGTCGCATTGGCGACCGTATCAGTCGCAATTTCGAGCCCTGGGTCATTATTTTCTGATCACAAGTTCAAGATAATATGGAATTTTATGATGGTACGTAAGGCTCGTATAACATTCACAAGGTCTTTTTTTTCATGTGATGCAATATTATTATCTCATGTTATATTACCGTTGGTGAAGAGGACTAGTGCCATCCCACTCAACCTGGCACGTCACAAAACTTCTGGTCACTTCATTCTATAGGTTTGACCCTGGCTAAAAATCACTTGCAAGAAGAGCCACTCAGCCCATAAAAAGCCTTCACTTATAATTTGCATTTTGTGAAATTTGCACATGCCACACATGTGATTAAATGTATAATCTGCACACACCTGCATTCCCGTATTGGACGAAGCCAGGTGTAGTTTGTAGGGTTGCACTCCTGAGGGAGATCCTTTCTGTCTCAAAATATACGAGCTTCGGTGACGGCGCTCGAGTTCTCCATCATCAAGAGAACCATTGTAACTGGCCAAGAATTACACATTCACACATTAACACAAACACTAATACACCCTCTGTAACTTCACAGGACAACTAGGGCCAAAGTACTCAGTGTGTTCCACTTATTAATAATAGGCCATTTGCATGATGGCATCATTTTACTAGTACCACCAGAATTCTTCAGGGTTTTGCATTCTTCCAGTGTAAATTAAGCCTTTTGTTATTTAAACCTTGCTGGGATTACTTAATTTAAATATTAAAGCAAAAACGAAATGACTTCTGGTCTTAGTAGTAAAAAGACGTCATCAATGATGCAAACTGTCTATTCTTGATGAATGACTCCCATTAATTATTGGGAATGAATTGCCTTGTGAGAATCAAAATTTTGGACATTCCAGTGACAGCATTATTCCAAATAGGGAAAATTGATTGGTCTACTATTGACATCAGGCAAATAATTATACACATGCACTATCGGTGGCTCCAAGCGTCTGACCTGAGTTGTGCTCACCCAACTTATATCCATTTCAGGTATATTTAGAGGTAAGTAGAGGCTCTTCAAAGAAGGATTCTTACAAGCAAGTGGGCTGTTTATGAAAATTCTCCACAAAGTCTAGCTGATTGAAACAATTAGCTTTTAACGTTTTTTTTTTATTTCATTCTGTTAACTTTTGGCTTACGTGAGTAATAATAATCAAGATTTGTTGATTTGAAAGGGGTACTGTTGAAAGATTTCAATCATCAATTAAAAAAATGGAATTTCAGTTCCAATAATGCAGTCTGTCCCCAGTTAATGAAAGTCATTCCTATTTATTTATTTATTTAATGTAAATAATGAGCAGAATGCACTGAGCATCTTGATTATAAACCTCTTTATTTTTATACTGACACCACCATAAAACACAGATACTTTTTTTTTAATAAGGGCAGTAACTTCATGCGAAATCCAACTCCATAACCAAACTCCTTCAAAATATGAACAGCAGGCAGCACTTGTATCCATCAGTTGGGATTAATGTACATGTATCATCACTCTGCCGTTTCAGTGGGATACTCTGAACAGTGATAATATTGCAAGCATTCCAGTCTGGACATCATGGGGCTTAGATATCTTACTTACATGCAAACTCTGTAGACTTACCCCAGAACTACAAGTTCACCATAAACTATGTCTTGCTCATCATTTTCACTGGATGTCATACCTACATCATCAGATAATGCTTTGAGTCGTTTCAGCTTTGGTTGTCCATTATTCCCATCCTGAAATTATTTGAAAATTAAAAAAAAAAGAATTCAGGCGTGCTTAGCATTTGTGGTATCTGATATGGTTTACTGGTTCAATATTAATCCTTTAGTGTCTCTTTTAACTTTCTTTGTTTTGGGGTATGGTAAGATGTGATAATAAGTTTAAAACAGAGGCTGAAAATATAATTTGACAACCCTCCACATTAAAGTTTTTGCCCTGTCGCCATTTGGCAACCAACTCTTTTGGTTTAGGGAGACTTTTTTACAAGTCAAGTCGTCAGAGTCTCCAAAATTTTAGAAGCCATGGTGACGAAAATGGTCACAACTTGGAGGGTTGCATTGTTTAAACCAAGAATAATACGCTCGGTAATAAACGAGAAAAATTTTATACTAATGAGACAAACAAAACGTCTTGAGTCCCTAGAGCCTGGTTCTCTGAATTCTCAAAAATTCATGTTTGTGTGCTGGATCTGAAAGGGAATTTCCCTGGAAGGTCAAGAAAGTTTCCCAAATGAGGGACCATAGCAACTAAAATCAAAGAAACCAACAGCAATCAAAAGTTGCATATTTCACCTGTGAACATTTTACTGATGTCAGTAAAATGACCCATCAACACTAGTTATCTTGAGTGAGACTATAATTTGGGCCCTGAATTCTGATTTCTAATATGCAGTCTGTTCCCTTAATGAAAGTCATTTATACACAAATACTAAGTGGATTATAAACAATAATAACAATATTATGGTTTATTTGCGATAACCCCTCTAAACATGTTCACTTTTAGCTTTCAGTGTGTTCTGTAATTGAAAACTAGTGGTAATTATAGATTAATGGGATACATGTGCATGATGCAAATTCAACATGCCTGAGTTAACGAAAATAACAATTATGCAGTACTGTCTTTCACCCGAATCAATCCACCAGTCGCAAATGTATTTTTGGGAAAGCAAATAATTCACCAGCCAATACTGATTTTGTTACTCATTAAAATTTTACTTAGTTTAAGCTTCCACTAATCTGTTAAGGGCTGAATGGTGAAACAAGTTAAAAATAGGGTTTTTTGTTAAAAAGACAATGAAGAAAGAAAGTCAGTCATCCACACAATGATGCCCAATACATCAAACAAGTCTCCAATAACACTTTCAAGAAAGAGAAAATGTACAATGAGCTCATTTTGTGTGGGTGCGATGTGACCATTCAAATGAAAGCTCTTTGGCACTGCTCTTACATGGCAATATATACTTTCTGCATGGTACTTTACGATAATAACTTAAATTGAAATTTGGCTTTGGCCACCACTAGAGGTGGTTAATCAAGAGTCCTCTTAGCTTCTTTCAACAGTTATATTTCCTATCTAGATCAATTACCATTTTCTAATCTTTGAGAAGCTATATCAAAGATGGGGGTAACCTTATTAGCTAACAATGAGCTTTGTTTGCTTGTCTTCACCTGATCTTCTAAACTTAAACATTATCAGATTACCTCTAAAGAGGTAGCTTGTTTAAACAAATTCATTCCAGAAATTTTTCAAAGACAAAATAAATAATGGCAATCTAAGTCTTAAAACCATAGAGGCCTGAAATTGTGAATGGAAGTTCAATCTTTTCAAAATAGAGTCCAGCCACAGTTTTCTCATTTTCAAATTGTTTATCAGAGGTTAATTGATTGGTTTTAAAGATTTCATACCAGGCTAGATAAGAATTTAACACATGGTTTCCTGCCACCAATCATAATAAAATGCAAAAAATGTTACAACACCCAAGCCAAACAGGAAATATGTAATTAGACATTGTTGAAAAAAGTTCACTCATACACAACATAACAGAGACATCTCTTACAGTTTGAGATTAGGTGTGACAAGGATTGTTCCTTTTTCTGAGAAGCCTGCAGACTTTTATTTATTTTATCTGATCTATGATTTTTTTCCAAGACCGACATTGAGCATTATTAGTTATTCAATTGCCACCCACTATGAATTAGCTTTACACAGCTGCTTAATGAAGAGGGATTAAGGACACCCGATTAAAGAAAAAAATTAAATAACAATAACATTGCAACATGCTTGTGACTACAATTTTTTTGTTTACATGGTTCATTTGCAAAGCTTATTAATGAATAAAATTTTATTACATGTTCATAACATATATATAGATGTCTTTTAGATGCTTTGTGTCTTTGCATATTCATGCATCTTCAAAATTAATGGTAAAAAATTGTATCTTTGTTCACGGCAGTTTTGGTTACCGTTTTACCAATATATAATGCACACCCATGTATAATACACACCGTAATAAAATTTTGACTACATTAAATTTTGGAAAGAAAAACTAAAGAGAAAAGAAAGGAAAATTGCTATACTAAAAACATTTTCCATTCATCCGCTTCTTTAATGCACACCCACGTATAATACACACCGTAATAAAAAAATTTTGACAACATTTAATTTTGGAAAGAAAAACTTAAAGAGAAAAGAAAGGAAAATTGCTGTACTAAAAACATTTTCCATTCATCTGCTTCTTTATAATCTTAGTAATTACAAATTTCTGCAAAGCTTCAAAGTAATTAAACACTGGATGTGCAACTGAACATGCTAGAAATAATTTCATTACACGTCAATCTTAACTTCACTTTTGTTATGTGTTAGACACAGTACGTTGGGTCCATTATTAGAAAAACAAATCACTCCCGCAAGAAAATAATGTAAGACCGCAATAAAAATTTACAACAAAGAGCACGAAACCCACAGACTTAGTTAAAGGCAATTTTATAAATACCACTCAAGTTTTTCAAAGGAACTCATCAATGTCCTTGCAACAAAGCTAAAACTTTCCATAAATTGTACTTTTACGAAGTGGAACAAATACAGCATAGAGACATACAGACAAGCGACATGGGCTTAAAAAGCAATGTAAGAGGGATGAAATGGTGACAGATGACATGAAAATGGTTTGGCACTGCGACAGCGACAACTACAGTCTTAAGAAAGACAATAGTTAAATTCCAACAGTGACTATGGCCGTTTTCTTAATACGTGAAATGACCGGTGTTGAAATTCAGACTAGTTACATATGTTACCTCCTCAGAGGACCTCAGCATAAACCACTTCTCACTTAACAGTTTGTTAAAACTAAAAACAACATTTTCATAAAAAACAGACACCACTTTTCAAGGACTGAAAACGAAAGGATTATAGCGACCCAATTGTTTAATTAAGCATTGCAAAGAGGTTTTACATTTGAAAAGATTAATCGCTTAAGTGGACTATTATTTGGTCAAAAAATTAAATCAAACTGCCATTAGTTAGTTCACTAAAAAGACAATTTCACCACCATGGTTTCATTTTTTAAAAAATGCACTTTTTATTTCTCAAAAATACAATGTACATTGAACCACATTATGAAATACGTTATAACAGAGATCAGTATTCAAAGCCTTAAAATGAAATATAGTACCACAATAATACTCAGCTGAATTATAGAGATACACACACTTATTGGTTGAGGATTGCATCATATGTCGCGACAATCACCCAGCGTGGGGTATACTGTCTTAAAGAATAATATTCACCTCAGGCTCAGTTAATATTGTCGAACAATCACGCACCTCGACTCCATCTAAGGGGTTATTCAACAACATTAACTTCTAAATATTGCCATGGTTGTTTTCAAGGGATATTTGTTTCTTTTCCTGTATTTCAGATATATCTTCCGTTATTAAAAGAATCTATTAATTCTTATTTGTAATCCACAATGTTTACATAAGAATTAAGGCTCAAAAACGCGGTTTAATAGAAAATCAGAAAATAACATCTGGCGAAAAAATAAAAAAAAAAACCTCTAAACTTTTACTCTGGAAAGTGGGTACGTTAATTTAGCACATCTACAATTTGAAAAATACTCAACCACAGAGTTTTTAAGACCAAATACTCACACGTACAGAAAGCATCAACGAAAAGGGTAAACAGATATGCAATAAACAAGCAGTAATACTTAACACAAAAATTGAGCAGCTTGATTCCGCATTTTTTGAGTAAATGGCGTAAACATCCATTTACATCAGCGAGGGTCTCTATTCAGAAACAAGCAGGCAATCGTAAACAAAGTTCGCTGGGTTACATTGAATATGTTTACAGTAACGAAGGAAAGGCAAATCATGTCTAACGAACAAAATCAGCGAGGGCAAATATTCAACAGCCACCTAAGAAGCGGATTAATTCATCACATGTAAATATAGAAAATAATATGCATTAATATTAGCCAATTAGGAAGTTTTAAGGTGTGGCCGGCATTAAGAAACACATGGTGGCTAATAAACAACCAACAAGTCTAAATCGTGTACTACACATCAAGTTTCATATATCAAAATATCATACGAGGATCACAAAAAACCCATTGATTTAATCACCTATAAAAACTACAGTCTGTAGGGGATAATATTTAATAACGGCCTTGTGAACGCATTAATTCATCACGCTGTGAAAAATGTAAATATCCACCAATATTAGCCAATTAAAAGGCTGAAAGGTGTGGTTAGTATTAAGAAACACGAGGGGAGTGCGAATGATGAAAACCAATATAAATAAGCTATTTTTCTTGGACTTTTTTTTGTCTAATGCAAAGGCAATATGTTACGAGTATCTGTTCTAGCATGCCTGTAAAAAGAGACTAAGAACAATTACAAGAATGTCTGTATGGCAGTTGATTGGCTGTTATGATTTTGGAAATGCAACATTTATAACCTCTCACAATTATTAAATTCATCCTGTATGCATGAAATCTGTAGTCTGTGGACATGCTTTGCTTAAGGCTAAATCTCACAAAATAAGCTTAAATGGTTAGTAAACTAAATGTAGAATTTTGTTAAAAGTATAACTTTATATAAGCTTACATCTTTGTTCAACTTTGTCATTATGACTGGACGCGATGCAATAAAAATGAAGAAAAATGCTAATTTCAACATTGCTGTTTAATTATGACTAATTGCAACGGCACCCAAGGGAAATTAAGATTCAGTAAACTTTAACTCATTTTTTCATTCCCTTTCTCGGAATTTAGCATACAATTTAACTTGTCAAAAATTTTTGCCTACGCTTTAACTTAAATGTTTTCGATGAAATTTTCTCTTGTGCTAGGCATACCACTATTCATGCAAGCCAGAGAGAATTGTTTCTGTGCGATGGCATTGTGGTAAGCTGCAAGCTTAATTTTAATCATGTGAAGCACGAAACGCGTTATAGCATTTTCGGCTGCCTGCCGGGCGACACAATACAAAACCTATTTCTTCTAGTACTTTCTTCCTTACAACAAGAAGAAAACCGACCGGATAATGGTAGAAAGACATAAAAATATCATCACACAACCGCAATCTAATAAGACATTTGAAAAATGGGGGAAAAACTTTGTACTCTATAAAGAAGGAATGATGAAGTAAGCTGAAAGCGAAATTTTGTAGTCGACGGCAGCGAAATACTAACGGTACGGATACATACGTAGGCTTTTCGGTACCTATATACGTACAACACAGATTCGCAAAGATGGCGTTAAGAACTTGGGTTCTTACCTCATCCTGATCATGATGAACTAAAGCTTCTGTCATCCCTGTAAAAGACCCATGAAAAGACGGGCACGAGTTGGCGAGGAGGGAATACTCGAGGGCCGGTCAGGTCTGGGCAGGCCCTGTGTGCTTTTCACATTGGCCCAACGGGGAGGTGATGACAACCAACCTTTACATGTGTTTTGAATAGTTAAATTATGGGAAAACCATAAAGTTATCTGAGCAAGTGTAGTGAAAATATTCCAGATAGCAATTGCATCGAGAATGCCAGAGTAAAAATTTTTCTTAAGCTTGAGGACTTTGGGTTTCATTTAGTCTCCTCACTCCACCCTACAAAGTAGTTTTCTCTCCTGCTGAAATCCTGTGCAAATTTCGTAGAAGGAAACAGGAAATGATCTCCGATCCGCACTGCGCATTATTATGACAGGTACAGGTGACGCGGAACACGCGCCATTATTGAAACCGCGATTTCAGAGATGAGGCAAATCAGGAAGATAATTATTCAAAGGGAACCCGGGTTTTCGGTGCTAAGTGAGTCCCATCTTCCCGAGGGAAAGATAGTTCTCGAGGTAAATTCCCCATGTTCCTTGTAATATTTACATTTGAGACGACTAGCTTGAATTAAAAACAGAACAGGACAAGCGCCTCTTACGGTTTTAAGGATAACCTGTTTCCATTATATTGTCACTCTATTTATAATCGTATAAGCCCTAGCTCCATCGGCACGTGTAGGAGAACAGGTACTTAAAACTTAACATAACTAGGGTGATGACTTCCAGGTTGGGTTGAAGAGTACTCCATATAAACCTGTGTACCCTGCTAGCAGAGTCGCTTTGATCCGCTAGAAAAGTCGGACATATCTTGGAAAGATTAAAGCGACCGTATAAGCAGGGTATAACCTTTGTGGAGGTTTTTTAAATATATTTTTTTCCTCTTTTCCACAAGGGACAACTGGAGAAAAAACGGGGGCCATGAAGGCAGGCAACACCCTCCTTCAAATAAGCTTCCCGGCTTCTTGCTGAAATTTTAAATAAACAGAGCTATTAAACTGGCTATTTGAGAATGGGAGATATATAAAGAGTTGGGTCTGAAAAATGAAGGCCTCTAGTGTCAGCACAGGACCACCAGCCTCTTTTCATAGGACCATTTATTTGAATCTGAGCACAGGCAGACCACCCTCTGTTCATGTGGCCATTGTTGGTGTTGAAATCTGTGTCAGTTTGCCCAGTATAATGAACTAAATTGGAACCTGATTCACTCAGTTTCCCAACCCTAATCACAAAACTTCAGAGTCTTTTGGCATTCTTGTGCCAATTGTGCTCGTAAAATGCTGCAAAGTTGTTTTGTTTTTATTTAAAAGCTTTATTTTCTTTAAAAATAGTTGTTCACGAATATGGGCGAGACCACAGGTAGCCCAAGCTCTCTATGAGAGCCCTTATTCTTTTTTCTATCATTGATTGAAATGTGTATTAAAATTTTTCCTTTTTAAGCTTAGCTTTAGGTTGATAAACACTTAAGAAATTCTCGTAACTTGAAGTTTTCTATGAAATCATTGATTTTTTCATTCTTGATATTTGCTCTAAACCTACATTTTGCTGAAAAATTGCTCAGAAAGGCAAAAGTTGCTTGAGTTTGCTATAACTGCAAAAAGTTGCTGACCACAATAGGGACAGGCCTAGTGTCACTGTCGGTTCAGTGTTCTACAAATTATACCCCTCAGCCTGCTACTGCTAGAAGTAAAATGTTACGATCGATGTTCATATTTCAATAGCAATAACGGCAACACAAACAGTGAGGAAGATTTCAATTTAAAAAATTAGCATCATTAGAAGGAATCCTTTAAATCACAAGAAGCATACACCTAGTTACAACAATGTTGTCAAAGAAAAATGAAAAAAGGAAAAAGCCAAATAGGAATTTTTATTACAGGTTCATTAAGCCACTTTCTCAGGGTGGATTCATTTGCAGCCATAGCATTTCCCCGCTGGAATTTTTTTCTCTTGTTTTTCAGCTTTAAAACAACAGCAAATTCCAGCAGGTAAATACGACCTCCATGTGTGGATAGCTGCAAATGAATTCATTAGGCTTAGTAGCCTAAATTAATTCCTATTTGAATTGGCTTTTTCCTTTTTTCATTTTTCTAAGACAATGTTATTGCAATTACGTGTATATCATATGGACTAATCATTTAAAACACTGTGTTTATTAATGTCATTGCTCTGCAATACAAGATGTCTGTATCCATATTATTTGATATTAATTTAAGGTTTACAGATCTTGCCATATAACTCTTCAGGAATCTGGTAGCTTTGTTGGTGTAAGGCAAATGAAAACTTGTAAATGATAAGACAAAAGTAAGACTGGCATTTGAGACAAAATGCAAAGCGAATGAGGTGATGGCCAGGGTACTCTCCAAAATACCTTAATGGGCATTTGTTGCTCTGAATACTTCAAGGGTCATAATGACTTTGGGACTACTGATCTAGAACAGGCAACACATTTCTAAAATTGAGTATACTGTAATATTTCTTCACATGAGTATTAGCAGGCCCAGCGGTGAGATTTATTTTGTAAGTGGTTAATTGAGATGATGATGATGATGATGATGATGAGACAGTGATGAAGACTTGTTTTACCAAAACGCCATCAAAAGTGGGAGCATTTAATGAAGCTGGTCAGCTTCAAAATTCTTCTAAAGCAAGGTCTAATTTGGAAGGCCCATGGTTTTGCTGAGCACTCTTTTCTGCACCTAATCCTGCACCCCCACAAACAAGGGGAGTCAGCATAATACAGAGTGAGATATGGGTACTTGATTAGCCTGTACCTAGCCTGCGAGAGAGCTCTCCATTTAAGGGCAGCCATAAGAAGTCCAAGAGAGCAGCACACAAAAGGAGATGCGAGTGGAAGGGGTGGGAAAAGAATGATCTCTCATAAATTTTAATTTCCATACCGGAAAACACAGGAAACCACAAAGCATGAAAACTGTCAACAAGAAATGTGTCAGCTGTTTGTCAGTGACTTAGTTGTGGAGAAACACAACAAATGTGGTGAGATTTAGTATCATAATGTTTTCCTGGCAACCCTTTCTCAGCCTTCTGATTTGCCGGTTTAAAAGTTCTGCGGGGTTGAGATCACACAGTCCTCCTCAGAAATCATTCACCGATCTCAGAAGAAGAGAGTGATAAGGAGCTATCATAATATTCCCGATTTCTGTAAGCATCGTGTTTCTAAATGAATGCAAGCATTGTGGCGGGTCATCAAGGAATGTCATCAATCACCTTTGGTTCAGCTAATGGTATTTGCGGCACTTCATGTATGGGTGAAGCAGAAATGAAAATTTGAGATCATTGCAAACTCTCCTTTCCTCCTCCCCTTGAGGCTTTACTGCTCACTCGCCCATTCTCTCATGATTTCCTTCGCTCTCCAGAAATGGAGAGCTTGCTAGCAGGCTACCCTTTACCCTCCAACAAAACAAAACCATCAGCTAAACAATGCTAAGCCAGCAACTATCCATCAATATTAGTATAATTCTGCTATATGACATCAACAAGCTCCACTTCAAAGATGAGTCTTGACTGTGGTGGAATGCTATTTCCTTGAGTTAAGGAAAATAAACTCACTCAGGCAAGAAGAAAACGCATGACACTGACACTATAAGTTTTGCCACTGATGTTACCTAGTAATCCTATCAAGAATTTTGTGTTTATTTTGCCCCAAGGGTGAAGGAAAGAGGGTGCTAAGTAACATGACAAAATTGACATATTACTTTACCCTGAGCAAAGAGGCAGACATAACATTTTGTGAGACCATTAATAGTTTCCCCGCGATACATCATACTGATGATGCATCACAACCCAGATATGGGTACTGCTTCTGATTGGTTGAAGCAAATTTCCCATGAGGCACAACCAGTCAGAAGCACTATCCAGATTGGGCGATTCCGCACCTATTTGAAAGATTGTTTTTGATTAGCTGGGAAAACAATAGGGATTGTCACATAACAATGCCCCTATCCCCGAAAACAATGGAAGTGAAGATTAAAGGGGACCAGTGAAATAAGGGGTTTAGAACGGTGCAGATCTGGCTAGTGATGCGTCGTCAGTATGGAATTTCTGCACACGTTTCTCTGACTTCATTTTGCAGGGAAACCAGTGGTTGCATTGCAAAATGTCAGCTGTATTCTCACGCAAACAGATTGTCTGGAATCAACCTTACATCATGTAAGAAATATTGGATGAGTGTGAGATTCCGTAAAGATCCCGACTAACTATTCACCACTTCTCTGGGTAATAATAAGTAATGATACTGTCTGATTTATTAAAAAGAAACAGGAGTGAAGCCAGGATTTTCCAAATGAGGGGCCACAGAGGCTACTCACCAGATTGTCATGTCGACCTCCATGGTTTATACCGATGTTCTCCCTTGTGTATCAGTGGGCTCAGTCGTATTATCGCGGCATGAATGCCCATATTAACTAAAGACAAGAGCCATTGTCGAAAATACTTTACAAAAAAACAAATTTTAAAAAAGTGGGCTTTTCAACAATGGCTTTCAATTTATGGCCAAGATATTGTCATGGCGTTTTCGCCACCTGAATATTGTAGGTTGTTTGCTCAAAAGAAGGCCTACCAAGGGGGGGGGGCGGCACGGGCACCCCAGGACCCCCCCCAGCTACTCCCCTGGAAAAGATTAGTTTTGTGATGAAAGGGGTTAAGTACCAAACCTGCTCAGTTTTGTAAGATTTCTTATTATAATACTGGAAACACTTGGCAATCAGTGTTTCAGTACATGCAGCTTTAATCAAAGGATACCCAGCATCAATGTTTCCTTTCTTACCATAGCCCCATTCTGGCTCAATGGTCAGCTCTGCCTTCTCACCTTTCGTCATTGTCATAAGTGCTTCATCCCACTAAAATTACAATAATTCAATCCACTATAAGGATTAAATATACATACACTGTCTACAGGTAGCCATTACCGCACTTGAGGGAAGATCACGAGGTTATCCCTACATTAAGATCTCTGCCATACATGGGCTATAATAATTATAGGTATGTGCCGCTGTGAAGGGTATGGTTTTCAAGCAGTTTACTCTGGGATAGGGTATATAAATGAGACAGTTTAGGTCTAGAATAGGGTATCATTTTCTAGGAAACTGATCAATTGGTTGAAGATTTTAGTCTAGACTAGGGAAACTGCGAATTGCCACTCCAAAATATAAAAAAGCGAGTGACCTCAGTAGTTTCTGGAAAAGAGCTGCTCTAGGATAGAGGGGATTTGGGGAGTTTAGTCTAGTATAGGGTAGCAAAATTCACTTGAACTAGCTCTGGTATAGGCTAACGGTTCCAGGGTCTCAGCGGCACATCCCCACCCAAAAATTCCTAAAGCACCCCCCCTGGATTGGAGCATACTTATGGGTAGCCCCACCGCACAAGCATTGGTGCTGTGTGTACTGAGCTTCCTGAGGCTTAATTATATGTTGAAATAAATTATTACTTGTTTTATATTCCTTTGTCTTGCATGATTTTCAGGATTAACTTTTATTAATATTAATCATTGTGTATTCAAACACGTCACATGATGTTCATTATACAGCAACTTGGCAGTAAGATGTATCTTTATTTTTCTGATATTTCCACCCTTTTTCTGAGATGAAGCTGAGCAGATTTCCCAGCATGTCAGCCAGCAGGACAGGTTCTTCCAAAAGAAGGCAGCACATCATGCATGTGACAACATAATTGAAGAATAAAAAGTTTCCTCCACCACCTCTTCTCATTCAAGTGTTATACACCGGACACAAGAAATATTGCTAAAAGTTGAATCTTACAGGATGAGCAATACTTTTCAACTCACCCCTCTGATAACGAGTCCTTTTCCCACTGGAAAAATGAATGGTTTTCCTTCATCTTTGCTTTTCTTTTTTCCAACTGCAGCTGAATAACAACAACGGGAAAAGACAAGACAATTAAACCAAAGATGAAACATTTGAACTTTATAAATAGTGGTGAAAAAAATTTAAAATAATAACAATATTTCCCCCAAGAGTATTCAATGATTAAACCTCCTGTTAATGAAATGAAACCCACCCGCATAGCCTGTGAGCTGCTGGCTACACCCACAGGCCACTGGACCTGATTAATCCATTTGTCCCTGAACCACCTGTAACCGCCCGTGCAGATCCATGTCCCCTGTACTACGTACTTGTGATGTCATCAGTTTTTAAAGGTCAAGGACAGCTTTATCAGCTAATTTTAGCGGGGTGAAGAGATCTTTCAAACCATACCAGATTGAGCAGCATTCAGTCAAGGAGAACCAACAAAAAGGGGAAAAAAACCATGTAACGTTGACCTGCAAATTCCCATGAAAATCCTGTCATCCACTACCCACCTTATATTTTATACTTTCCTTTCATCTAATCCTAACATCCTAAAAGCTTTAGCAAAAACTGCTCCCACCAAAATGAAGATAATTACTAAATGCCCAGCAAATGAGTAAAAAGGAGGCAAGAAAAGCAAAAGGAGAGGGGAGGTGAGAAAGCGAAAAGAAAAATTCAAGACTGCTCTGTCACTTTTAATTATCCAAACACTGTCCTGAAATTTTGCTTTCTGTACATGCCTGGACTTTGCATGTTAATCTTTTGCATCTGGATCAGAGAGCAGCAAAGTGTGCGACCTGTGAACAGCTTTGTGGCAGTTTTAGCTTTTGATAGCCAGACAGTGACCAGAAAATGGATTATTAGCTTCAAAACAAGATTTTCAGGAAAATTCCCAGAAGCAAATTGGCAGGCCTGTCATTAAAAATTTTAAGGTGTGGGCTAATGATCAAGTAGACAGGGAATCCAACAACTACGGATTTTGTTTGGTTCTAGTTTTCTTCTATTTTTCTACAAAAGCAGGCGGGGATTACGTTCATAATAGCTGGGGAAAATTCCCAGCCCCCAGCCCTTAATGGCAGCCCTAAAATGGGGTTAAGCTACTCAAACTCACATACTTGTTCCAGGCATATTGCTGTCAAATACAACTCCATTTTCCAGTTTGCCAGCGTAGAAACATGACACTCTGTCACCTTTGGATGGATACGTTGTCTTATCACCATGTTTTAAGATTTTCTTGGTGAACTTTGGCTCCTGAGGATATTAAATTCCAGAACAAACTTTAAAAGGTCTGGGCTTATAAACATGATGGTGAGTATTTTCTTCTAGCCATTAGCCATTCGGTAATCATTATATAGCCTTTGATGGGTGGTGGATTTGAAGTAAACATACATGTTTTATAATTAATGATACAATATTCACAACAGTGAAAATATCCATTCCGTATCTCACAGATATATATTCTTTTTCTTTGGCCATTGTTCCCCTTTGTTCCTCTCTTTTTACTCATCAGGAAATTCCAGTTCATGTAGTGACTGGATTAATAGAGGTTTTTTCTTTCTTCTATCCTGATCATAACTAGCACTGCAGCTGTCTCTGATGTTTAATTATTGTTATACATCTTGTTCTTTGGAGGTTAGGCCAGTTTAGTTCTGAACTTCTATTTACGAACATACCTCCTTTTTGTGGTCCTTTGATTCTGAACTCTTTCTTTCTTTCTTCTTTTCAGTGATGCGCATAGCTGCTGCCTGTTCTGCTGCCTCTTTCAGTTCATCTTCAAGGGCAGCTTCATTCTCAGTACGAAATGCCTAGAACAATAATATTGAAGTCTCTCTTGTTTGTTATTGTCTCTCTGTTACTGTGCATGCTATGATTAGACAAGTGCTTTAGAGCATCTAGTTAACACTAAAAAAAATCCTGTGGTCTGACAGCAATACTGAAGTGTATCCTGGATCTGCCAATGTAAATAACTTATTATAATAACCCATGTGGAGTAGTTTCTTGTGTACTTAACCCTTTAAGCCCTAAGAGTGATCAGCATCCAATTTCTCCTTGTAATATCAATGCTTTGTATAACACAGTGGTCATGAGAATTAAGGACATGATCACACAAGATGAATTTGCTTGATATTTTATCAACTTCTCCCCACTACTTCTGTTGGAAATGAATAGGGACAACAAATGAGAATTCAAATTTTGATCTTAGGGGTTTAAAGGGTTACGACAACAAAAAGAAAACAGAGATCATGGACCCTGCAGTGGGTGTTTCGGAGGTTCACTCCTGTAGTTGCAGATAAATTCTGCAATTTATCCAACATATCCTGTAACTACCTATTCAGTGTGATAACTAACCTTGACTTCAAACAGGTGTTTGTAGCTTTCAATTAGATGATCTTTTTTACTGGTCTTTGCAATGTTGTTCAGTTTCCCATTCAACTTGTGCTCTTTGAGAAACTAAAAATATAAAATTGAAAATAACTACATAACTATCGGCGGAGGAGGCAAAAGTGTAAAAAGATGCAACATCAACAAGCGAAATGGGTGGGCTGGGGGTGGGTCACACACACCGCCACGCGCAAAATGCCAAAATGACAAAAAAAGAAACACGAAAACAACAATAATTTCCACAAAAAACCGCTAGATATTAGCAGATATTCATGTCAAAAGGAACAAAGATGGTTTAAATCAAGCCTGTTGGTTCGATCGTTAATTAAAACACTGTTTTGTTTCCACCTACAGAAGACAGAACTTTTCATTGTTTGTTGAATGGGGCCTGTGAGCCACTGCACGTTGTGTGAAAAACTACAAAAACGCAATCATCAACTACAAAAAGACGTGAATTTTTTTCTATCAATACCTCAAATGATGCATGCTCATGCAAAAACTTTATAATATCCTTCTTAGAAACGGCTTCGCTGTGCAGTTGCTCGTCCGTCCACGACCTCTCGACTTCCGCCATTTTGTAGGGCTTCGACTTCGAGATGAGGCTGGGAGCGGGAAGCCTGGGTCGGTAATCTCAGTGGTGTTTTGATGGTGAATTTTTTGGTTTTGAACGTGTGTTTTCTCTATCTGTTAACTAGTTTGCTGTTAGTTTTGAGTTAGATATTGTCCTAAATGCAATCTACAACAAATTCGGAATGTATACCTACGTTAGAGTTCCCGGAAATTCCAAACAAAGATGAATTTGTGGTAAGTGATGTATCTTCGATTTTTAGAACTAAACAAAAAGTAAGCTTATTGTACTACCAAAATTAATCCTCGATTTTTATGCAACCAGGCTTTATAGAATAGTACTTAAAAATTCTTTTTCGTGCCAAACAAAGATTGGTTGCTTTTCAACTTCGACGAAAGCAGATAATTACCTCAGACAAATATTATATGATTATTTAACTTTATTATTTTTTTGTAGTTATTGAATATTTAACGACAACAATATTTAACTTAAAACATTTATAGAATTGTTAGTATTTGCTACTTATCCATCAATCAGTAGGTGGTCTTTCAGCCAGATCTGCAGACAACGTTATAAATAATTTTGTGCTCAAGAATGATTCCATTTTCTTCTTCATCATACTCACTTGAAAACAAACCAACAACAATAACAACAGCAGCAACAAATAATGTCACTTCTACAACAGGATTACCCACCCTGTGGGACTGGGGTAAATAGTCCATAAATCTAAGAGTCTGGAATAGTAGTGTGCCTATCAGCAATACAACATTGCAATTATCGTAATCAATCATTGGTTTAATCGAAATAAATACGGTACATGTTGTCGGTACATGTACAACAGATTATTGCTTTCCCTAGCTTTTCTGTCAGCTTGGACTAAGTTGTATATTTTTACAGGACTGGACGTACTCCAAGAGAAGAGAAATGCAGGTACGGCTGATCTCATCATGAGTGATTTGTTGGTTATTTATTTTTTTGTAAGTAACATTCATTGTAAATTTGAGTAAAAAGACTCTACATCATTGTATATTTATCATAAGAGACCAGAAAAGAGCAAGTAATATTGATTGGTCACAAGCCTGTGTACAGTTGCCCCCTTCCCTCAGAACAAATCTGGAAAGGAGTATCTGTGATTTGTCATTGATAATATATATTGTGTTCAAAGACCTCATGACTTTTTCGGGAATTTGCGTTATGAAACAGCTAACGTAACATTTCACCATGCCAGCACCGGTTTTCCCGTGAAATGATGTCTGAGAAACAAGTGCAGAAATTCCATACTGATGAAGCACCACTGCGCTTCTGATTGGATGAAGCAATTTTCAACCAATCAGAAGCACTACTCAGATCTGGGTAATTACACGGCAGATCAGTATGGAATTTCTGCACTTGTTTCTCAGATGTCATTTTGCAGGGAAACCAGTGAAGGCATTGTAAAATGTTGGCTGTTTTCTGAGGCCATTCTGGAAGGGATGGAAAGGGGGACGTGATTTGCCATTACTTCAGATTATTACATCATTGAAAAAGCAAGTTTTCATTGGCTTTCATTTTCGTGGATTTGACTTCTCTGAAGAAAATCTAGTTAAAAAAAAAATCATGGAAATTATTAAGTTTGGTCAGTGTTGATCACTTCCCATAATGTATGCAAAATTATAAACATGATCACAGGCAATCCCTGTTATCTTATTTTTTTTCCTGGGGGGGCCCGTGGGATCCAGGTCCTTTCTACCCTTTGTGACGCCATCAGTTTTAACGGGCAAGGACAACTTTCTTCGTATGTGCAGAGTGAAGAGATCTTTCAAACCATACCAGAATGAGCACAATTCAGTCAAGGACACCGGAGAAAGAAGCAAAAACCACGTGACAAAGACCTGAAAAACTCCATGAAAATCTTGTATTCACCTAATCCTAAGGTTTAGGAAAAAAAATCACTAAATGCAATATCCATGTGTTTATTTTTTAAACCCAAAAACTTAATACTTTTTTATTTTGCATCTGGATCAGAAGGCCACCAAGTGTAAACCTGTAAACTGGTGTTTATCTTGGACCATATTCAGCAGCAATGAATAGCAAAGTACGAGCTGTTTACTAAATAATAATTTTTTTAAATAAAATTTTTACAGCCAAAATCATGCAATCCATTGTTCAACAAATCTTTTGTTTGCCAGTTTTATTTGACAGGATTAGCAAATACTGTTTATTTTTTATTTTTTAAAATGAAACTGAAAGGCATTTTGTTTGCCAGTTTGTTTGACAGGATTGCAAATACTGTTATTTTTTGTTATGAAAGAAAGATTTCCTTGTATTGATATGATGAAAACCCTTAAATCCTAAGATTTTATGTTATTCTTTTACAGTTAGAAGTTCTAAGACAAGTTGGAATATCTCATGTTGTTTGTATAAGACAAAATATTGAGGCCAACTTTGTCCGTCCTAACTTCCCACAACACTTTAAGTAAGTATAAGGAGTGTGTTATATAGTTTAGTTGTTGAAATGTTGACGTAATAATTTTTCAAAGTTGCAGGTCCAAGTTTACAGAAACTATAAAAATAAATGAATTAAATTTGCAAGCAGAAATATTGATAATGTCACTCACAATTAAAAAAAATGTGAAATAACACTTTGATATGTTGATTTTCATCTCCCTATTAACCTAAATTCTGTTTTCCAGTCCCTCAAACTGAAACTCAGTATCTTAATAAGAACAAGTATAGCTGGATTCATTTAGCAGGCTTAAAAATTATGTTTCATGTGTAGAGCCATTGACTGGACAGTATTTTAGATTTTGTTGAAATTGAAGAGTACTTTTTCTAATGTAAAATATCAACAACTAACAAGCAATTTTGTACAAACTTGTGAATGTCAGGTTTGAGAAACGCATTGTCCATTTTATGCAAGATTGATCTGTAGGGATAATATATAACAGATGGTCCATGGGTATATATATGGATTTTTCCAATCCAAGACAATTTAACACACCGTTATATAGTTCTTTCTTTCTAATTTTAATTAGATTTGTGATTGAATTTTTAACTTAAATATAAATTAATTTTTTGGGTTATGGTACTCGGGACTGGAAGTTTAATGTAATGCCACCTTAATGTTTTGTTTGTTTTCCAGCTATTTGGTATTAGATGTTGCTGATTCACTAACAGAAAACATAATCACTCATTTTCCAAAGGTAACTGGAGACAATGTCCTTTTCTAGAAGATATCTTCATAGCCTTGGAGAGTTTTTACTTTTGTTGTTTATTGTCTCTCCTCTCCCTCAGAAAATTTTAGTTTAGGTTCATGTTTTACAAAACCTTTAACAACTGTGGCTGTTGAGAATTCTAATGCTCTCCTGTGAGGGAGAGGGTGGGTAGATCCTGCAGCAAACAATCCCATTCCTGTCCCGGTCCCTCATAATGAGCTGTTTTTTCTTCATTCTGTTCACAGGTAAAAGCCTTCATTGACAGCTGCCTGAACAGTGGTGGTAAGTTAAAAATTAAGTTAATACACTGTCATATTAAAGTAGAAGTAACTAACTACAGCTGAACCTCCATTAAGCGGCAATTGACCCTCAGGGTACCAACAAGTGACCACTTAATGGAGGTTGGCTGCTCAATAGAGGTTCATGATAAATCGGCATACAATCTTTCGCAGAATCATCACTTTATTTTAAAACAACACGACGGTAGAAACATACTGGATCCACAATCAGTCGTCACTTCCTATCTCAGAATGTATTTTCCTTCATCTCATTTCTTAAAATGAAGCCAAACTTAGTGTATCAAGACAGTGCTTGATGGCCACTTAATAGAGGTGACAAGAATGGGAGAACTCTTGTTGGGACAGCCAATAGGTGACCATTGCTGCTAAATAGACGTGGCTGCTTCATAGAGGTTTTATTTTCCATTCTTTTCTACAATAATAATTATTTTGGGACTTTGATTACTGGCTGCTTAATGGAGGAAGGCCAGTTGATAGGTGACTGCTTAATGGAAGCTCGACTGTATACTCGATCTCTAACTTGGCAAAGTTGAAGACATAATGGCTTAGCCTGCAAGGAATATTTTTTGTGTGGCAAATGCTGCTTGATTTATGTTTAAGTTTATGTATTACCTTGTCCACCCTCTTTGATTTTGTTTCCGTCCATTTTATTAACAAATTTTGTGTTTAAATCTTTTTAGGAAAGGTTCTATTACATGGAAATGCTGGAATTTCCAGAAGGTTGGTCAGGAATCACTTGTTGTATGGGCACCTTGCTACATGTTATTAAAGACATCTGTACTGAGGCTACAGCTATCCACTCTCACGGGCACCCCACTAACAGGCCTCCTTTTATCACAGACACTGCTACTGCTACTGCTACTGCTACTGCTACTGCTACTGTAGGACCCACCACCACAAACAACCCGCCATCAAGCACCCTAATTGCTATCACACATTCTTTGTTAGTACTCACAACTGAATGTCCATCTTAAGGCCCATTTACACCAAGGCTTAAATGTGTTTAAAGCTGTCTAGTTAAAAAGGGTTTAAATTTGTTTACTTAGAGAAGCTGCTTACTGTAATTTTTTGTTGCAAATTATTTTTTTGCAATTACATAACGAGTTAACGGTGTATTTGAATTCTGTGTACAAGCCTGTATTCTAGTTTTCTGTTACTGTTTTTCATTTTATTAAACCCATTTTAATAAAACATGTTTAGTTAGTCTGATTGGGGCATTAGGCCTGAAGAGGTTTTTCCCTTGGTTAACTTATTGACCAAGTTGCACAGTGGTTGCACAGATGGAAATATCTAGTAAATTGCTATTTATACACCTAATGGTCATACATGATTATACATTACTGTCATAGAGTTAAAAGTTTTTTGTTTCTACTTACATGATTTCTAATGATGAAATTGTTTTTTACTGTTCTTGAAATTATATTATTTTATGGACTAAAAATTTCTCTTTTTTTTCAGTGCTGCTTTAATGATTGCCTTTATCATGGAAACTTATGGATTAACATATAGGTTAGCTATTTTTTTGTTTTTATAAATAAGTTTAAAATACTTCCAAAGAATTCTTTCACGGGTACATGCCTTTTGGATTTGCACAGTCAGAACGGTGCATGCATGTTTTTGGTAAAGAAGTGGAACTTGAACTAGTAGTCTGTCCACAGCTTGTCTGTTTTTCTCAATTCATGTTTAAAGGAATGCAGAAAATTAATTGTGAGTGCAATGAGTGTGAGAAGGTAGCAGGCATATGTTGCCATGTTGAATAACAAAACAAGAAAATTGATGACTGAACAGTCAATGAAAAAGACAAATAATAGGCGACAGTTGCATGAAACCTATACTTTCCTAGGCTAAGGGACATTCCATGTGTTTAACTTAATCATTTCTGTTTTAGGGAAGCCTTTCATTATGTGCAACAGAGAAGATTTTGCATTAATCCTAATGAGGGCTTTGTTCAACAGCTTATGGTAAGAGTTCACAAACAACCTGCTTTAGGTCACACCCATAAAATCACCACCTCTCATCCCTCCTTGCCAGCCAGTAGGGCACTAAAGGCATTCCTAGTGCGATGAATAATGAAAGGTGGCCTGTCGTATTCATAGGCTAGCTATCGACATGATTTATATGTCTATGAGTGTAGAGAAAATAGAAAAATCGTGGCCTCTTTTAGGAACACTGAACAAATAAGAAAAAATGAAAATGTTGTCAGAGTTCTCATCTTATAGCATGTTTATTATTGTCTTCAGGAGTACGAGCCAATTTATTTAGCAAATTATCAGGCGAGGACATCAGGAGAGAGACTACATCAAGGTAGAAGAATTTATGGTTATCTTGAAAATTTTGCTGTGCTAGAGATCCACCACTAAATTGAAAAAAAAAGCTTGTTTCTTCTACTGTTGAACCCAGGGCTATCAATACAGACACCTCTCTCCTACTGATTTTTGCAGCTTAGCGGCTCAAGTTTGTGAAAAAACACTTAGAATAGGGCTAAAATAAGCGGCAGCATTTCCGGAAAAAAAAAATGTAGAAATGCAGTTTGCAAGTTACTGCCAAAGAATTGGTGCAATGCACAAGTAAAATGTCAAAGAGGTTTCTTTGAAATGGTCACATCACCAAATTTCGTTCATGCAATTTCAAGAAAATTATTTTTATTTTATTTTATTTTATTTGCCACACTAATTACAAAAAATATAGGAAAAGAAGAAGAAGAAGGAAAAAAAAAAAAAAAAAAAAAAAAAAAAAAAAAAAAAAAGACCTAACAGAAACTATAGGGCTTATGAAGGTTAGGCCTCCTCGAACTATGAGCTTTTCACATCAATTGAAGAGAAGAAGGCGAAAAGTCGAAGATGGATAGATTTATAAACTGTTTTCACTTACTCAATAATTTAATCTTCAGTTTTTTCTTAAAAGGAGAGGGATTGAGATTGATGATCTTGTTGTCATAAAAAACTTAGGCCCTGTCAAAGGGCGAGAACTTCTTCGTGTTTGTACGACAATACAGTAGTAATGGGAATTTCTTGTATTGTAAGAGTGGAATTGATTGCTTTGAGAGAAATTGTTATTAAACTTTGGAGGTAAGAATGAATTTTTGCAAGAATACATAAATTGGCCCAGTTGAAGCAAATGGATATCATTAAATTTTAGTATACCGAGGTCCAAATTAATTGTACAATGCACGAGTAATGTCGAATAGGTTACGCTGAAATGGTCGCTCCACGAAATTTCATTCATACTGTCTCAAAAAGGTAGGGATAAAAACTGTGTTTTTATAACTGGCTTTGGGAGTGAAGCGGTTGAAGTTACGTATGAAGATCATTTGCTTGTTTTAAAAATATTTGTTTCGTTCGTAGGTGGAGTGAAGCGGGCTCATGAGGACGAATCCAAAGACGAATTAATGGACACCTGACCAATTGTTTGCCGCATAGATTCTTTATTTAATTGAACCAGGTAAATATGCCCTCTGTCTTGCTAGTCCTGCTAGATTAATTTATTTCTTGTTCTTAAAAAATGCTGCACGAAAACGAAAAATATATATATTTAAATGAAATAGTTTTGTCTGGGAACAGTCCCATACATTCAAACGGATAATTCTTATCCCTTTTTGAGGGAGATTGCATTTGAGTCCTTTTGTCTGCTTTTATTTGCAGCTAACACAAATCATGAAAAAAAAAGGGTTGCACACATCGTTACCATGACATCTTTTGGGCTGAATGAACTGGGATTTGTACCGCTATTACAACGACTGGCTGAGTTCTCTGAGATGGCTTCACCAGGTTTTACATTTCATTAGATTCCTTCGTTATCATCCATGTAAATAGGTGTATTATACAGAAATAAAGGACAATTTTAAAGTATTTTCAATGTTAAAACGATGTATATGAGGACCAACTCAAACCGTATTCAAACTGTCCTGATTCCAAGTGGTATAAAATCCACTGCGTGTCCCTCTGTGCGTTGCATTAAATTCTCACGGTTTTCTCGGACTTAAGTCTCGCGAATTGCTAATTTTCGTTTCACATTTTCCCGCTAGGAACAAATGTTTCAAATTTTTATGTAGCAAAAAAGGATACGATGTAGTCTTTATGCACTATTTTCCCTTTATTCGTTTTTCCCACCAAAAAGTTATTTTAGACGAAAAAAAAGTGACCTGCAGACACAAGCTGGCTGTTACATTTTCGCTGTACTAGTGCACTGAATGAAGTGGTCAGACTGGCAAAGGCTTGGTATGCTCAATAAACCTCTCGTCCTCAGCTTTCCTAGGCAAGGGACGAGGGGGGTGCAGATGTAGTATCCTGCCTCGTTTTCAGGTGCTTCTCCCGCTCCTGTGGCGTTAGAAAAAAAAGAGCACAGGGTGTCTTGGGAAGGATAAGAGCATTATTTTGAGGACTCCACGCGCGTCGCGAAGCAGCTTTAACTATGTCAACTATGGGACCTGTTTTCAGTAAGGGTTTCTGTTGCGTTTTAATTTTTTCCTGGTCAGAATACTATACATCCTCGGATAGTGGGGGCGAGGGAAAATCTAAACAGGCGGAAAAATATGGCACGAAGAAAAGTAAAGAACGGCGAGAAGAGCCCCTGGGGACAATGTCTTACCAGACCAGTTCCAAACGGTCGCGCTTTTCTCGCCGTTCTTTACTTTTCTTCGTGCCATGTTTTTCCGCCTGTTTGGACTTTCCCTCGCCCCTACTCTCTGCCCCTGGGTCTCCGAGGATGAATACTATAACAACCATTCAACGAATATCAATTTCCCTTTTTTACTTAAATGAATAGTTCTTTTATCTCCCATAAGGTGCAATATAATTTTCATGTCACTTTCGTACATTTCAGTGTAATTCAGGTTACAACTTTAACTATTAACTCAAGCCTTTTTGTCTTTTTCGATGCTGATAAACCTCTCTTGTGGTGGCGGCAGAGCTTTTCTTTCGGCTTCAACCAGTAACTTCCCTTCATCGTTGAGACGAGATATCACACTGCTCATATCCACGTCTTTGGGGAGTACAAAATGTCGGTTGAACTGGCGTGAGGTGAAATGGCCTTCTTTTTCAGACTCGTGTTTCGCGCTGACTGATAATTCATTCCCCACAACTTTAACTTTGATTTCCTCAGGCTTGAAATTTGCCACATCTAACAAAACGCTGAATTTCTTGTCGTCAATTCTCGCCACTTCTCCGGCGCGCGTTTCAAATCCCCCTAGCACGAAATCGTTATCCGCTGTTTTAACCACTCGTTTCGTCGCTTCGATGGTTAAATAGCCATCTTGAGAAATCTTTGAGGTTATGCTTGCGGGATCTGCATCTTGCGGCACGGGATAGGTGCGTTGTAATTCATTTCGCTCGAAACCAAAGCTTCCGTCAGCGTAATGCTTAGCTTTCACAACTAAAATATCTCCTTCGACGCGAAGGCTGACTTCGTCGGGACGGTAGTTTCGGACGTCCAAAGTTGCAATATGGATTTTTTCTTCCCCTGAACGTCTGCGCTGCATTTTGTCTTCTTTAAACAAGGTTTAGAAAATGTATAATCGAACCTCTAGCCACTCTGCTTTAATATAACGGACAATGAATTTCTAGAAACCGCACAAAGTTTGCAGGGGGTGAAACTCGCGACATTTTAAAAGTAAAAACAACTTTCTTAATCTCAAAAACTAACTCAAATATCATGATTTGATCTACGGGACAATATCGACCTTGATGGAGGTTCAACCTTACCGCTGAGGCGACTGACCGAGATGTTGTTGTGTTTGAAGTGCTCCTGATTACACATGAGATTGAATTGGAAGTTTCAATAACAAAAAAATTAAGAGGACGTAACGTTTGAAATTTTTTTTTTGGTCTTTATACTCCGTCTATTTAATCCATTCCAATCGACATTAAGAAAGCGCAAATCGGGTCGGCACTCTATAAATCATATCCGTGATGCCCCACGAATTAGTTTGTTCTTGATGGAGAGGCGGTGGCGGGGGGGTTGGGGGTGGTAGTGTAGTCTTCTAACCAAGAAATTAGATTGACGGGAGCCAGTTTTGGAACGCTCTTTCACGTTTGTTTACTTATATTAGCTCCTAAAAGAATTGTTATATATTCACCGACGGCCAAACAACTGAGGAGAGAAGTAAAAAATTCCTCTGCACATTATTATAGATTGACCTTAAAGGAAGCGTTTTTTTTCTCAAACTTGGTATTGGACCTAATCGAGTTATTTAAAGGAGCTCTTAATTAACCCCCAAGTTTTGTTTAGACGCGTTGTATTGGCATTCTTCGTTAATTCGGCAGTTTGGTCTTGTATTTCACCCCAAGTGCCACTTACATAAAAAAAACAAAAACAATATAGCCCACATGAACATAATTTCATCGACATGATTTCTCACTGTGTCTATCACTAATACTGTTACTGAAACTTACTTTTAATTTGATGGAGTTAAGGATTTCGATGAAACTTTTCCGTCAAATTGTATTGGTATTTTTTTTTCGCACTGAAAACAAGGATGGGATTGAGTTGAGCCATTTACAGAATGCCATGGCACTGGTAATCCTAACAAACGGTACAGAAAATTTGAGTCGTTCAGGCAAAAGCGGGAAAAGGTAATACCTCGGAAGGTATTACCTATTCAGCGAAAACATTCCACCGGAATCAACTGTTAGATTCAAATTCTCCCTAGACCGCAAAATAGTCCGTATTTATGCGTATTCAAGTACGGGCGAGCAATCAAACAAAAGGTCTGGAGTGAGAGTGAAACCGACTGTTTTGCAGACTAAATTCTCCCCGCAATTACCGGATTTTCCGTACGAATGGTAAGGGTTCAAGACTGGAAATAACTGAAAGGAAAATAACTATCCATATTGATTTTATAAATAACGGAAGTGAGAAACGCGAAACTTTCCTTGCGTTATCAAGAAAGTGTGGAAGTGAGGGAGGGTACACGGTGAACTTGCTTCACGTCCGTTCCAGGGGCCTGCCTACCAACCTCGTTCCCGGCGTTCTGTCCTACCCGCCCTATTCCCTACCTCTCGCTCCGTAGGGCGGATAGGAGAGAACCCTGGGAACAGGTTGGGGGGCCTACAAGTCGTGGTTTGAAATTCTAAACGCGAAACACAGTTTGTTACACAGCATGTATAAAATTTGGTAATTGTACATCCTGCCATTTTTCGACGAACCTCTCATTTCACAAAGGCTTGCTAGATTGTTTTTGACACTGATGAGAGAAGGGTCCGGATTTAAATCGAATTGAAAAAAGAAATAATAGAGGGTTAACTTCACGTTAATGTCAAACGCGAATTTGTACCACGTGACCAAGTTTCCCCTTCACTTGTCGTTTACTGTTCATTATTTCTACTCATAAATCAGTAATTTCACGCAATTTTTTAAACCATAACAATTGTTTTGAACCGTTTTTATCTCCTCATTTTCTATTTCGAGAAATTCATAACTTGAATCTGACGTTTACCGTTTGCCGTATACGTCAAGTAGTAGAGAGATTAAGATTCACGTTTACGGCATACGGCAAACGGCAAACGTCAGTTGAAAATTTCTCAGAATAGAGAATAAGCAGATAAAAACAGTCCAGAACGATTCTTGTGGACAAAACTAGCATAAAACTACTTATTTTTGTGTAGAAGCAATAAACAGTAAACGAAAAATAAGGGGAAAACTTGGTCACGTGGTACAAATTCACGTTTGCCGTTTGGCGTAAACGTGAATCTTAATCTCTCTAATAATTAAAATCCAGCGACGCGGACGGCAACGAGAACGTCAAAAAAAAAAAAACCACACAAAAACAATAGGTTTGCACTCTTTTGCACGACTACGACATGAAAATGCCTAATTTCGCGTTTTATGGAGTACGTAAACAAGCAACGACGAAATTTTATTTCTATTCCTTAACTTGGATATGGTCCTAGGAATTCGACTCCAGGAGGGTTCGCCTACATTTGACAAAGTAGGTGGGTAGGAATAATTGCGATAAAGACTGAAAGAACGCAAATTCACTTTTTAAGCGAAGTTCTCGTTGTCGTCGCGTTGTCGTATCTTTAAGTCCCTAATACAAGGAAAAACTTGAGACGGCAAACACCTTCTTCCCGATAAACTTAACCGCAGTGCCCATGCATGAATTGAAGGACAGTTTATGATTTTCCAAACAAATGTCTGTTTTTACTGGTTATCTTACTGTTACGAGACTTTTACAAAATTTTCCTTTAAAAGCTCAGCCAGGGCTGACATCACAAATCCCTCAGAAACATAATATGGCCATTTTCGAGTTGCCTCGAGCCTCTGTTTCAAAGCGAGGCTACTTGTGAAGCTATTGTAGCCTCGTTTTGAAAATGAGAGTTTTAGAACTCGGAAATGGCCCACTGGCGGACAAATGATCGGAACTCAACAAACTCGGGTAAAGTTGTCCCCAGACTCTTTCAGTTACACAGCGATTTTTATCTTTCCACTATATATCATTTTTAAAAAGACTAGTTTTAATTCCAGTTAATTTATTCGTGACAATCATTGTCTAGCGAGCCAGTATTTATAAATACGCAAAATATTCCGCTATATACTATAACACTCCTTACATAAATAAATAGAATTTGCACTATCATTTATCAACGGCAAAATATCATTTGTTCCACTTGTTAATGTTATCTGTTCATTGCCTGAATATTCGAAATTGCAAAATCTATAACACTATCATTGTAGTCTTAGTTTAAAATATAAAACCGTAAGTCACTCAATTAGAAAACCACGGGGGAATATTTTCGACGTCTATATATTGCGTGACAAATTTTGTGTGACATGAAATCCGACATTTATATGTCACGCTATTGTAAAACGCAGTTATTTTTCCAATAACGCATGAAAAATATACAAACTTTCCACAAAATGTGTGAATCTACATTACACTTTTCCAAACTTCTTATACCAAGATTGTTATAATATGCCATTTTATAATTTTGTAATTTTTATTTATATCATTTTATTATGGCCTTACAAGGCCAGGCGTTCCCCAAAAAAGTGTTAAACAGCTTCCTTCAGTTGACTGACACGGTAATTACGAATAACTTTTAAATATTATTACTTAATGCTATGCCTTTAGGCTTTTCGTAGCTTGAATCGTACCGAAACCGATAGCCCGTGTTACACATCTTCTCTTCTTCCACTCGAAGCAAGCGAGAGATGTCAAAAGAAAGAAGTGCGTAGGCTATTTAAGAATTATCCCGAATAGGCTTTAGTTTGCTCGAAGATGCCTTGCTTGAAAAACGGAGCAAAGTCACACAGATCCCTTTTGGTCAGCGTTCTGTTAGTCATGGCTGAAATCGGGCAATCTGGGATTTTGGAGCACAGTCCAATGAACGATTGAAGATACGCCTGAAAAATAACACAGAAAATCCTTAGGTTGACTGACTTACAAGAGAGCAGAAAACTTGAACAAAACATGGTTTGAGCGTCTGCTTAGCTGGCGAATCGTGGGTAAGTGCTTTTTGACGGTGGAGCCGCCTTGCTTTGCGAGATTCGTTCCATTCTTCTCAATGAACAAAAATTACAAATCCCGCTGGTTACACAGGCTACAGTTTATGATATATTATGAGCTGTATTGAATTTGACATGGCAACAAGACGTTTAAAGCCAAGTAGTGCTATAACAGTGTAGCGTGATTGAGCTTGCGACACGGGCCTTCCACATTTATGTAGAGGCAACCAACCGTTAGTGCTCTGTCAATATACCAGACAAACAACAAGGATACTACACTAGACTTAAGGTAAACGTACTAAAGACGTCCACAGAGTATACGTCACATTACCTCAAGTTGCGCCCTTCTAGCTCTTACAAATTCTTCAGCTCTGTTGCCGAAAAACCGTCGGTTAGGAAAATCTAGAGCACCAATCTAAATCGTAAAGGAGTAAAAAGTGTAAGCTGAAACAGAGAGGTTGGAGTTACGTCCGGGGGAGGAGAGAAAACACTAACTACCGCTACCAAACTATAAATTCGCATAATACAAAGTTATAAACAACAGTATCTCTGCCAAAGTATTTTATATACTAGTAAAAATAGAGCCACAAATGCGTGCAGTGGCAGTCGTTAAAAGTTTCCCGGGCCCGTGAATACCGCCTTACTTTTCACACTAAGACGTTTACTAAAAGAAACGTGTAGATACTGAGAAGCTTCTCTTGTCAGCCCTGGGCCTATTGTGGGCGACAAGAAGAACCCGCAATCCTAATCTCCAGGTTGTTATTACGCATGCGTCGCATGTATGTAGCCAGCATTCATTTGGACTTCCACTAAGAATGAATGGAATGCTCAGAACGCAATTTCAAGTTGATCACGCGCGTTTGGACCTTCAATCTGAGCACGCGTGTTCTGACTTTCTCTCACGTGAAGCTTACGCAGAGCACAGTAGCACAGTGATAAAGCAAAACGTTTTGACCTTCGATCGTTGTCGCCCGCACTCCGTAACGTTTGGTTATTACTAGCACAACTTTGTAAGTGGTTTTAGAAGGACTTATAAATTGAAGGGGGGTGGGGTGGGGAGGGACTTATATCCGGACTAAACAACGTTTTAAAACAAGCTACATAGCGGTGCTGATCAAAATACTTTTTGATTTTGCTCCCTTTTTCAAGCTTCAACACGTCGTAAAAAATTGAATTCATTTCAATGTAAGCTAGAGGGGTTTTACACGTAACAAAGGCAATTTTAGATTACCACGTGTCAAAAGAAATTGGGGGAAGCAAAGAACACAATATCATGCCGTTTCCGATTTTAACTCCCTCAGTCAGACGATCAAAGACTCAAGGAATGTAAATAGTTTTAAACGTAATGTTTTTAAGTTTTTGATATAGCTACTTACGTTTAATTTTTACTTATACTTATTTTTAATTTTTTATGCATTTTTGTATTTTTTTAATCCCTTTGCAATTTTATAGCTTTGTTTTGTTTTTATAATATATATCTAGTTTTGAGGTCCTTTTTGAAAACCATATCTTTTATGAAAAAGTTTCCTCAATAAAGATGATTATTTATTTATTATTTATATCCGGGATGGCTTATAGCTGAATGTATTATTAGTTTACAGGTAGATGGGCCTATATTTTTTTAGGGGGGGGGAGGGGCTTATAAGTTGGAAGGTGTACAGTTTACGGTATCTGTGTAGCATAAAGCGAGTACCCCTCACCCCTTATTTATACTTGTTTATGGTACCATGGACTGTGCGTTTGGGAAGAGAAAAAAAAACATCAGTATCAGTACCTCGAAATAACTTTTCTGCATCGTCTTGTGCAGCTCTCGAAATTTCCGATATCTGCGGTAAACTGACCATGTATCAGCACCCACTGTGCTCTGAAATCCAAAAAAAATTAGTGCTCAGCCATGAAACAGCTAAATCACGATAATAACTTCACACAACCTTTTCTTTACAACCATTCATACGGGTCCGCCTGGCCAATAAATGAAAGCAGAGGAACGAAAAATAAAACTGAACAAAACAAAACAAAACAAAACAAAACAAGCTTAATGGATAGAAGAGTTACGAACGCGGAAAAACAATAAAACATTTTCATCAGATATTCTTACTTTCACTTTCTTAGGAACTTAACATTTCAATCGTTTACAGGGAAATAACAAAGTCTTTTAGCATTACTGATAGATTATCGTTACAAGAGGGTACTTAATCATTTCAATCACTTACACTTAACTATAAGGGAAATGACGAAGGGATTGGCTGATAGCACTCAATACGGAGAGATTATCGGTACAAGAGGGCAACAACAACAACAAAGAACAAAAACAATGCGAAAAAATGCTTTACCTTCACTTCAAAGACGTGATAGGAATCTCGCCCCAGGCCCCGTAGGATGTATCGCGGGATACACACGTGGATTTGGTTCCGTTTGCTGGAGCTCACAGAAGCCAGAAAGCGATTAACTGGTGTGGGGGGAGGGGTGATAACAGGCGGAGTCACTGAATCGGTCAGGCTTAAATTGCTTCCATAAAACTCGCTCTGTAAGATATAAAGATACAGAGGTCAAAATTCACCGATTGCTGCCGCGCCAGCGCGCCTGAGGCGAGCGAGCAAGGCAGCAGACCTAATCTGTACAGGGACCAACATTTTCTATTTCTACCCATGATGCATCTGGATTTTAAGCCACAATGCACCGGATTTTTACCGCAATTCCTTGCACACCCATTGCTTTGATATAACGACCTCCGCTGGCTTGTTGTTGCATGAAGTTCGTTGAGGTTAGTTGAAATCCTCGTTTTTAATGTGTCTGTGGCATATATTAACACTAGGGCAGCACTCCCTTACTTATTAGGTACGCTAGTTTTATAAAATAGCTGTATTGCTGGTTTGCACGTGACGTCACGGCGGCCATGTTGGTGGTCAAGAACAAAAGCACTTCTCTCCTCTGGGAACTAAACTCTATTTTCATGTAAATTCTTCGAGGAAATATTCTTTTGTTTTGACCCCCAACATGGCCGCCTTGTCACGTGGTTGCAAACCAAGAATAACAGACAGAAAGGAAAATCGACCGCGTTAAATTCACGTCCGTCACAAAACCTTGCATTATATTGTTCACGTTTTGGAACAAATACGAGTAGTTTAAAAGAGCACGAATTGTTTTATTTCCTAGAGTAGCATTCCTTGCTATTGTAATCACGGATTCCCACTGTTTTAACAAATTGACGTCAGCTTATCAGAAGTGAATTCTAATGTCCAAGGAAAATAATCAGAAATAAGATACTTATGTCAATGTTTTGCTTTAAACTTTTGGCGAGTTTCCATTTGAACAACTATGACTTTTTCGAGTTGCATTGTGGAAGGCTACATGTTCTTTGGCATGGAACAATGGTTCGTAGCGACTAATTGACGTCACAAAATTCAAAACGGTGGCGCGCATTTTCGTATCATTTGGTTTTCTAAAATATTCTTTTCGCACTTTGGAAAAAAAATTCTGATTTTGTTCTTGTTGTTCGAAAGAAGTTTTAAGATCAAACAGTTGTAAGAGTAAAGGTTCTCTTTCATTACCTCATCATCTCGACACATGTAATTCATGACTTCTCCATCAGCGAGTTCGTCCTCTTCGTGACCGTTTGGAACCTGAATAAAACAAAACGACGAAAAAAATAAGCAAGTCGCATGTCGCAAACTTGACTTTCTAAACTACTAGAACTGACACATCCACAATAAGGGACTGTTAAGTAACTAATATTTGAACGGTTAATCGCCAGGATATTAGAGTAAATCCACAACTCAAAGATATAAATCACCTTTAATGTGCAGCAACAGCATAAAAACAACAACAACAAAACGACAAAAACAACAACAAGACAACAGTAAAAGTAAAAGCCTTCGTCCAAATAACATCACAGTAGACATTCTCCTATGCATGGCTTAACACTACGAGTAAGAGAATTTACTAGGAAATAACGACAGCAAAACATTTTTCTTACCACAAAAGTATTGTAAGCGGACAACTTTTCTTGAAGCAACACCACCTCCCTAAGATGAATAAAAAGGGTCGAAAATTTAGAGAAGAAAGTAGAAGGAAGGCTAACAGACTAGCATTCGCGATTTCAAAAAAGAAAATCGAAATTAAAGGCCCGCCAGAACAATTGACCTCATACTAAAATGGCGAAGCCGGACAAATTTTAAGTCGACGACGCTTTTTCATTGCCTTCATATGATCTCCACCTGGGATTCCCAAGGTTTGAACTTGACTGACTTGATCCGATACGACGCTATAAGACAAGGGCCCAGATGTTCGAAAGCAGGTTAAATCCTAACCTCGGGTTAAATTGGTTTAACCTGAGGATAAATTTTAATCACAGGTTTGTTGTGTTTTAGTGTTCAAACCTCGAGTTAAATTTAACCCTGCTAGCTAGGTAGGTTAAATAACTAACCTCAGGTTAAAAGATAATAGAAGTATGTCTAAACCAAAATACCTGACTTGTTGTTTTCTGACTTAAAACAACAGAGAAGATATGGACACAGTTCAGACGAGTGATAGACATTTTAGGGTTAGGGTAGCCCGTCTTTCGAACAACCGGCCCAAGGTGAGATAATGTAGTGCGCGCATTGCAAGGGATATAACGCTAACGTGGTTTAATAAAAGAAACGCATGATTGTAATGTAAGGTAGCAAACTTAGAAAAGTAATACATTTCAACAAACTCTACTGACCTTTCTGTTTCATCCAGCCGATCTCGCAATTCGTCGATTTCATGCTGCGCTTTCTCTTTCAATTCTTCAATCTCATTTTCCTTTTCCCGTATAATTCCTTCAATCTCGTCCAGTTTTTCTCTTTCCAAAACCTCTCGTTCCTTATCAAGCTCTATCTTTTCCCTGTGAATTGTCGCCTCCAGTTCTTCTTTTTGTCGTTCCAGGTCACGTTTCTCCACATCGAGTTTGGTCAAGATGTCTTGTTTTTCGAGTCTCATCTCTTCAACCTCGCGATTCTTATGTTCTTCAAGCTCTTTTAACTTCACTTCCATTTCCGCTTTGATCCTGTCAAGAGATAAGAGGCTAAAGTAAATGTTAAGGTGCACACGAGCCAAAGGCCCAAACGGCCGGAGCTTTTCCCGGTTTCCTTAGCATGAAACATGCCTGGGAGTATTGCTACTCCCCCCTGGACGGGATGCTAGTCCATCGCAGGGTTACCCCCAGCAGTATGTCGCCGGTACCCATTTATACACCTAAGTGAAGAGAGACAAAGTGGAGTAAAGTTCCTTTTCCGAGGAAACAACGCGACGGGCGAGGCTTGAACCCCGTACTTACAGATCCGGAGTTCGAGGTGTTAACCGCTCGGTTACACACAGTGACAAAACAGTACCTTCTTTATCAGTAATTTCATCACTGAGACCCTGGGTATTGGTCCATCCGGGGATTTACTCTACTAGCTGACCTAGCTCCCCCGCAAGCCCCTCTACGGTAAAAGTTACTACTCACCTTTGTTTTTCGTGAGCTAATAACAAGCTCACAGTCGTCGGTGATCCGATCTCCCTTTCGGTTAGACTTCGTGAAAGAGTCGCTTCTTCTTCTATGTCTCTCAGACTCTCTTCCATAGCTTCTCTAGTCGTCCTCTCCTCTTCTCTGTCACGAACAAACCGATGTTGTAACTCAAAAAGGTCAGCCTCGGCTTTCTCTTGCGCCTTTTCCGTGTCTTCGAGCATGAAATTTAGATTTTTCCTCAAAGTCAACAGCTTTTCAGTTTCCGCGGATAGCTTTTCTTGTTGTGCTGTTAATTTTATCTTGCCTTCCACGTCGATTTCTTTTAAGGAAAGTTTATGTTCTCTTAACTGATACATGTCATCCTGTTTTCCTTGAGACACGAGCTCTCCTTCTAAAACTTTAGACAACCGTAGCAGTCCGTCCTCAACCTTTGTGGAAAATCTGTTCTGTCTTTGTTCAAGATCTGTCAAGTTCCTCTTTGATTCGATCAGAAGCATTTTAGCTAGATTATATTGCTCTTGGGCATCTTTAAACTCCTGTTCCTCGGTTTCCAGTTTTTGTCGCTTAAAATCTTCAAGCCCGTCAAGATTTAACCTTTCTAATTCAATTGCCTCTCTTTGTTTATGTTTTCTCTCCTTTAAAAGTTTCATATCTTCCTCCATTTCTCTCTCAAAATTCTCTGCTGTTGTCTGTTCTTCCTCCTCTAGAGACCCAAGTCTAGTTTTCTCTAAGTTAACTTTTTCTGTCATTTTCTCGATTTCTTTTTCAAGCTGTAGTTTTTGCTCTCCCGCACAACCTCCAAGTCTTTGCGTAAGCTCATTCAATTCTTTTACTCTCGTCTGCAAAAAGTCTTTTGATTTCTGGATTTCTTCCCTCTGCTTGTTTGCCTTTTCCTGGTAATCTGACTTCTTCCGGGCAATCTCATTCTCCGCTGTTTCGATTCTTAAGCCCAACTGTTCTTCCATCTCTCTTAGCTTTTGCTTTGCTTCTTCAACTTTTACGTGTTCCTCTTTTGTCCTAATCTCAAGCGTGTTTTGCTTTTCTGCTAAATTGTCAGCGGCAATGTCCATAAGAGCTTCGCAGCCATGGATCCGATCTTCAAGATAAGCTCTTTCTTCCTTTAAAACTTGTTTTTCTTCTAAAAATTCGAGTTCCAGCAATTCGCGTCGTTTACTGATATCATTATTCGCGATATTTAAAGCCGCTTCTCTTTCGGCTTTCAATTCCTCTAGTTGGCGTTCTTTAACTCGAATTCCTTCCAAAACTAGAGATTTCTCGAGTTCAAATTCTTCAATTTCCAACATGGCCTCCCGCCGAGATTCTTCAAGAGCGTTGAAATTCTTTTCATACTCACGTTGTTTTTCCTTCAATTCATCTCGTTGAACTTTCACTTTTTCGGATTCTGTTTTCCATTTCTCTTTCAATTCCTCGCGTTCTTTCATAGCCTGCAACTTCGTTTTATCTCGCTCTTCTTCCAAATCCATAATGTTTTTCATGTTTTCATTCAAACGCAATAATTCTTCCTCTTTCTGTTTTCGAATTTCTTTCTTCAAATCCGACAACTCTTGGTCCGCTTTTCGATTCATTTTCTCGATATCATCTCGAAGTTTATCAACTTGTTCTCTCTGGGATTTTAATTCTTTTTCACGAGTTTCAATTTCTTTAGTAAGTTCAGCTTCAGTTGCAGTTCTTTCGAGTTCGGCTTGTTTGTGTTTGTCGTTTAATTCTTCCACTTTTTTCCTTTCAAAGAAAAAAGAATCTTGTCAGCTGTACGCCGCTATAAAGAACTTTAAATACCAGGGGACCGGGAAAAATATCTTTGTTATATCAAGGGTCAATTTAATAAAACTTTCACAAGTGTAGTTAGTGTTTTCAGACTCTAAAACAATTGCTTGACTTGTAAATTACACTTACCGTGCAAGTGTTATTAAAGGGAACCTCCACTCTTACTACAGAATAAGTTTAAATCGAATAAAATTATGTTGATAAACAAATTTGTTCGAAATTTGTCTTAAAAAAAGTCTTAATATCAGGAAAAGTGAATTTTAAAATCGCTTATTTTCACTTTCAAATTTTTTCGGGCGCCGCCATCTTGAAAAATTGTGACGTGTTACGGTTGCTCTATTGTTCTGACACAAAGAGCTTTTGTTTAATAACAATAGGGCAACCATTACACGTCACAATTATTCAAGATGGCGACGCCCGCAAAATTTGAAAACAAAAATAGGCGAATCTAAAAGTTATTTCTTTCGGATACAAACGCTTTCTTTAAAAATATTTTAGATTGACTTGACTGTAACAGTTATTTCCTGTGATTTAAAGTTATCTTTTTGTTGAAGTGGAGGTTCCCTATAAATTGACTCCAGATTGTTCGTTATAAAGTTAGCCTGAATTTCAGCCGTCTGCTCGAGTCGCAAAGTCCCGTGAGAGTCGTCAATCGAGCCGTTAGTAGGGAGCTTAGGTAGCAACGACGACAACAGCAGAGGCAGCGACAACGTCACTTTAAAAGTGAATTCGCGCTGTTTCAAATTTCATCACTCTTAAGCCTAGGCCAAACGTTGAACTTTTCATGAGACGAACCAAACTGTAATTTGGGCTGACCGGCTAGATTAAGTTAAGATCGTCTGCTGGGTCAGATCCGTCGAACTTAGTATAGAACGCGTCGAACCGATCAACTGAATCAGACCAAACAGCAATTTTAATAAATTTTCTCCCGAATGAGGCTAAATAATACATTATCATAAAAAAACATTTAATTTATTAGTTTAGTTCGTCGCATCTGAAGGTAGACGTTTGTCCCAGAGACGATCTTCAGACGTTCGATTTGTCAAAAGTAGACGAACAGAACGTGTTCGACGATCCACACTCATTCAGATGAACTGAGCCAGACGTCGAACTTTCCATGAACTTAACTCACTAAGTTTGGTTTGTCTCAGGAAAAGTTCGACGTTTCGCCGAGGCTTTTCATCTTCCCGTTGCCAGTTTCGTAAGGTCGAGTAACGTTACTAGCCGAAAACGGGGTAGATATTTTATTAAGACCAAATGTTCAGTTTTTCAATCCCCTATTGGTAGAGCATTGTGGCTGTGGTTTTTGTTCGATTTTATCTTTGGCTCATTTTTTTTTCTCTTTTTCCTTGTGATGATGAATGCGTACATCACCAAGGATAAAACGTATTCAAAAAAGCTCTTAGACCGAGGTATGAAAGATAAATATTGGGGTTTGAAATTTTACTTTCTTGTAATAAAAACACTGGGCATCAACAAACCTTGCTTCTTCGACACTCTGTACTTCCATAGCATGCAGCCTTCTCTGGCGTTCAAGTTCAGCTCTGAAAATACAAATAGCACAGTCCAATGGTTAAGGTATTCAAGACCAAACTTAAAATTTCAATTGCTTAAATTGCCGGTTACATTCACAAATATTATCAAAGGTGCTACTAACAGCCTCTTCACATTTTCCAATTTTGTCTTGTGCTCCCAAGAAAAATTTCAGCTGGGTTACCATCGGCAAATGCAATTGTGCAAGAAAATAGATTTTTTGGCGGTAGTTCCGGTAGTTCCTAATTCAAATTTCAAGAGAAGTTATGTAACAAGCCTCATATTTTGAGGCCATAGATTCGAATTCTGCCAGGGACTTTTTCTACACCCCGTGACATGATGATGATAACTGTGTCTTGTCTTTTTTCTCGACATTTATCTACTGTAAAAAAAAACTCTATACTACTTTAACAACGGAAAAGACATAACGCGCAATATTACAGAGGAAAAGTGGACTACAGTTCACCCAGGTTGATTTCACGACAGGTGATACTAAAATCAAAAATAATAATCATTCTGTTGAAACTTTGTTTACACTCAGTTGATGCTTTCAAATTTCTGTTGATTTTTTTTCTCCCCTTTTCACGGTAATATTGAAATCCGTTGAAGGAGTTGTTTTAGTGCTCTATTAGAAAGTTAAATCATGATGTTTTCATATAAGAAAACTCCTGAAGTATTAGGACAGAGAACTTTGTCTTCAGATCAAGGCTTTCGTTAATGTATTGAAACTAGAAATATTTACAATGATTCATTGTGTTTATCAACTTTCCCTACTAAAATTCATTTTAAATTCTTCCTCTTGGCTTTACGGGAAAATTTCTTGTATGAGTAATGATAGATAAAAATAAGTGATTATACAACAAAGGAATAAAAAAAAACCCGATCTAAGGAACATGATGATCTACCATGAAAGATTCAAATTAAGACACGTTAACAATCTTTTACACGACGAACTTCATTTTCTTTTGCGTTTACTCTGAGATATCCTCGGCTGCAGCGCAACATCACAATTTCTTACCTTGTTTCATTGAGTCGTTTGGATTCTTCTTGTATCTGTGATGCAAAATCCGCTCTGAAAGAGAAACAAACACACAAAAAAACACTCTTAAACATTGGCCGACAGAATCCTCCTCAGACTTCACGGTGCGAATTGAAACTCACCATTATCAAGCCCAAACCACTGAAAATTAATTACCCTGGCCAAACAAAACGTATATTCAAAAGCTGAAAAATATCCACAAACAAATCTCCATACATTTCCCTGAATAATTGGTTGAGAGAATTTGCTAGCAGCAATGATTTTCAAAAATCTCATATTTATTTCTATTGATTATGTACCGAAATTTTTTGGGCAAAATTGATGCTGGACACTTTTGGTACTAAAAGGTTAAATGCTCCGATGAAACCACAAGAATGCCTGCGCGCTAACAAATCGACAGTAGTGAAGTAGGTGGCACCAGTTTCCTTGAAAACTGAAAGATAACAGATCTAAACCGACAGCGGAAAACAGAAATTAATTCGACACAGTCAAACACAGTACTAAACGATCGAAAGACTTACTTTGCCTCCTCGATTCTCAAAGCCTCAAGTTGTTTCTGCTTCTCTAATTCATTTCTAAAAAAACAAAAACGAGTTAGTACTCGTCCTGATACCCCTATTTGCTATGGTACCGTCTTGCCGTCTAGATTGACGTAACATCGAATAAGAGGTCTGAATTCTCCACAGGTTGTGCATCAGATTTACGTGGTGACTTAACCATTTCAAACCTATACTACAGACCAAAGGAAAACAAATTCACAAAAAATCCATTCAAGTTTCTTTCTGTCAAATCTTAATAGTACAGTGCAAACGTTCTACAAAAGAGGTTTCATTTGAATGGTAACATCATAGGATTCCATCCACAGACTCAAAAGTTAGAACTACATCCTAAATAAATAGTACCATGTGATAGTACCTCTCAAGAGGTTTCATTTGAATGGCAACATCATGGGATTTCTTCTACAGATTTAAACGTTAGAAGTTGTTTACCATTTACAAGGGCAAACCGGTCGGTTCATGGTTTAGGCAAATGACAAGCGGGTGAGCAAAATTCAAGACTGGTAAATTTCGTCCCGAAATCGCGTTTACCATGTGCACTAATCAGTTACAATTACCGAAAAACTGCCGCAAAAGGCTGAAACTGGTACTGATCAAAGATGGCTTTGAAGAAATCGAACACGAATTTCCGTTTGGGACATTCCGACCGGAAAAACAGGACTACCTTTTCAGACGTTTCGTTACTCCCGGAAATTTTCCACCGAAACGATCCAAAAAGTCGTGCTTTATTTACTTTCCAACCGGATTTTCCAGAAAAGTTTTGAAAATGGTGAACAACCAAATGACAAACTATTTCGTCATTGCATGGACTAGGACGGAAAGGGTTAAATCAGTGGTGTAAAGGTGTCCCACCATGATGACTGAAAATGAACCCTTCTAGTAATAAGCCCCAACAAAAATGTGCCACTACTGATGGCCCTTCTATAACACGTATTGATGTAAGGAAATTTGTGACTGATTACAGTTAGGAGCGACAGTTAATCTACCAAACAGAATACCATACCTTGCTTCCTCAAGTTGCCGGCTTAACGACTCTTCACTGTGGAGCAAAAGCGAACAAAGTGTTTATGAGAATAAGTATAGTGATAAGAATCTAATGATAAGTTCTTATCTAGTGGTTCTACAAGACAATCTTTTCACTACAATTCACCTTTTGAGTGCGCCTTGAACTTTCAATAAAAAATCCCTGTCCCTTATTCTGACTAGCAATACATGTACTGTTACAAACGCAGCAGACATGAAAACACTTCTGTCGTTGTAAGTGCGGAATGACTGCAAAATGTAAATTACTATGGCGAATCATAACGGCCACGAAAACGCACGCTCTGATTGGTCAATTACCCATTTGCTATTTCCTAAGTGGGTATACAATGGAAAAGCTAGCGCGCGCTTAAATTACGACTGCGCGCGCAAATCCGCCCAGTTTGACCTATGGCGGCAAATTGTACACCGGAAGTCGCGTTCAGTCCTTTCCGTGCGCTTTTCCGTCGTCAACTGACGTTCCCGTTTTGTTGCTAGATCACTCTAAAACGTGTCAGTTGAAACGTGACTATACTTCGTGTCTCACGACGAAGCTTCCCAAGGTTTACGCTGATATCAAAGGAAACTGATACAAACGTCACTCAGGATAACAATTTAGAGGTTTTTAATACAATCCACGTTGAGAAGCAAAACGACTGATTTAATGAAATGAAATTTTCCAAGCACGACTTTGTACCCGCCATAGCGTACGTCCCAAAAAAAAAATCAAAATTCGACGAATGACAAACGCTGCAGCTGTACACTAAAGCTATGGAAGCACTTGTGAAGTTTCCTAAGCACTTAAAAGCTTAGTAACCACCTGCGTACGTGTTAAAGACGCGTTCCCCTTTCTCGTGCACGTTAATTTCCACTTTTCCACCTTTTGAACAACTAGCTTCTGAATGGTCGAGGAAACGGCGCAAAACTTTTATGTCAATCAAACCTCATACCGATACAAAACCAAAGCAAACAATCTCGCACTAACATTGCAACTCGCAACTGAAATCTGTTCTACAATGAATTGGTAATAAGTAGTCACTCCCAACTCTCAGTAAGTGTCAATCACGGTCAATCAAGTCAAGGTCCAAAAAAACTTAAGACCACACAAATTCTACAAAAGATATGAATTATCTCAAGAAATAGGCGGATGGTTCTCGATGTTGCGAAAACTATTGTTGGTTCAACTTTATGTCGAGGTGTGGATATTATCAGTGTCTCTTCATTCCTTTCTATTATGTCATCTGGTGATTGTTCCCGCCCCCAAAACCAAGATACTACGGCACTACACGTTTCTGGGAAACTGCCCACCTACCCCTCCCTTAAGCCACCATTAACACCTACTTCTCACTCAGGGCAAAATGTTGGCTTAGGGGAGGGGTAGGTGGGCAGCTTCCAAGAAACGTAAAAAATGATTTGATACTACAAAGGTGCAGTGCAGTGTGTTAGTAGGTACACTTTAAGTGTCAGAGAATTATTTTTGGTGTTAACTAACAGTTTTGACCACAATCCAGAATGTAGAAATCTGCAACAACAAAATCGGCACAGAATGACTACTGGTTTACTTACTTAGTTAATAGTCAGTATTTACTTGATTCTAAATTTGTTAGACAATAAAGCAGAAAAAGAAGTTACCGTCATTTACTCAGAATAGAAAGGTTGGAAACTTTGTAAGAATTAAAAGATTGAGATTTGTAACAAAGCTCCCTAGGAACTCTCATACATGAGATACATTGGTGTGTGTGGCCCGTTTCTGAGGCATGGTCTAGAAATACGAGGGTTTCTTCTAGAAAAGTCTAAAATTTCGTCGAGAATTTTTATTGAAAAAGTAATAGGCTGGGAATTTCTAGTGTCCAGTCTAGCTTTTTCACGCTAACAACCAACCGGCCCACGAGGAGAAAACTGGAGTTGTACTGCAATTAACTGCTTTGTACTTTTGATGGGCTGATCCTGTTATTCCAGGAACATAGACCCAGAAATCTGAGAAACTAATGAGACACAAAACTTTTAGTCATATTCATTGATAACTTCTGATATGAACTTTTTGAATCACCTCTGTTATGAAAGAAATGGATGGCTCTCTACTGGGACTCTTCCGACTTTGCCGACTTTGAACAACAAGTCAGCTTGTTCCTAGCTTCTAGCAACAGCACTTACTGTGAAACTCACAAAACCGTGAACACCAGAAATATTTATGGAATGTTATTGTGTTGCGAGAAATAAGCCAATAAGGCGCGATATAACTAAACCGCAAACAACAACGGTATTTAGTTTGTGGTTTTGAGGTTTGCTTGCGTATCCTGAACATTATTTTGATTGGCCAGTACACAATCAACATTCCTGAAATTTTTCAGGTGTTCACGGTTTTCTGAGTTTGACAGTAAATAATTCAGGTCCATAAACCAAAACACCACAGTTGTAGCCTGCGAGCAATCTCTCCTCCTTGGGATGGCGAGGAGCGTTGCGTGACGACACTAAAAACGGCCGAGGAAGGAGACCTTTCCTCTGCCCCTCGCGGTTTTCTGAGTAAATAATTCCAGTAAATAATTAATTAAATAATTCCGGTCCATAAACCAAAACACTGCAGTTGTTCAGTAATACTCACTCAGCCCCAGATCCTTTTCTGAAAACCAGGTCTGTTTCACTGCGGAACTTGGTAGACCAAGCAAGTGAAGCACCACCGCCGCCGAATGAATTCTGTAGGCAGTCAGAGAACAACAAATTATCAATCCAAGTATAAAAGTCGGGTACATTTTACCTCAACTACATCACCGAACATGTTAACAGCACCAGAGTCCTAAAATATAAAGCACTTATACAAAAACAATAAAACCCAGCCACTTGAAAGAAAATTAATGGGTCATGCCCCGACCAATCCAAACCTTGAGATTTTGAGGATTTTAAGCTAATTGAAGAAAATCAGTTAAACAAAATGAAAGACCAATGGTATTATTTACACAAAACACTCTATTACAAAGATGTAATGTTCATCATCAAGTGTAGTGCAAAGAAAAACCATGCGATTCCAACAGGTTTCAAACCCATAATTTTCCGGTTTTTGAGCTACATTGCAAGCTATTGTAGTGTAGTCGATTTACTACATTTTAAACTATATCCATACGATATTATTCCAGCTCAACTTACTCTTAGCACGAAGGCAAGAATAAATTACTTTTAGATTGGTTTTAAAGTTATCTGATACACGCTATATCAAAACTACTTGCAGCGAAATGACTTTTGTATCTAGCGAAACGACTGAAGACCTCGAGAGAATCAAGACAAATGTTGCATACTGCTGGAAGCGAACGTTTAATTTGCCACGTCGCAAGTGTGCATACTAAACAGAAAAGAAAAATTGAAAGTTTCATTGCACTTTAATGCTGGACTTCCTTGGGGAGTAACTGTAAGGTTAACGGGTTAATAGAATCACTCTCAATTAATTGCGTCGGGATTTAACGAAAACTTACCCCGCGCTCTTCCTGGAAAGAAAGGCCGGGTGTGAACAGTCAAAACACGACAGCAAGTATGATGCAAAGCAAAGATAATAAAGAATTAGTAAATGAAAGACTACTGCACTTGAAAAAGATTACAAGGCATCAAGCCCCCTTAAAATGTTACACAAGGTAAATAACGCCATTAGTAGCTTTGCTCAAAGCGTGCGGGAACACTGAAAAAATGGATAGAATTGCTAGCATCTGGCAATAGATTCGGTTATCATGGAATATTTAGATATTCCTTACTGGACAACAATAAACAACTTCACTGCTATTTTTTAACCAACCAAGAAAATGTCACAAATTGTTTAAAATTTCCGCGACCAGCAATAGTAGAGACCTTTAGATTCGAGAACGACTCGAGTGCGAGATTTGACTGAAAGGTTTTTCGTGTGTTCTCAAAAAATAGACTACCCGGATAGCTTTATTTTACTATTGATTCACCAGAAAAGTTAGAACTGTTACCTTGATGGAAGGAGGTTACGCCCTCTCCCAATCGCAGAATAATAAAACTTGTAACACTTGATAACTTGTTTCTGCCACTACGACATTCTCGCCAAAACTCGAGGTAGAATGACGACAACTATCACGTTTTCCCGCCAAAATGACGCTGATTCACGCTCGCGCGCACTAGTTAGAACTTAGTAGTCGATCTCGTTAGAACCTGAAGGTCTCTAATTTTTTTCACTTCGAAGTTGCGCAGGGGATTGGATCCGTGTTGCGTCGAACTGCATGATGGGAGTATTTTGAAGACCACGTCGTTTCTTACGTCGCTTCACTACGATGTTGCACGGCAAACTGGATCAGAATTCGTCCCCCCAAATAGAAGTTCTCAATGGGGTTAACCGTCAGTCGTCAAACGGCCTCAAAGGTAACCGTCAGCCGTCGAAAAAGGTTATTTTTTACTGCCACAAATACAAATTAATATTAACCTTCACAAAGTTTCAAGGTATTTCAAATCTCACTTCAGCTGATCTTCACGGGCTTCTGGCTCCTGAAGAATCTCTAAACTTCTCCACGTTCTCAAAACACTCTTTCTAGACAGTACAAGACCTTACAACTTGCTTAAATTTAAAGATGTTCGAAATTTCATACGTAAAAGGCCAAGAATACCTCCAAAACACAACAGTTAATTAATTAATACAGAAATAAATATTTTCTGAAACTGTTGGACTAAATTTCCACTTTATAACCGTCGACCGTCAAAAGCTCTAAAATTTAACCGTCAACATTGGAAAAACAATAACCGTCAATCACCAAAGCTACCACAGCCCTGAGACCATCAAACTAGTCCCATCGTCCAATTCAACACAAGGTCAACAATCCAGTCCCATGCATCTCAAAATGACCAATAGACCTCTTTAGCTTACAAGTTTTGTTTTCTCAGTGAAGGTCTCAGGGGAAATTGCCCCTTTTCTTCTCATAAATTATCCGTACATATGCACGTGAATAAGGCAAAATCTGAAAGAAACAGTTCTCTAGAGTATTATTATAAGACATCCATTGGGAAAACAAAACATAAGCTAAACAGGCCTATAGCCCATCTTAGGAGGTGCCCGAAAAAAGGCTCTTGATACTCCCGAGGGGTAGCATTTGTCCACGGTTTAAATTACTAACTAAGGTTCTTGTGTACCTTTCTCTTCTCTCGTAACTCAGCTGCTTCTCTGGGGTGATTGAAGCGAAAAACATTTGAATTTCCCAAGACAATTACGTCGCCTGAAAATACAGATAAAAATAATCAAAAACGATGATGATAATGATGTCAATGGCCAAGTCGAGCAAGAAGAATAACAGAGATATTCCAGTTTAAAAATTATCGCCATTCTTGATTGACATATTTAATAGGCTCATGGAAAGTATGCGTCTGGATCGCGTCCTTGAATATACCTCATATACAGTACCCTGAGGAAACAACCGACGTTTAGGGACGCCGCCACTGGTTTCCCCCGCGAAATACGGACCTTATGCAACGACGACGACGACGGTAGTGAAAACGTCGCTAAAAAAAAAATCTTTCAAACTTAATCGCGTCTATTTGGACCCGCTCAATATGTCAAATACAGGCGACTTTTCCTGGAGTTGAATTCTTAACGATTTTATTCAAGCTCAAAAAGAGGAAGGAAAATTCGTCGTCGTATGTCCACGTCCTTCATAAAACGTCAAATTTGGAGGTTTCACGTCGTAGTCATGCACTGGGCGTCAAAGAAATATACTAAAAAGCGTGACGCACGTGCAGAGCTTCTGTTGATCATTAAATTTAGTATTTTTGGAAGTTGTCGTCGTCGTAGTTGCTTAAGCTCCTTAATGACGTCTGAGGAACGGCTACAGAAATTCCATACTGATGACGTGTCACTACCTCGATCTGGGTAATGTTTCTGATTGGTTGAAGCAAATTTCTCTAGCGGCACAACCAATCAGAAGCACTGTCCAAATTTGGGTAGTGAAACGTTGGCTGCTTCAGAATTGACTCAATTATGAGACTGAGTAACAGTGCATATTATTAAATCCAGTTCATTGGACTCTTTGGATATGTATTTATTATTATTAAATATTGTTATGTAGTTTATACTTCATATGTAACAAAAAACCTGATGAATTTTTACCGTGTTAAAATAAAGATTTGAGATTTGAGATTCATGTGCTTTAGATAGACAATATATCATCTTGTCAAACTGATTAATTATTCATTAAAGTAATGAAAATCAACTGCACGGATTAATAGTGATTAACAGCAGAATTAACTTTGTATATGTTGTAGTTGAATTTTTATCTCAGGTAATTTTTGTTTTTCTTTTGTTTTTTGGGTATGACAACATATGTTGATGAAGTTGAAACAAAATAAAAATAAAAAATTACCTGAGATAAAAAATTAACCGCAACAGATACAAACTCCTTCTAATCTAATTTGTATTAAATGATTTTCATACAGATCCCCACTGATTGATTCATTTTACGTTAAAATATTCACATCTGATCTACATGTGTATGGGTGTTTACAGTGGCTCATCTTCGGATCATCAAATGTTGTAAACACTCATACATGCAGATCTCCCACTCATGTATTTCATTTGGTACCTGATAACAACCTTTCCCTTATAAGGTCTCTTTATGTGCTGGTAGGCAACAAGAGGGACCCTGTTGGGGTAAATTCCGACAACTAACATGGCCTTGAAACAGCAACATAGGACAGTGTAAATGGCGAGAAACAACTTAAATATAGGTTGAAACTGCGATAACGACAGAGAAAACCGAAAATACAATGGTAAAATACCGACAGCGACACGGCTCCCTCCTCAATACATAAAGCGACAGGTTTTGAAATTCGCACCAGGGACATACGTAACCCCCCCAAGAGGGCTACACAAGAGAGATAGGGGGTTCTAAGGAATAAACTTACTCAAAACTACAGAAGGGTATACAGACTAGATCTCATACTAATATATAGTTTAATCTAAAGATCACTATTATTGAAGGGTTATAGTACGTGTACCTTGAAACAGTCTGGTTGGTTTTAAAATCGAGTTTCCATTCACAGAACATTGAGACTTCAGAGGGTTTAATATAACATGTCCTTTGTTGTGTTCAAATATGCAGTGCTCCTGCTCTGTATCTGGTCCACTGATCACTACAGGGTGGCAACAAATCAAGTTACATCTTACAAAAATATGATTGTTATTTCACCAAGTTATTTGGTCAGTAAAACTGTATATTAAATTACAACAAGTTACAAGACTTGTATTCTCTTTAAGTCAGATGTACAAATGCTTGTTCCTTGTAAGAAAAAAACAACAAATTAATGAGAATTGTATATTGTATCCCAATGCCTTAAAATAGAGAAGTCAAAAGAATCTTAAAATAGCTGCAAACAGCTACAGTAATAACTGTTAAAAATAAACAGGTACAATACATATATCTTAATGCCAATTAAAATTGATTATCCATTGAGCATTCATGGTTGTAGTAATTTTAACTTTGTCTGTAAATAACATTAAATGTGATTAACTGTTTTGTGTGCAAGTGTGTGGTTTATAGGGGGATTTCATTACAGTAAAAATCAGATTAAACCCGTGGGCAATGAAATTCTAAACCAAACACAAGTATCTCACTAGTATCTTGTAGGGATAGAGCAAAGATGAGGTACATGTTGATGTAGTTTCATTTTGCTTTCACGGCTGCAATTTTCCTTGAAAATCTTGATCCTACATCACTTTATTTGTAATGAAATTTCTGTTGTTTTTAATATTTGTGTCACCAGAGTAAGAGCTTTCCTTTAGCTACATCCCGATCTTACAAAACAAGGGAATCAAACAAGAAACAACATTCAACAATATATAACGTGTGCGATAAGTGGTGTCAAAGTCACCAAATGCACAAAGCAACAAATCCATGCTAAACAATGTTCACAAATAACAACAATTACAGTCCATATGCTGTTAAATCATGAGTACTTAGCTGGCTGTGCATGCAAAATTTCTGATTTTCAAATGTGACTGTTTGTTCAAACAACTGGGCGCAATATATATTAAGAAACCCATTAAAGTCAAAACAACATTTATTTACCTATGTCCTGTTTTTGCGGGTTCTCAGCAAGCCCAACAGTAGTGATTCCCTCCTGCAAAAGAAGCAAAATAGTCAGCTTTACTCCTAATAATATCACAGATTGTTTTTTTATGCGGAATAATGTCTCACTGCGTGATGCTGAAATTAACAGACAATCACTATCATGCCAACCTCTAAGAAGTTGACGTAATGACTGATAAATTCTTCAAATTCATTTAGATCCATTCAAGCTTGACATGTAAATTTACTGTAACAACTTCCCAAAAACATCCATAATGCTGGACTTTCCTTTCAAAAAGTCAACCACAAAATTTACTTTGATTCATAATTCTTGAAGGTTCAGCTGATTATATATACCATATTTAATTACAAGAGTGGTTTGCAAGCCTTTGCTTTGTTTAAAAGGATTTACTAACAAAATGTGCACATGAGGATAAAGGTATGCATAATTAAATGTACAAAACAATCACAACATTCTTCCCTTTGTTTAGGAACAAAAAAGCTTTGCTTGTACACACAAAAAACAAACTCTTCTGTTTTCAAGTGATATAAAAAGGCCTTTTACTTTTCAAGCCAATAATAATTGTTCATATAGTGAGTCCAAACAAAATTAATTTTGTAATGGGATCATATGAAAATTAAGGACAAAGAAGCTTACAGAAGGTATGTTTTTGACATATTATAATTTACATCAACATCAAGGTACGGTGTGTAGTTAGGAAGTGTAAGACCAGATTTACTAACTGACAACCACGAGAACTCATAAAAATTATGTCTGTGTTTTTCAATGAACATTCATAATCCAATACAAATAGATTTAAGGTTGCACTATGATAATGACAAGGAAATATTCAGGAAATAGAAACTAATGACAGTGAAACAAAAACGGTAAACTATTTTAAGCAGTGTGAAAATTTTAAGCGTATTGTTATTTTTAACAATTTACTACAGACATGGCTCTAAATTCTTGCAACAAAAATACACGAATAAAAATTTCTTTTGCACCTTTTAATTTCCCTTGGATAAATATTTGCAAATATCTATGCCAATTGTTTTACATAGCAGAGATTAATTCAAAAGCCAGTCATGCAGAGTTCACAAATTTTATTGTTCTTTTGTTTTTTCATGTAGACTGTTAAATGATATGTGAAAAGTTAAGAACAAATTAAATCTAGTAATTAAATCTGAAATCTGAAATCTGAAATGGATCTATTACACTGTTGCAATAATGGAAAAACTTGCTTGCACAAGTACAAGTGATGGTAATTAACTGTGTTTAAATGAACATAAGGGCCATTACTAAGATTTCAATTTGCCAGGTATATGAGTTGTGGTTCAATTTTATCCTCGGTTTAAATTTTATTTTCTTTTGTTTCAAACTCATTATCATACATCAACATACCTAAAAACAAAAGAAAATAAAATTTAAACCAAGGATAAAATTGAACCACATCATATGCAAACTACAAACAGGCAGAGAATTGAACAGCTAGGAAGTTCTATTTGTCCTAATATATTTTCCTTGATAGTTTCTTACAAAAGTAACCAGGGATTATGCACATATAGCATCTGAGGGAATCCCCAGCATCCAGTCGTTAGTGACAGTTCTGAATGTATACAGAGTACAAGTATTTGAAAACCTGTGTAAAACTGTGGCTCACATTTTTAAACCAGTTTAATTTTTGTTTTCCTTCATCTCAGATTATGATAATGAGCCTGAGGAAAAGGATATCAAAGATTGAACTGTTTTTTCTTTCAATGATACGAAAGAAAAATTTGATCTTTGACATACAACTGTATATACTGTTACCTTGAGATGATAAACCACAATCCCAGTGCTTAGCAGGTCATCACTGACCAACACCAAGTGGGGAAGTACAGAATCCATCTTGATTCCTGCTCCTTCCTGTTGCAATTTCATCTCCCTTTCCTACAAAAATTCAATACTATAATAAGAAACTGTCTGCCGAATTTTGTAATTTTAAATGAACTTGCATTTGGATCGCTAGTTTGCTTTCATTTCCAATCAACAGTTTTATTTTCAGTGTAGTTCTTAGTAGGTTTTGCATTTCAAAGAAAAGTTCAGGGTCTGAATCAAAGGCGTTCCAAAATCAATCCAGTTCTTAAATTCCGCCGGGCTAGGCGAAAAGAACGGCTTAAACAGAAATTTTTTTCACTTAATTCAATGTATTAGGTTCGCTCATAAAACCAGGCCTTTTCTTAGTTTTTTAATTGTTACATAAACTTTTAGTTTAAATATTGACAATGAACCCCACCAGCTATATATGTTGGTATATGTTCAAATGTTTATGAATAACTGCTTTTATTATCAATTACTATTATTAAGATAATACAACCTGTGATTGTCCAAACCTCTAAAATTTTCTGTGTCTCTTTCCATCTATCCTTCCAGCGATCAGTTAGCTCTGTCACACGAGCTTCATTTTCAGAGAGCTTCTTAGCAGCTGCCATTTCAGCTTCACCTAACATTTCCTGACGGGAAAAACAATGAAGTGAAGAGTCACTACATGTAAATGATTGACAACAACTTGTTTCATGTAATGTACTTATTACTGTTTTGAACTACATGTACATCTTTTTGGTGATATTATATAGAGACAAATTGCGTGGTTAAAATTTCTACAATCTTGCTTCTTAATACATATATAGAAGGGTTTGTAATGAATTTTGCTAGTATTAGCTACATTAATTTGGTACACTTGTATATAGAGCTATTTCGTGAAAGGTTGTCAGAAAAATTGCGTGTGACAATCCCAAAAAGTATTGTGGGTGGTTTTGAGTGCACTGTTTGTCAAAGAAATTTGAAAGAATGGCATGGGAGGCCAACCTCTCGAAATAGCCAAAGACACCTAGTAATTTCTTCATGGGTTGTAAACTAAGTTAATAAGCCAAAACTACTCATTCACTTTGAGCCAAGAAGACCCTAGTCTTCCTTTGCAGCTGATTGGGTCGGAGTCACAGGGCTGGAACATTAGGGCCATTTATACGAGGAAAAATAAGACGCGTCTTAAATAAGACCTGAACTTTCCGTATAAACGGCACATTTAGTCTAAAATAAGACGCGGCTTAGCTAAGACACGTCTTATTAGATAAGACATGCTCGTATAAATGGTACTGTTCACCGCGTCTTTTTTTTTCCTCGTATAAATGGCCCTATTGTGTGACTTCTGCCTTGGCAGCTCTGAAGGAGACTAGGAACACCCACATGGATAAGGCTAAAACCAGTCAAAATGGGCCAGCCAGACTGATCATTTATGAAAACAAAATAGGTTTTTTCAAAAGTTTTTGCTCAAAACCCATTACCAGAAACTACTTTATGGAACCTGACTTACATAGTGGAGTTATTTTTATGACTGGACTGGTCTGACTGGCCAGTTACGACAAACAATTAAGTGCACTGGGTTTCTCTTTCTATTCACTTATTCCCCCTGGCTATGATGCTAGTCTACTGCCATCTTTCAGATATGAAAGACAATGTATTTAGCGATTACATTGCCTGTCCGAACTTATCAGCTTGCAGTGTAGTAATCTACCTAGGACATAACATATAATTTGTGGTTCTTACTGGACTTATCATGTTCTTTAACGTTTCTATTTGAGCTCTCAGGTCTCTGATCAACTTAACATTGGGGTCCTGCAATAAAAAGGAAAAAGCACAACTCAGAAAGGAGGGAAATAATAAATATAATGTACCATTGCAAAATACACTTCTCTCATTCAAAAATATATACAATACCAGGGGTACAAATAACATCAGACATTGGCAAACCAAAATTTGCCAATGTCCGACAAAATCCTACCGGTGTTTGGACATTATGTTCGGAGAATTTTTTTTTGTCATAATTTCATTTTACATATATTAAAGGAAGAATAAAAATCTATCTTGAGTAAATCATACATTGTACTTTGTGTTTTTAATAGGGCGATCTCAAAGTCATGAAACAACATTGACTTCAGTAATGAAGTTTTCTTTTACATTAGCATAGCATGTCCTCTGTTAAACCGAAACGTAGCATAATGCCTTTCAAAAAGTAGTGATCTATGTTTCTTTTTGTTTATATTTTTAGAGAGTCATCACAGTAACATTCTGCTTTGAATGAAAACAATTAACAAATTATAAGCGCCAGTGTGGTATTCTTTTGCGGAATGTCTCTGAAGATAAAATTAGTTTATTCATTAGTTAATTTGTTTTAAAATTGCATTCATTCATTGACTTAGTTTCCCAAGAATCTCAATGTTTCCCAAGGTGAAACAGTGCATTGTTACCCACTGATGTCATAGATTTTTGCAATGTCGCCCGTTCTGAGATTTTGGCAGGAAACAGTTTCATTGTTAGATGCCATGTAAAATTAAAGTAGCCAATAAGAGTGCAGGCTGTTAGTAGAAATTTCAATAACAAACCTTCATTAATAACATCATCTAGAGTAATAAACAATATTATGGTCTAAGACACAGTGTATACTATTGACATTAATGCATCACCTCATTGACAGTTGGTTTGTTGATTATGTTCTTTGCTCTGTTGGCATAACGTAGAGTGCTGAGGGTTTCTGCGTAGTTTACATCTGCTGGAGAGATGGCTGGGAGGATAATGAAGGCAACAATTTTATTAATAGTGTAAGCTCAGTACAGTACCTACATGTATATTTTAGATATTGGTCTAAGAGTTAAAATTATTTCACGAAGATGAATATGAAGTATATCACTAATGAATTTGTTTGCAAGTTTATTGCATAAGGAATATTTTAAAATTTGCCAAACATGTCTCAAAGTTTTTTGCTTAGGGTAAAATCCCTTTAAAACCAATACTCTCTGTTTGTTTTGGAAATCATAACTAAGAGAAGAATCCATTCTCTACATGTCAGTTCTGTGTTTTATCAAGAAAAAATATTAAAACTCATCCTATTTTTAATTATCAATACAAAGAGAAATTAAATTAATATCATTGAAAGGGATACATGGTAAATTCCAAGGATGCTATAAGACTTAATGCTTAAAGGTAAAATTATATAATATGGTAACCATGCACTAATCAGAAAGCTCTTTTACTCATATGCCTTTAATCTATGGGGAGGATGGGGTGGGAGTGTTTCTATCAGAAAATTCTTCTGATAGGAGGAAGTACAATTTGTGAGAGGCCAAAGATTAAGATGCCTTTGTGAGAATAAGATCTAAACCAAGAATAGATCTAGAAATGAGTAATAGAGTATAGTTTGTAATGGAACACAGCTTAGAGTTCCACCCCTCCTCCCTGTGCCAATCTTCACCTCCTCCACACCACAAACCCTAACACTGCAATTCATGCCTTGGAATTTCAATTATTGTCAACTCAAGGACTTTGAAGGATTTTCAAGGTGTTTATGACAGCTTACTGGCAATCATGATTGTCTTTGAGTTTCCTCCAAGACTGTCTTTTAGAAGCCACGTCAGCACAGAGTCTCTGTAAGGGATAAACTTGTGGTGATGTGCAGAGCTGTGGTGGCCTGTTGCGGCATCAGCTGAAGAGAATATACAGAGGAATGAAATTTCAACCAAGGATTAAGAGCTGCATGATTGATGATACTTTGTCCTCCCATAAACAGCTACATTTTACATAATTTTATTTGTGGATCCTTAAATTGTATAACAATCAAAGCAATTTGCAACTTTTTGTTGAGTTTACATGTGATGAATAACAACTGATGGAGGGGAATAAGTTACACTGTCTTTAAGGTTGGAATCTGCCATCTTTGTGTGACCAATGTAACATCCAACACTTACGCACAGACTCAGAGTGGAAAAAACTGTCTTTTCTGTTTGACTCGACAAACAAGAAAGATAAAGCAATTCCTGTGTTCAGATTGGCTAGATGAGTGGACAGGATGGGCCTTTCTTGCCCTCTTGGTATTGTACTTTTTGTACCACACGAAAAAGATTTTTGAACATAATTTTAATAAATACTTTATTGACTAAGCTTGTTCATGCAAGGTGGTAGAATATTTTCCCTGTGTAGTTCTTTTTCTGCATTTTTGTTGACCTGAACTTTTTCTTGGCCAACAAAAACTCACAAAAAAGACCTTGGCCAATATCAAGCCATCTTGACTTCATGCTTGGTCAATAATGCATATATTATCATACTAGTCACTAGTAAGAGTACATTTTGTATACATGTAACTGGGCAAAAGGTAACCCCTCCATGAATGTAATAAAAATGTGCAATGGGCCCTAACTTTGAGCTTTGTCAGCACTTAACTACTCAGTACAAAGACCTTCCTTCAGTCAATTCACTTACCTAGTGCAGAAATAACAGTTCCCAAGGTGACAAGAGACTTGTTAATGTTAGCACCTTCCTTCAGTCTTTCACCCGTGGCACCGGTGGCATCAGCTCTTTCACTGCAAAATGAATAAAAAAATCAATCAGTCAATCTGTCTGTGGCTAGATACTTTACACTTAAAGCTTCTTTAATCTATAATGCAACAGTTAAAAAGTTACCATATACCTTCCAGCCAAATCCACTAAGTTTATTTTGCTGACTGTTTCACAAGGCATATCATGATCAAATTTTGCCTGTACAAAAAAAAAGGGATAAACATAAACTACTGTGTACAGTTTTAAGCATCGACAGGTAACAAATTTAATAATATGCTTCCACAGCTGAATTCACTGGTCCATGCCTCTGGAATTCCCTGCCAACGGATTTAACAAACTGACTTCAAAAACTCTCTCTATTTATTTAAAGAACTCTAGGAACATTACCTTGATTAAATATTCTTTTAAATTAAATTTTATTTTATTTCATTTTTAAATACTTTTGAAAAAAAGCAATTTTTAATTCTGTGTGTAATAATTACAATAATTTCTAGCATTATTTTGTTGTCATCCACTAGAATAGCTTTTGCTTTTTGAATGACCCCAACTTGCTCCCTTCAGATCCTGCAATTTTTATTCTCAACTTAATTTAATAATCATCTTTACTATTGTCTTCCCAAATTCAATCTTTATCATGTGAAAAGTAGAGCTGAGTGAAATAACCTTCCTGGACTGGCCTGGCTCTGCTTGGCTTTTCTTCGATGTCATTATTACCAATAATCATTGTAATAAAAGTAAGATGTTATAACTGTACAAACCTGAGTAAAGTTGATGGTGAATATTGCATGTGATCTACTGCTGGTGTCATTCATACCAGTGCTGGCTGTTACCCTGTAATCAATAACAGTAACATTTATAGTAACAGTAATTTATTAAAAATAAATTAAAATAATTAATTAAATAATAAAATCTACAGTAAGTTTATAATAAATTAATTATTTAGAGACATGTAAAAATTTAGTCCATTCTACACTCACAATACACAAGAATAAAAATATTGTAAATATTTTGAAGAACACTAATAATTTAAAATTAAAGTGACATTTTGTGAGTGTGTATGGCAAACTATAATCATGGTGTTTATAATAGAGCCCGATGCAACTTTGTGGAGCTAACATGTAGTTTAACTTAATGAGTAAAACAGAAACATGTAAAACTGTACTTGTCACCTTCAGAATGTGACCTGGAAAGGAAACTTTCATGAAATGCCCCCATTCCTGACTTCTACAGATTCTATATTTTCTAAAATCTTTTAGCACCCAGGACGTATATAAAGGAGCATTTGTGGATTCCTTTTCTATAGAGGTGCAAAATGCAGACTGATCAGCTATTTGATAGCTTAGACGGTATTTCCCAATAAAATACCTGTGTGTGTTTCCTTGTTGCATCAGATGTTCTATTGCTGCATAGTCACAAACAAGATGTCGGGTAAGATCTTCAAAAGAAAAAAATGTTGCAATTAATCACCAAACATCCACAGCAAACAGTGTAAAAACAAAAGAAAGAGATAAGATTTTGATGGCTGATTAAGTACATGCAAACTTGTACACAACCGTTGAATAGACCAATCTCAGGAGTAAATTTATCATTATCATTATATATATACACCTTGATTATTTGCAAAGATGTTTAAGAGAAGACGGAAGAAAGAATGGAAATTTATGTACATGTAGTTACAGAAATATAACGGAAACATGATCATTTGTTTCCGGTGCGGAAACATGGCAGAGATGTGTCGCAACGGCATACATGGAAAACTAGATAACCATGTTTCCACAGGCCAAAAACATGAAGGATATAAGCAACAGAACTCTATGTTTCCGTCACGTTTATAAAATATGAAAACAAGTCATTTTGTCCTGTGTTGGTGTAATTTGTTTCAAACTCATTATCACACAGATATTGATACATGTAAAAATAAAATTTAAAGCATGAACCAAAACATGTACCAGTATACACAATACCAATTATACTGAACTCTGCTCACAAACAGCCACAAGAGACTGAACTTACACAAATATTCCGCGAAGAATACAACTAAAGCGAAAAATATGAGACCCATTTGAATGTTGTTTCAATTAATTTATTAATCCTATTCTGTGTTTAGGTTTTTCACAAGCCAAACAGTAGCTGGTTGGCTACCATTTGTCTCACCTTGTACATAGGGACCTTCCTTGGGATGCTCTCGGACTCGCAGTGAGTGAACTGGGCGTCCTTTTACAGGCGGTCTCAGAAGATCCCTAACACGCTCATTATATATCTCTAGAAAGCTGACTTCAGTTCTGTATGAGGGGCCATTATCAGCACTGTTGCGCATTCCGGAAAACAATCCTTCACAGATGCGTGGAATGAGACCTTGGTTATCAGTAGAACCCATCATACTGTAGGTTTTCCCTGAACCGGTTTGACCATAAGCAAAGATGCAGGCATTGTAACCCTCAAATGCAGCCTTAAGGACATCAGTACCAAGATCTTTAAAAACCTTAGAAAAATAATAATAATGAAAAGATTACATTAATACATACCATGTAAAAAGGTACTGGTATTAGGGATGGGTAATGGCCGCTAATTCAAAGAAAACAGATTTCACAAAATTTTAGGCTAATTTCATTGGCTAGCTGTTTTCGTTCACTGTGTGTTGAAGAATAATAATTATTGATCTACACTGTATTACTGGCAAAGGCATCTTGCACCCTTGGCAGCTGATCAGTGCCGCAAAGGACTGCTCACTCTGCATGGAACAGTTCTCAGCATGAACAAAGAGTGAGAATCAAAATGCCCCAATCAAGGTTTTATTGACAGTTCAATTTTATATAATATATGTAATAATTAGATGCTAAGGAAACATCCCAGGCTAACATCCAGGGAGGAAGGGGCACTTGGGTATTTTTGGGGTGGGTATGTGCCGCCCGGGACTCCAAATTGGCACCCTGTTCTAAAAATAATTTCCCCTAAAATTGATACCACGTTCTAGAATTCGTCTTAAAACTGATACCCCATTCTAGAAATGAGCCAATTTTTTAAACTCCGTTCTAGAAAGTTTGTAAATTGGAATAGACCTGTTTTTTTAAAAAGATATTTCTTTATTTGTTCGACTTATACATCAAATAAATGCTTCTTCATAATCAGCAACAATTTTAAGCAGAAGATAAAGCCGCGATCCACAATTTTTTATACCCTGTTCTAGAAAACGCCTCTGAAATGGATACCCCGTGCTAAATCAGGAGCTTCAAAATCACGACCCCATTGGGTGGCACATACCCGTATAGGTAATATATGGGGGTACCCCCCCTCCTCCGGGGCTAACATTCAAACTACCTCCCTCCCCTCTCAATATCCTACGTACTCTACTGTCACCTCCCCTAAAAAGACCAACTTGCACTCTCTTTAAAACTCTTTGCAGTCAACACCATCAGTACAATATAACTGACAGAACTGACAATACAAATGTAGAAGAACAGTCAGCGATATTAATATACAGCATTGTTCCAGAAAATGCTAAGGAAATATCCCTGGCTTACATTCAAACTGTCTGCATAAGTTTGTGCCTATTTATACATGCATGTTAAGGCATAAACTCAATTTATTATTTATAACATTCACAAATCAATAAAAGATGTTTTATTCAAGAGATCAACCTTTGTTTGAGTTAGATTTTAAACCCTTGTCTTAAACTTACAAATTTATCATCATTATTGCAAAAATTGACAAAAATTTACTAAATAGAAATATTATTCTTAAAATAAAAACTAATAACTTAATGGCGGTTTATATGATTAGACCGAAATTGAATGAAGCTTCACAAGCTATAAACAGCTGCTTAAATTTTAATCAAGTGACAATGTGTTATACATTATTTACTTCATTCTATGATGTACTCCAGATGTAGATATTAAATTTTGTTTTTAATACGTTATGTTCAATGTAATCAAAGGAAACAAAAAGAGGCAAAACCCTTCATTGTGATGCTATTATTCCAGAGTTTTCATATTGTTTTCATTGCCATTGAAAATTATTGGACAAAGGTTACTCAGTCGTTACGGCTCGTGATCACCAATAAATTTGTTTTGCATTGCAAATGACCTAGCCCCATCAAAACTTATTTCAAACCGAAAATAAAAGGGCAGCATCAGATCCTCAAATTTTATTCCATAAATGCAGCAGAATATTTTTGAGCTTGAGACGATTAAGTTTGGCAAGAGGCCACAAATTTTACCACACACATGGTTCTCACGAAAGTCAAATAATTTCAAAAAGATCGTTAACTGGTCCATCCAGATGTGACACAGTTTACTTGCTTCTTAGCTTTGTTTTTATTTACTGATGACTAGGAAGTTGGCACTGCGATTAGTTGATAAATCTTAGAAAAATTTTCGAGAACGTTAGCGTATATCGTTTTATAAACGACCAGTCATGCGATCATGAGTTCGATCGAATGTACCTTACCCGCTCTTGTGATGCATAATGAGGGTTCTTCTTTTCTAACGACCAGTACGAATGATCAAAAGTGAAATCCTTTACACGGCTGCGTCTCTCTCCCTCGCCAGTTACCGTACTTGCCTGCAAATCAAAATATGACTCAAGATAGCTAAAAGCTGAGGAAAATTAGCAGGCAATTAAGTAAGCTTATAGAAGAAGGTGTTTACGCTCGCCCTACATGACAAAAGTTACAACATGGTCGTGGAAAGACAATGAACCACATACACTCATGTAGCAATCTAAATCGCTGTATTACCTTGATGTTGACAATGCGTGTTTTCTTTCCTTCCATCTCGATAATCCCTTGGGCACCCATGTCTATTTCCCTGTGTGTTCAAAGACCGTAACGTAAGATACAAAATACATAACGCTACCATTACTTCGACAAAAATGTCAACGAGAAAAAAACACTCTACCTTTGATTAAACGGCCTTACTCTTACAGCTACTTTCACAGACGCCATTGTATTCTTCAAAAAGCAGAAATGAAAATGAAATATATCTTAATTCTTGCTGTGGCCAAGGGCAAAGAAAGTTAAGAAACCGTTCATGAAGTTAATCCATTATGTAGCACTGAGGTAGTAGTCAATTTGCAGACAACAAGGCTCGAAGGCTGGACAAACTCCACATAACCCATCTTCACGAATCGTTACATACAATGCAGCTATGACTAAGCCATTGTATGCGCAAAACGCGTAAATAAGAAACCGAACAATCACTTAAAGAAGAACGATCACGAATGAAGCTGAAGTCACCATTGCATCTCCAAAGCGAGGCTCTGGCCGACTATCCATTGGATCACGTGGGTATGACTTGCCGCCACTTGTTTGTTTACTTCCGGTCTAGGAGACCGGAACACGCGATTTTATTATAGTGTGTCACTATATTAATGAAGTTATATTATGATTACGATCTTTCGCCTTTAAAAAGTTAAAGAGAGAAACGATCGACTTAAGATACTTTACTCTGGCAATATTGGTGACGTCGTCGATTCTATTTAAAACAATTTAGCTAGTGGACCATAAAACCAGCACAGTGCTCACTGAGCAAATTTCAAAGTAGGCGAAGACAGACAAGTCTATCCTAATCTTATAAGAGGTAAATATGAATTAACTTCACTATTTTTATGCAATAAAAATTGTATTGTTACGTAAACTTCCTTTACGTGAGAGAAGGTGTTTTTTATATATGTATATATTTTCGTTCCGCCCACGCTACTAATTACTGGTAGATTGTGGGTTGATATTTTAATCAACGTTTAGGAAACGGACAATTAAAGTGACTACAGGTACTGTTTGATGCAAAGTTATGTTATGTTAATAGAGGTTCTGCGGTACACGTATTTCTGGTTAGAGTGATATTTGCTTAGGGATTAAATCAGCTGAAGATGTATGCGCAAACTCCATTGTTGCTTCTTTTTGAAGACGCGGCCGTGAGGAGAGGCTTTGCGTGACGACACAAGAAACCACAAGCATACACATCTCGTATTATTGCCTATGAAGTCACAGCGGGTAATGTTGACTAAACAACTGAGACAACTAAAAACAAGCACGGGTGCGGTGACGCAGCGCAAACATCAGCTCTACAAGAGGACCAAATCTAATTCAGCTCACAGACCTTCTATTTCTTTAGGTAGAATGCGGGCCAGTTTTCCACTAGTATCAACTATCGAGAAATGCAAGCATTGTGCAGTGAGAGCGCGCAAGCTCTCGCCCTCCTTTTGCGTGACGCTCGCGGCTGACTTCTCCCCCCCCCCCCCTTGCCTCCGCCCCCCAGCCTAACGGGGGCAGTCTGGTTGAAAGAATTGTTTCTCATTTATTTCCGCCCTTTTTCTTAAAAAATCAACATTTTTGCGATAGCTGAATACACTGCCAATTTCGTTATTCGTCTACTACTCTTTTTAAAATAAATTTGTCCCTAGAAAGAGAGTTCGCGAGCTTCAATTCAACGTGAAAGAAAAGCTATTAATTGGACAAAATAAAACTGGCTATAAAAAAGATGAACGGGAAAAGAAAGAAAAAGAGGACGAGAAAGAAAGATCGAAATACATTCGCCAAAAGAATAAAAATCTCATACACCGTATTCACAAATGGCGGACACGCGGGAAAAAACTGGTGCCTAGTCATGAAAGCGAGGCGTTGGAGGATAAACAAAAATTGCAAATGAAGACTTTCAGTGAACTTGCAGAGTGTTTAGCACGGATTCCACCTAAAATAACTTTGTACGGACTTCTTTTTAAATACAATTACGTGGGATGTCTTCTGCTTTTAATGTTTAGTAGCTATTTGCTGTTTGCAATCAAAAGGGACGCGTATATCTTCAAGGAAACAGGATGATTTTGTAGGTTTCCGAAGCATCAGAAGCTCGAAGAGTAGGCGATGGCTGGAGAAAAGCGGCAAACATGTTGGCCCAAACCTCACACTGAAACCGAATATGAAAGCCAGATCACTACAATTCTGAATTGGATCACATTAATTCCGTCGCTTTGGAGTGAATTGTTAGAGGTACGTTGGCAGAGCTTAGCAAAAATCTCATGATTTCTTTGTCATTGCGAAATAATTCAAAATAATTTTATCAAAACTAGAAGCTGTAGTGTGTGAATCTTATGGCTTGCTATTTGCCTGGTCTCTTTTAGGGCATTATCTCAGAGCTCTTGGTAAAAAAAGTGGTATAAAGCTTACATTTTACTAGGTTAAATTTTTAAGGCAATGTTTTTGTCAGGACTGCACACGGCAAGCTTCGGTTTCGAATAATTGAATTCGAGTCTGGATCAGTTTAAGAAGGCCATCATTTTATTTATTTATGTATTCTTCAACTTTAAAATATTATGGAACATAAAGTTAAAACTCTTAACAGCCAAAGGTAAGAAATACGAAATTACTCGCTGAAATGATATGTGGCCGGCTTACCGAGTCTGTCGAGTAGCAAGTTGAAATTTTGAGCGTACTCCTCTCGATCGCTCCTGCATTTATACCTAAAAAATAGTTCTAATTGATGTCCTTCATTGATAAAGACCAGAGAATAACTACCTGGCAAACAAAAACCAAACATAACTTCATCGAAACCTCAGTCACCTCTTCTTTCCTGTCTTCCTTTTTTCCATCTGATCTCGACTTGAACTGCTTTGTTCAAAGGCAGACGTCTCTTGCGTTAACAGTTGCAAGTAGGGCATATATCTGTCGCTTATTTATTTTTTTCTTGCCACCAAGATTTGTTTATATTTCTGTTTCACCGAATTGCAGTGAGCTGGCTTTCGTGCTCGGTTTCAATGTGAAGTTTGGGCCAACATGTTTGCCGCTTTTCTCCAGCCATCGTCCACTTGTCGAGCTTCTGATGCTTTGGAAACCTACAAAATCATCCTGTTTCCTTGAAGATATACGCGTCTCTTTTGATTGCAAACAGCAAATAGCTACTAAACATTAAAAGCAGAAGACATCCCACATAATTGTATTTAAAAAGAAGTCCGTACAAAGTTATTTCAAGTGGAATCCGTGCTAAACCTCGCTTTCATGACTAGGCACCAGCTTTCTTCCGCGTGTCCGCCATTTGTGAATACGTCAATACGGTGTATTAGGCATGTGAGAAAATGAAAAAATTTGCTGCTTAATTACATCCATTTGCAATTAGCAGGGAAGAAATATGCCTTTAGTGTTGCAATACTCATTTTTAGCCATTCCCATGCGAACTGGCCGAAAACCAACCCAAGAAAGATGAGTTGGTGAAAAATGAGTTGTATTTGCTACTTGCTGTCGAGTGTATTGCGCGCGCCTTGTAAACATGTGTAAAAAGAGTTAAAAATGATCAATATAGAAACCAGTCTTCCTCATTTGATCATGAATCACTCGCTGCGTCAGAGTCTTTGACATGAGTCAGGGGGGGGCCCACGACTCCAATAGCGCCTAGTACTTGTTTCGTGTACCTATGATCCACCGATTTATGACATCACATCCGGTTGCAGAGTTGCTGCTCTGTTTTCGCGCGAAGCACCAAGATGGACGCCCGATGCCATTTGGTTTTCTCGTTATTTTAACCCACAGGCTAACGGAATTATGTATCTTGAATGCTGAGAATGTTGAGAAGGTATCTAGCCGGCCTTTCAAGCAAATGTCATGACCAAACAAAGAAGTTTTAGTATTATTTTAACGATAAATATCATGCAACTGCGGGGAATGTCATGGCGAGTCTTACGATGTTTCAAAACGAGTGTCGTTAACGTTTTGCGGCTTTTGCGGCGTCTGATTTAGAGAAGTCATCAAACAAAATATAATTTCCTGAGCGGAAAAGAAAGGGGAAAACGCCGATGGCCACAGTTTAAAGTGTTCACCGCTGGAAGGCTGTATCACGCCCCGTAAAGTTGCAAAATCTTCTACTCAACTGCCTGGTTTTGAGGAATGTCATGGCGAGTCTTTCGCTCTTTGTAATCCAGCGTCACTCAAGAGTTTGGCTTTTGCGGCTTCTGATTCATCGAAGTCATCAATCAAAATTGCCTATCCTGAGCGGAATGGAATGAGCAAAACGCCGGTGGTCATAGTTTAAAGTGACAACTGCTTGAAGGCGTTATCACTGGACGTAAAATTGCTGAAAGCTCTACCCAACTGTCCTGTCATGGCGAGTCTTTCGCTGTTTCAAAACGAGTGTCCGCTCAAAGGGTTGGCTGTTGTAGCTTCTGATTTACCGAGATTGTCAAACAAAATAGCCTATCCTGAGTGGAATAGAATGGAGAAAAAGCTGATAGTCACAGTTTAAAGTGTTGATTGCTGGAAGGCTTTATCACTCGTCGTAAAGTTGCTCAAAGCTCTTCTCGACTGTACGGTTTGAGCAATGTAATGGTGAGTCTTTCTCTGTGTCTAATCGAGCGTCACTCAAGATTTTAGCTTTTGCATCTTCTGATTCACCGAAGTCATCAATCAAAATACCCTATCCTGAGCGAAGTACCGTGGAGAAAAAGCCTATGGTCACAGTTTCTGTGTTAACAGCTGGAAGGCTTTGCCAGTTGACGTAAAGTTGCTGAAAGCTCTACTCAACTGATTTCGAAACGGTCACATGTTGCGAGCTTCTGGAAGGTTAGTGTTGGATTTTTAGCATTTAAAGAGTTTTTAGCCTTTGAAGATTTATGTTTAGAACAAGAGTTAAGCCCAAAAGTAGTCCAATTTGTCATTATCTGAGAGAAATCAAGAAAGTTTGTGCCCTTCCTTTTTTTCTAAGCTTGCAAGTGTAACATACATGAAAAGAAACCCTTATGCACTACTAGTCATATTGTTAAAATGACTAGTTTGAAATTACTCCTTATCTTAACTGATAACTACAACACTTATTTAAAAATGTATCGCTCCCGAACCAGTGTTGATTGGTTCTTGACCTTTACAGTTGAAAAAAAAATACCACGATTTACAGTGATTATAGTTATGCAATTAATTAGTAAATTAAGAAAGAATGTAATTAAAGTGAAAAAAGAAAACAGCTGTTTCAACTGTTTTAGAGGTTTGAAGTTCTGAAGGGATCACTAGAGCTGTAAAATGAGACTCAATAAGAGGTCTAGTTACTTTAGAACACATTAGAAGTTTCCTGGAGCAAAACAC